TCTGTCTGTTGGTGTTTGAACATATGAGGGCCAGAGGCTGATGTTTTTTTCTATCCACCTGTACCTTATTTTTGAGATATGGTCACCAAGTTGCTATACTGACTGAGCCCCAGCAATCATCCTCTCTCCATTTGCTAGCATTAGGATTATAGACCTGTACCGCCACACTCATCTTTTCATGTGGGTACTGTGATCCCAATGCTGGTCTTTATGCTTATACAGCAAGCATTTTCCTGATGAGCCATCTCCCCAACCACAGATTCATTAATTTAATCTAGCTTTAGTGGTTTGAGACTGCCATTATAATTGCCTACTTCATTATTTTCAGATTAAATGGAACATTTGATAGACTCTTTGCTTTTCTTAAGTCTAAAATGGAAATTTGTTTCTTATATAATTTTTATGATGTATTTGAACTATGATCATAATGAATTTGTTACACTAACATTACATAGTACATTTTCTTCTGGATATTCTGAAGGAAAACTAGATAGTACTGTAGCAGGACCTACATTTCAGATCTGTGCATTTTTAAGAATCTTGAAGAATGACAGTGTCAACTAGATCTCCTTTCAGTTCTGTAAATGCATAGGAGTGAAAGAAATGAATCAAGATATCCTTAATCTGATTCTTATGCTATTGTTGTAACATTGTGTTTTAAGTATGTGGCTATTTCACATAGTTAAGAAAAAAATCTCACCTTCTGTTCAGTGGATACTGGCTTCTTCAAATTGCTCTTTGATCTAGAAACTAATTTAGGGTTAGATGCACTAAGGAACCCTGTAGATGATATGGTCTCTTAGGGATTTCGAGCCCACAATGAAAAACTGAATACTGTGATATGACCTAACCTTCTGTAACTATAGGTTCTTTCTCTTTGCCAGTGTTTATTTTAATATCATTTTGAAGATATTGGTGGAGAATGCTGACTTATTAGTTTATAGTTTATTATTAGTTTATAGTTTATTATTAGTTAATTAGTTTATTATTAATTAAGTTTGTTATCTCTTGGAATCTTAATAATCAGAAAAAGTTAAAGAGTAAAGATTCCTTACCCACAGGAGTGTCTTTTATATAGCACATGCCAAAGGGCAGCCCAGATATGTTTGGTAGAAAACTGGGTAAACAAAATGTAGTCTACAGATGCCGTGGCTTATTTTTTGACCTGCTAAAGAAGGAAATTCTGTCACACACTGCAACATTGATCAATCTCGAAGACATTATGCTAACTGAAATAAGCAAGTTGAAAAGAGATAAATGTGTGCTCTCACTGACATGACCCAAGCTTGTCAGAGAACAGAAAGGGGGGCATCTGGGCTTGTGGAATTGGGTGATGAGAAGATGACACTCTTGAAAAAAAAAAAAAAAAAAAAAAAAAAACAACCCTAGAGATCTTTTACAAACCAGTTTGAAAATATTTAACACTAAGTACTGGATGGCTAGAAGATGCTAAATTGGTAGGGTTTTCTTGTTACATTTTTTCTATCACATTGTAGAAAAAATGATTAATGACTATTACTTCTGCCCTTGTAAATTCTACAGGATGTCTCCTAGAGTGTTCCTGGCATCAGCACTGTGGATTCTTAACTGTATCTGTTTACCTCTTTAAGTCCAATTGAAAGATTGAAAGATCAAGTTGAGCTTCTTACCCATTTGGGTATTACTTGGGAAAGCTTCCTTGATGTGTCTCTATCTTGTCAAGACTGGAAATGAGCCACTGCCCACTTTTTATTTAGAGAGTAATGGAGAGATGAATAGTGTGAATCCATGTACAGTTGCCCTAGTTAGAATTACTATTGCTAGTGATGAAACACCTTGACTAAAAGCAATTAGGGAATGTTTGCCACTCTAAAAGCAGTGGGGCCTGGGAGAACAAAACCCATAAATGAGGTGGATTAAAGTCTCACACAATTGCCAACTTGACTCAGAACATCAGACACCTTATACTATAAGACTTAAGACAGGTTACATGAGTATAGGTCTCATGAGTTCAGGCTGTATATAGTCACAAGGACAAGCCACAGGTGGCAAAATCATGTTTTTTCATAGAGGCATATAAAGGACAATTAAACATTTAGTTGAATAAGCGCAGCAACTACTAGTTGATGGGGGAGTACTTCTGTGTATGTTTATCATATTGACTGTTAAATAAAATACTGTTTGGCCAATGAGACAGCAAGTTAGACAGGACTAGGAGTCAAAGAGGATTCTGGGAAATGTAGTAGAGAAGTGGTGATCCAGGCAGTGAGTGACATAGCAAGGAGACTCATATTTAAAGAAGGAGAAACAGGAAGGGTCCCTCTTTTCCCCTTCCTCCACCAGCGGCGGGATGTGATCCACCGGCAAGGAGGGAGCCAATAGGATAAGTCTTATAAAATATATAGGTTTATTATGATAGTTAAGACTGAGCTAACAGATGAGAATAATAGTCATTGGCCAAGCAGCATTGTACCTAATACAAGTTTCTGTGTATTCATTTGGGCCTAACTCGGGCGGGCAGCTGGCGTAAAGTTCACACGTGATGGTGGGGCTCAAGCGGCTTTTGGCGGAAATATTTATTGTAACAACTAGTATCTGAAGTAAACTTATTCCTATCTGCTACACCTGGGGGGGCACAAAAATACATTCCAAGGACAATTCCATGTTTTGAAGAAACTGAAGTCACAAGACTCTTGTCTTGTTTTCTTGCAGAGTCCTCACAAGTGCTCAGAATTCCCCTCACATGATCCCATTCTTGTACGGTGTTCCAACAGAGAAGGGAAGGTTTACTTGCTGTAACCTGACTGAAGGAAGTCAGGACATCAAACAGCAGGAACCTGGAAGCAGGCGCTGATGCAGAGGCCATGGGCAGGTGCAACTTATTGGCTTGATCCTCGTGCCTTGCTTATCCTGCTTTCTTATAGAACCTTGAACCAGCATCCCAGGGATAGGCCGGGCCCTTCCCCATTAGTCACCAATTTAGAAAATGCGCTACAGGCCTGCCTATGCAGCTCATCTTATGATGTATTTTCTTAATTGAGGTTCCTTCCTCTCAGATGACTATAATTTTTAGTGAGTTGACAGAAAACTATCCAGCACAATAAATAAATTGAGTTAAAAGTTTACTTTTTATTACTTTAGCTATGTACATTAGTTCACTAGGCAGAGTTGCAAATCATAAGTAATTTATATACTTTATAATGTATACCTTTAAATTGTATAATTCAGTGTCTGTTTATATGCTTCCAAAGTTGGACATTCAGCATCGCAATTGGTTATAGAATATTCCACTGCTGTATTCTTTGCTGCCTGCTTCCCCTGTCTTCTTAGGCCTATGAAGTCTGAGGTCTACTTTCTGTCTCTGTAGACTTGCCTTTCTGGGACATTTACTGTAAGTACAATCACATAGGATTTGGAACTCTGTGATTGACTGCTTCATTTAGTATAATGTCTTCAAGGTTCATCTGTGTTGTAGAGTCAGTTTCCATTTTCTTTCATTGTTAGATAATATTTCACTGGTAGGTTTACCGCATTTGCCTGTTAGTCAGTTCAGCCATGAGAGATGTTTACATGTGTTGACTGTTAGAGTTTATACTGCTGTGAACATTCTTGTACAAGGTTTTATGAGGATGCATTTTCCCTTTTCTTTTGTATATATTAAGGAATGGAATTGCTAGATCTTAGCCATTAGATCTTAGATAGTTCTATGTTTAACTTTTTAACAAACTTTAAATTATTTTGAATTGTAATTTAACTATATAATTTCTCCCTTTCCTTTCCTTTCCCTAAATACTCCCACATACCCCTCTCTAATCTCCTTCATATTCATGCTTTTTTTTTTTTTACTAGCCACTATTGCATGCACATGGGTATATGCATACATACTTCTAAATACAAACTATTCAGTCTATACAGGGTTTCCTGTTTTCAGGGCTGGCCATTTGGTAGTGGGCAGCCAATCAGTGTTCTCTTCCCTAGGGAAGGCTATCTCTCCCACACCCAGCTTTCTTCACTTGCCTGTAATTACTTTGTGTAGGACAGAGGCTCGTGGGTTTTTCTCAGTCCACTTTGGATTTCCATTGGTAACACCCTTTAGTGAGCTTCTTGATTCAGTTGCATTATCTTAGGACAGAATATAATGTCCCTTGAATTTCCCTTAAGAGAACCACATTAGACCTTCAATGTAACTGGTATAGGACTTGCTCTATTAGTGTATTTAAATTAGGGAAATGTTTACTAAGAGAGTAGATTTATTACAATTTTTTAAGTCTCACAGTAGCTTGCCTCCAGGTTGTCACTGTATCTGTTCTTATGTGAGTGACCCTTAAAGATGACTCCTTCTTAGCCAAGGGAGGTGATAAAGAAATGTACTCAATAAGGGGAAGTGTATGTTCCCTGCCTTCTGTTGCTTTTATCGAGATTGTCTTCACTGTCATCCATATTCTAGTTTTACTCTTTATCAACATTCATTTTAAATTTAGAAGTGCCTTAACCCCCGGGAAGCATTGTGCAGCGCTCTTGACCATGTGTTCATTTAGTGCAAAGTGTCACCCTCTTGTGGTCTTCCCATAAATTGGTAATAGTTCCTTTCTTCCTAGTCACGTTTTTTATAACTATAGTCTTTTATTTGTTCTGGCTTTGTTTTGACAGCAAATATTGGAGCTACGGTCTATTTTTAATTTGTATTTATTGAGGTGCTGAGAAGATTAAGAAATTATTTACTATTTTGAGGAAGCATTTATTTTGCAATTTTAAACTATTTTGCTCTTCTGTTACAGATTGTCTTCTGTGGACCCCTAGCGTTATGCTGTGTACAATACAGGGGCAGGAAAGTGCAAGTGATTTTTCCCCAAGCCCTCTTCCATGTTGGCATTCTGTATAACAATTACTCAATGAAGGGATGTTTTCTCTCAAAATGTTAGCTGATCTTGTCAGTAGATAAAGTCAGGATTCTGTTTGAACAGAATCATTTTGTAAGGTTTTTCTTAATGAAACTTCTTTTACAAAGAGTGATAAAAATTGCTTGTAGACAAAAAACTTGAAAAGAAAAGTTCTATGCATTTTAAGAATTTTCATGGGGCATCAGTGTTCAGATTTGGGCCATTTTGTCCACCCCCACACCTCTGCCAATGGGATTGGCTCTATTGTGCTGCTCAGGTGAGGTGTAGGGCCTGCTCTCATGAGTGTTGCAGCTGATGGGGGGGGCAAGGGCAGGGGCAGCTCTCCCTCTCCTATGATCTCAGATCTAGCTCTCCTACCTGTCTCAGGTGTTGGGGGGGCATCTCTCACAAGCGCATGCAGCCATATGGCAGATGAGAGCAGGACCAGGTCTCCCATGCTTATATTCCCAAGGATGTCTCATTCGTGTTCTGTTAACAGGGTCAGCCCTGCTGTGCTGCCTAGAGGAGGTGCAGAGCCCCCTTTCCTGGGTGTTGCAACTGGTAAAGGGGTCAGCTGTCTAGCCAACTGGAGGTGGTAGAGACAAGGAGATGGGCATCTTTCCCTCATCCCCACCACCGAGGGAGGTGGTACCAGCTAACCAGCTATGTACTTTTCATGCCCTCAGGGCTTGGCTTATCCACACCCCTAAAACTAAAATCTTTTAAATTAAAAAATTTCCACGTATCTATGTTTAAATATTAGTGTGTTCTATTTGGCATCTTATGTGCCATTTGTCTCTCATTCTCTCTGTGATATATATATATATATATATATATATATATATATATATAGATATATGCACATTTGTGTGTAGGTGTACATGTGTGACCATAAATGTGAAGAAGTTGATGTTAAGTGTCTTCCACAATTAGACAGTCAGTCTATTATTGAACCTGGAGAGCTTGCTGATTTGGCTGCATTGGCTAGTCAACAAGCCCCAAGGATGCTCCTTTTTGTACTTTCCATGTGCCGAGGTATTCAGAGGTCAGCGGACAACTTGCAGGACTCCATTCTCTCCTTCCTTTAAGTGAGTCTTGAAGATCAAACTTGAAATGTCAGAACTCACAGAAACCATCTGCTAATCCATCTTCAGTTCTGTTCCCAGATTGTGTGTATGTATGTGTGGGTAGGTGGGGGGGGTGGTTCTGGGGGATTGAGTTTTGTGTTCATGGTTGCATAGCTAACCGCTTATCAAATGAGCCATGTCCCCAACCTGGAACCACCTCTTCTTAATGAGAGAATTTGGTTTTATTTTTACTAACATTTCTTCTCTGACCAGATGAGCCACTATTAGGCCCATGAAGAGTAAGCTGGCTTGCCTTGAGCCTGCATTCCCAGACCATTTTAGTAGAAGTTCTTCCAGTTACTGGTGTAGGGACTTTTTCCTTCCTTGGTTATGGATTCTATTGCAGATTCTTCTGTTATTCTAATTTGCTAACCTTTGCAAAGGGAATCAGAAAAGTTGGTTATGGGGAAGGATAGTGCTGGATGCCTGTGTCTAAGATCCTGTGTAACTCAGAGGAATTGCACAAGAGTCAAGGAACCAGAGTTTGAGACTCTTCTGCATGGCAGGTCTCTAGATAATTGACTGAATATTCCCACTAGAAAAAATAACTAAGTACTCATTTTATCTTCTGTTGCTTTCTTCTCTTCTATATATACAGATGTCATATACTGTTATATATATTTCATGGAGACAGTAGATGTGTCTGTGCATGAGTATACTTATGTCCATATAAATAAAACAAATGGGTTTTAAGTGTTTAATTTGAGGTTTTAATATATCTGTTCAGAAACTTAAGTAGTTAGGTTACACTCTGGTGGATGATGCTAGTCTGGATCTCATAGCTTTTTATTAAACTAATGAATATGTGAATGCCAAATTTGTCACTTCTCTTGTTCACAGGCAATATGAAGTATTGTTGATGTATCCTAGTGTTTCAGGGGAGTGCTTTCCTTACTGCCTACTGTACCTTGATTCCCCTGCAGTGCTGGTTTCCAACTTTGACACCCTATGAGGATCATCTAGGGTGTTAGAGAAATGATCTTAAAAGTCACACCCTGAAACTATACCACAGAATCCACAGAAACCAACAAAACCCTCAGAAAAGTCCTGAGCAAACCAATATTGCTCCTAGACACTGAGTATGTGCTGGGGCATTGTGGCCATTTCCCAGTTAGAGAAATATCCATTCGCTGTCCCCTTCTCAGTACTAAGCCACAAATACACATTTTGTGAACTAGCAATACAAAATCACTTTTGATTTTTAATGTGTCTTGTTATCACAGGTCGATGGCACCAACCTTCAAGGTTTCACCAATCAACAAGCAGTAGAGGTGTTACGTCACACAGGACAGACAGTGCGCCTGACACTAATGAGGAAGGGAGCACGACAGGAAGCAGAGCTGACATCTAGAGAAGACGCGGCAAAAGATGTGGACGTGCCACCTGGTGATGCCACTGTAAGCAAAGGTAATGCCAAAGGAGCCTGGCTCTCACTTAGACCTTTGCATTATTTTAGCGTTTCTAACTCTACAGTAATTTATGCAGAAGGCATTAGCTGGAGCCATGATTTGTCCATTAGCCTTAGAATGGGATTTTCGTTAAAGCAGACATCCATCTGTGCCTGCCATCCCATTACTGTTTCTCAGCTGGAGATGAGACTCTGGTTCCTTCCTGCTCCTATACCTTAGTTGGTGTCATAGTTGCTTTCTCTTAAGGGGGCTGCAGGTCTTTATGATGCTTTTAGAAAGTGTGTGGGTAGGCATATATGGTGTTGGCATGGGTGTGTGTGCATGACACCTACAGAAGTCAGAGGACAGCCTCGGGTACCGGTCTTTTCCTTCTACCTTGTTTGAGATGGTAGATTTGTTGTTCACTGGAGTATGGTGAGCTAGCTGGCCCACAAGCTTCTGGGGAATCACCTCTTTCGACCTCCCATCTCACCATAGGAACACTCAAATTACAGACCCAGTTTATGGTGCACAGTTTTACATGGGTTTTGGGGATTCAAACTCAAGTCCTCATGCTGTACCCACTAAGTAATTTATCCACCCCATGCTTGGATTTTTATTTGAAACACTGACAACTAACTCCCCAGAATTTCCTTATATTATCAAATTGAATTCTAGAAATACTGCTCACAGGGTTTTAGAGCTGTGTCTGCTGGTAGAGTTCCTACTACTCAAGCATGAGGACCTAGTTCTACCCCAGTACCCATAATAAAAGCTGGGTGTGAAAGCATTGTGTAATCCCAGCACTGGAGTGGAAGAGACTCTGGGAATCTTTATCCAGCCACTCTAGCCTACTTGGAACATTCCAGGTCCTGGTGAGAGACCCTGTCTCCAAAGCAAGGGTGGCCAGCTCCTGAAGAGTAAAGTTGGTCTCTGGCCTGCATCTGAACACATGCATCTGAACATACATGAAGACGCTTACCTACACCCACACTCACAAATTCAAACACAAATGCCATTCATAAGCTGAAATAATCCCCATTGTGAGACTGTTGGCTGAAAAGTTGTTATTTCTAACAGTTGAGTGTTGGTGTTTGTGCCATGTACTATGTAATGCATTCCTAGGAAATGGGCAGGCAGGTTTCAGGAAAGTCCTAGCCCACTTACAGGATGAGAATAAATGCATGTGGTTACTCTGGAGTTTGTGTCTTTAAAATTGAACCTAATCAGTGATTCAGACAAATAAGGTGGGTTTAGAAAAATTCAAATGCTTTTATTATGGATATAACTATTAAAATATTTTTATCTTTAAGAAAATTATGAAAAAGATGAAGAGTCTTTATCTTTGAGGAGAAATATCAGCATATTGCCGATTGAAGAAGAAGGTAACACTTAGAGCCGGTTTTGGTGTCCGATGTGTTTTAGAGAGGATATTTGCAAAGAGCTTAGTCTTTATGACAGACTGAGTTACTAACCCACTATAAATATGCTACTAATCTTTTTGGAAAAAATGATGTTGATTAACCCATACTTATCAATAGGACTAACTGCCTTTTTAGATTAAAATAATTAGAGTTGGTTATTTTGTTTTGCTGAATTAGTCTGTTCTTTGGCATGTGTGTGCACATGCACACTCAAGCAAGCACCAGAACTACTCTTGAGACATCATTTGGTAATACCTGTAGTTTTAACTTAGTGTTTATATATAGCTGACATGTCTCTACCAAACTGTGAAATATAAATTATTTAAAAACAAACATGGAGACTCTTTTAGATTTTTAGGAATAAAAATCGCTGCTTTTTGTTGTGATGGTTGTTTTCTAAGGCAGGCTCTTGCTATGTAGTCCAGGCTGGCTTCAGTCCTTGAACTCATGACCTGTCAGCCTCAGGCCCCTGAGTGCTGGATTTCAGGCACATTCTACCACTTTCAAAAGGAACAGTCTGTTTAGGGAGGCTGATATTTACATTTTAGCTTTTCAGGAGTCACAACTTTTAATATTGGGGACTTGGTTTGAAATCAGTTAAGCCTGTCAAAGAATTCTTATCACCGTAGATTTACCAGGATCCCGTGTTTTAACCTGTTTCATACCTGATCTGCCCTCTTTTTATGCCATGTGCCTCCTGCTTCTTTCCTCTGTCCTGTTGGTGGGTATTTTGTAACTTATGCCACTGAGCAAATGGAAAACCATTCCTCCCCGGGGGTGTGGATTTTGATGTGCCGCAGGAACACAGAAGACTCTTCACTGTGTCCATGGCTTCATTATTGCATTTCTTCTGCTGCTCAAAGTTTTAGTTTACTTTTATTATTTAAGGGGATCTTGTGGATGTAATGATATCCTGGAAGGAAAATGTGTAGTATTCATACATATTAATTACATTCTGCCATTTTTACACTAATTAGTAAAGAAAATATTTAGGCTAAAGTGAATATCAAGAGTAGGGGGAAAGATAAAAATACTTAGAAAATGACTTGAAATAGGAAGTGAAGATGGGCACGAGGGGTTATGTTAAAGACTCAGAATCATCTGTTTTGCTATGGAAAAGGCAGCTAATGAGAAATTTGCATATGCACGTGGGAGGATAGTTAGTGGTCGGCACCTCCAGCCTTATAATTGAGAGTCCTTGAATTATTTAAAAAAATAATAAAGCAGAAACCAGGAAATGGTTCTATTGTACCTTCTCTGTCCATCCTGACAGGGTGGGGTGGCACTACCCTCCTGCAGAAAGGTGACTCTCTGTGGAGGATAGTTACTTGACTGTTCACCATGGTTGGAAAACAGGGCTCTGTGGCTTTTTGTTTGTATTTTTAAATTTCTGAAATGTAGTCTGGGGGGAGGTGGGAGGTAAGAACGGCATGGCCTTGGGTGACTGGGTGAATATGAATCCCAACGGTGTCATCTGATTGCCCACATTCCATTTATAATCCCACATTATATTTTTGTTGAGCTGTGTGAATACAAAGGAATGATTTCAGGTGACCTAGAGGACTCCAAAATGACCTCTGCTCCCAGAATTAGGTTTAAAAAATTCCTTGTGAGCCCCACCCCCTACAGATTGTTACCCATCATGCAACTAAATTTAGTTTTGAAGAGAAAACACTTATTCATGGAGATAGCTTCCACTCCTGTGTTGCTTTGTTGTCTAAGCTAGAGATTGAACCTAGGACTTTGCACATGAACAAACTGCTTGCTGTCTCGAAATCTTTCAGACTAGTTATCAGCTTTGTCCATTTTCTCCAGACAAAAATCAGAATCATTAACCAACCAAAGCATGAATAGCCTGAAATTCCCACGAGAGAGAAAGGAACTGGTAGAAATCTGAATTTTGGAATATTTCTTAAATTAATTTTTTGAGGCTGTGGGAGAATAGAGGATTTTAAAAGAAAGCCGTTATGAGCAAGCAAGGAGTGAATGTAGACATGTTGCAGGGCTGGAGCTGAAGCTCATTCAAAGAGCTCTTCTGGTAGTGTCAGAGACCCACAGAGATGCTCCTTAGTCACTCAGCTTTCACCTGGGAATTCTGGGATTATTTATGTCACTTGCCTTTTGTGACTAATTAGCGGAATTCTTATTACAGACTTTTATCTTAATACATATTCTAAGTTTTTCATTGTTTCATGCTCTTATTTATATTGTCCTATGGAGTTGTATGTTATTAATTTATATTGTTTGTGTGTGAGATAATATGATATCTCCCTTTTCTCCTGACCACACTTTTTACTGCAGTAATTCACCAGTAGACAAGCTTGTGGATGATCTGAGCACAGCCCAGAGCCATTATCTTTTTAATGACTATTAGATAATATATGGGGACTTTAATGAAAAGTCTAGTTAAAGTTTCAGAGGTGTCCATTTAAGAAGAACAGTGTTGCATATTTAAAAGATAACTATTAAAATAGAATAGTGTTGCATATTTAAAAGGTGTCAATTAGAAAAGAACACTGTTGCATATGCACACATTAGTCTAAATTAGATCATTCAAATTCAGTGAATGAGGAGGAACTGTGCATTGACTAAAGAGTCTGACAAGGTTCCCACAAAGGTTTTGCTATGTCTTCCTTCCTCCCAAAAGGTGTAGAAGGTGGGTTTTGGGTCCTGGCAATAACTTTAGTACTTTGACTATTTTAGGCTATCCATTGCTGTCAACTCAGCTGGAAGAAGCCGAAGATGTGCAGCAAGAGGCTGCCCTGCTGACAAAGTGGCAGAGGATTATGGGAATTAACTATGAAATAGTGGTAGGTTAGATTGCTCTTCATGTTTCCTCACTTGTGCCTGTGTGTGAGCATGGAATTCTTGGTGAAAATGAGATAATCATTGGAATCAGCCCTGGAGAGAGATCAAATGTCTAAAGCTCTTCAAATGCTGTAATGGTAGCCAAGAAACCAAAATACATGGTTTGCAACCTTAAGCATGCATGTGCCATCATACCCTTATTTCTGGGAGTCATGTAAGTAATATGTTCACAAGAAGGCTTTTCCTGATTCTTAAGCATGTGATTTATAGAGAAAACCTGAATGGAATGACAGTTTACTTCAGGTAAGCTAAATTTTATAATGACCTGTGACAGAATTTTAGGCTTGCTTTCCTCTCTTCCTTTTTTTCTTTCCTTCTTAAAAAAGTCACTTAAGGCAAGGTTTCATGTGGCCAGGCTGACCTCAGACTCTCTGCATAGTCCCCCTGCCTCCACTTCCTAGTACTGGGCATACAGAAGTGCACCATACTCTACCCCTCACCCCTTTATCATTCTTAGGTGTTTGGCTTCTATAATGGATGGATTCTGATTATTTTTCATGTCGTTTATGTCATAGCAATATATGGTGTTTATTAACAGTGTGTGTATCTAGCTAAATATGCCATGGTTTGCTATTCTAAAAAGTTACAAAGTTGACACACATTATTAAAATATCAGGGAATTCAAAATCAAAGTAAAACACTGTATTTAGTATAGGTTTTCATATTTGCAATATCCATATACCTCTGGGTTAGAAGAGGTAAAGGGGAGACATAATATATATTAAAAGTAGCACTGACCTTCATTGCTAAGCAGTTATATCAATTTTGCACTTTTCATGGAAATACATACTTTTAAAACTCTAGGTAATTTATAGTTAAATGAAAATGAGTAAGTATAGTTGTGAGCATTTTAACGCTTAAACTGGGGAGGAATACAATAGGACCCAGCTGAAGAGTGGTTCGTTTAGCACTGACTTTATGGGTAAGATTAATATGGTCGGTGTGTCCTGTAGACTCGAGCTGTTTAGGTGGGAATTGGATAAGGGGGCCTTGACAAGCTGTTTCATCTGGATCAGAACCAAGACTGAATCTATAGTGCTCCTTGTGCACTTGGTGTCTGGATGATAGTCTCAGTGCTCGGTTAGGAGTGGACAGACCTATGCAATAAGACAGGACCATGTCATTTGTGATCCTTGCTCAAGTAACTGGGAGCAGCTCTGCCTTCTCCTTGCCTGCTGCATACTTGGAAGCATTAACAATCATCAAGAAGGTGATGTATCAGAGATAGCTGGTGACATCATTGGGGACCTGGCAGTTTCTTAGGTTGGATGAGCTCTAAATTAGGTTTTCGGGGCTGAGAAGAATATTGTGCAGCATCACAGTTCAGTCAGTGATTTCACTCTGATACTGACCTCTCCCCAGACCATTAAGATATGGAAGGTCTTGTTTGGTAAATGTATGTATTTGTGGGAGTGACACATGGTACCCCAGAGAACGCATAGCTGCAGGATGCAGCTTTCAGGCTGTCACCTGAGCTCAGGTCTACAGTAGTTTCTGCCTACCTCCATCTATTACCTACCCTGCCTTCTACCTATTTACTGCTACATTCTCAGTAGGCACCAAAAATGTCCCTGGGTGCTTGTGGCAGGGCACAATGTCTTTGTTGGTCTGTGAAACTATTAGACATAAGTATTTTCCCCTGCAAACCTCTCATGGCATGCATCTTACAATAAGATTTCAAAGCTTTTGTGAGAAATTTGGCTATTTGAAGGGGGGGGTGAACTTTATAATATTTACATGAGTAGAAAAAAACAGAAAAATACTAGAGTTGCAAATGTTTTTCTCATTTCAGGTAGCTCATGTGAGCAAATTTAGTGAGAACAGTGGATTGGGGATAAGTCTGGAAGCAACAGTGGGCCACCACTTCATCCGGTCTGTTCTACCAGAAGGCCCTGTGGGACACAGTGGGAAGCTCTTCAGTGGAGATGAGCTATTGGAAGTGAGGAGCTCTGATTTCCCCTTTTTCTACAGATGGAAAAGACTGCTGGAGAATTAATGGTGACAAATAACTAAAGTCAGCTCAAAGCAGAAATAGCAAAGCTGTGTGTGTGCACCAAAGTACAGATCCAGTCCAAAAGTATATTCCATTTTGGTGGTGTTTGTTGTGTTGTGTTTTATGCTGTTTTAGCTTCCAAAGACTATGAAACTTTCTATGACAGTTTTTTAATGTGTATTCAGTTCTTAGAATAGGCAGCACTTTCATATGCTTCCATGGAGAATAATGATAAACAGTGAGCATGTCCTTTCTGTTCCCATTTGCTCAGTTCTTATCACTCACTAGCTATCTACTGGTATTTGTTTCTCTGCAAATTGAAAAGTTTTGTTCCCAGTTTTAAAACCATTTTTGCATACCATTATGCCATTTCTAGTTTTTTAAAGTAAATTCATTAAATGCTAATTCTTTATAGTTTTTTTTTTTCTCCTGCATCCTTTGGGAATATTGTTATTTTCTCTTCCTACAATACACTGGCAGATCAAACCTAGGGAGAAGCTAAGGATTTTGCCCTGAGTACCTGAGAAGTTCCAATTGTAGCCAGACTTTAAATGTGCATGCAGACCCTGTTAGGTACTCACACAGGTCTAATTACAGTTCTGGGCATGGCAGAACCACAGCTGTCACCATAGTAACATTTGCGTTCATGGAAAAATGGTGTTTCAAACAATCCTTGTATTTTGAAACTTTATCTTATGTGGAACATGTGTGTTCTTCTGTAGGTGAATGGTATAAATTTGCTTGGGGAAAACCATCAAGATGTGGTCAATATTTTAAAAGAATTGCCTATAGATGTGACAATGGTGTGCTGCCGCCGAACTGTGCCACCCACCGCTTCATCAGAACTGGATGGCCTGGACATAAGTGACCTTGAACTAACAGAAAAGGTATCAGACTCGCAGAAACTAGGCTGATTTGAACGTATCATAGCAGGACTTAATAGTGTTAAAATGTATTATTTTCATTAGTACTTCATTGTTTTCACATAGTCTATGCTTATAAAATATATCTACAAGTCAAACAGGCCTGGGCTGGAATCAGAATTGTTCCAACTGGCAGAAGTATGTAAATAGTGTATGTGTGGTACACAGATGGAAAACCATACTTTTATATACCTACCCAGCTGTTTCTGGTTTGCAGTTACTCATTCAGTGAATAGCTAAAATATGGAAGGATACATTCCAGTGAATATATTGGTTTTAATTTATTTGTGCATTTTAGTGTGAGAATATGAGAAAGTTGAAGTCCTAATTCACATCAAATAATTTCCTGTGATGCCCGTTTTCCTATCTGCTTATTCTCAGCTGTTTGTAGTGTTCAAAACCAGAGCCAAGCACTTGTTGGAGGAAGTGCTGTATACATTTAGCATAGGACCCTAATCAGATTTCGGGAGGAAGGAGTCCCATTTACATTATGCTTAAGGAATCAATACAGTGAAATAATTTTACAACTTAAAAGAATCAAGTGCATGGCTTATTATTCACATGGATGATCATAATGGAATGGAACAAGAATCATTATTCTAAATTGTGTGCCACTCAAAGGCTGAACCATGTGTATGCATGCACATGTTCACGTGGTGCCCATGGGATGGTCCCAGGGAGGCGAGGGAAGGTGATTGTGTCCATGGCTCTACGCAGTGCAATAGAATATCAAAAGCAAAGGCAGCACACAAACTAGAATTTCATTCTGTCAAACACCTTTGTTAAAATTGATATGTTCACATAGGTAAAAAAGGTTGGATTAACCTGTTTTCACTTTGATTTGTTTATGTTGAGAGAAGCTAACATTTGAAGCCCAGTTTGTGTCAAGTGTTTTGCAAACATCATCCCTACTTAATCCAACTATTTCTATGTACTTTAGAGGTCTTATTTGTATATAATACAAAACTTTACACATAACCACCTTTTCTTGAATTTATCTTATTTATTGGGAATTCTTTTTAGTTAGTGGCAACACACTTCTTTTTATTCTTCTTGTAGTGGTGATTCAAAAACTTATACAAGAAATGAAAGTACTTTGTAAACCATACTATAGATGCATAACCACTGAATAAGCTCATAGGAAATTCTAGCTTATGTTTTTAATGCCTGTTATGACTTGGATTTTTGAAACTGTTTTGTTCTATACAGATACCAGAATCAGAATGAAACAGTTTTGCAGTGTTGGTGCATGTGTCAAATGCTATACCCTCTGAAATAAGAGATGCCTGATTTGTTATTCAGCCTCATATAGATCTTGGTGAGTTCATCGGGTCATCGGAGACAGAGGATCCTGTGCTGGCGATACCTGATGTGGATCAGAATGCCGAGGAGATTCAAACACCAGTGGCCATGTGGGAGGCTGGCATTCAGTCCATAGAGCTGGAGAAAGGGAGCAGGGGCCTTGGCTTCAGCATTTTAGACTACCAGGTAAATTGATCCTGTTTTCCTAATTGCTGAAAGGATGCCATGCTCGCAAAGAAAATTATTGTTAACAGATAGCAAAAAAATACTGTTTTACAGTTAGTAATGATTTTTACTTGTTCAAATGAATTGCTCAGGATAATAATATAATTGAATGATTTCTTTTTATTATAAATGGTTTCTTTTAGCATTATACTTATTAAACTGTTTTATGTTTCAGCTAGAGAAACACAGATTGCTTTTGAGGAGTGTCATTTGAGGGCTCTTTATTTCCATACTCTTAATTGACAGCTTATATTTTAGTGGTCATCCATAAAGTATTTGCTATTTTGTATAATATGGAGGTAAGTGTATACTTGGATATGTCACAAATTAAAACATTCCAGTTATTTCACTAAATTTATGATTGTTTGTAAGTTGCCTCAGTGTGGCTTGCATCCTTCCCTGAATTGTTTTGTGCTAGGCAAATGTGGAAATGCTGAACACTGCCTGATAAAACACAGGTTTTACTCCTAATATTTTTCAATTCAGGGTATCTCTAAAGACTCCAGACTACATCCTTGTAGCACAAGTGCTGCATGGCTTCTTTTTGTATTTCTTCATTTTTAAAGGACAAGACCTGTGTCAGCATGCATCCATCCACTATACAAATACTGTGGTTACAAATGCCCTTGACATCCAGCTTCAGGTGACAGCAGAAAACTTAACACTCTACCAAAAATTAAAATTTCCTTTTGATGTTATCTAGTATTACCTAGGGGTCTGTTTAACAACACTAGCAAATGAGGTTTCCATTGTTTCTGTCAAACTCTTCTGACCTTCCTGAAATGAAACACACATCACCTTGTCCTAGGTATTCATTAGAACCTCCATGAAAACCTTGAGACACTCAACAATTGGAGAGGACAGCATGTAAAATACACTTCAGCTGTCACAATGAGCTGACTTCTTTTCACCCTCCTGCCTGTTAGGACCCCATCGACCCAACAAGCACGGTGATAGTCATTCGTTCTCTGGTGCCTGGTGGTATTGCTGAGAAGGATGGCCGGCTTGTTCCAGGAGACAGGCTCATGTTTGTCAATGACATTAACCTGGAAAACAGCAGTCTTGAAGAAGCCGTGGAAGCACTGAAGGGAGCGCCCTCAGGGATGGTGCGGATAGGTGTGGCCAAGCCTTTGCCTGTAAGAACTTGGATTTTATTGTTTTCTCATATATTTGTAAGGGAAAAGACACTTTCCTGCCACTAAGGAGAAGACAATAGTTATTCAGAAGCAAAATCATTTTGTAGCTAGTTGCAGGACAGTATTTTGGTGTTTCACATTCTGTTTGCACTGCAACATACTGTGAGTATTTCTGTCACTTAAAGTGGAGCCTGAATAAAAATAAACTTAAATCTGTAGACAAATCAGAAAATTCTTTTCCTATAAAAGTTCTACACAGGTTACTGGTACCAGATGATGTGGTAAGACAATAAAAATTTCCCTTCTTATTATAAAGTAGAATACAAGTGTAGAGTTCTCAGTGTCTCAGAATTGCAGTAGGAGTCCGAGGGGAATTCGGGCAGATGGTAGCCCTGTGCAGTTTGGTTTCATTTAGTCCTATAAGCTGTGTTGTATTTAAACTCTCAAGTTGTCCCCTCTTAATTTTAGGGGACAGGTGATTGTTTTAAGTGTTTCCAAAGTTTCTTACAAGAGTTCTAATGGCTGCTTGGGAAGAAGTGCTTTCTACTTATTTTAGAGATGTCGGATAAATTCATCATGTCCTCAGTAGCATTCCTAGCTAAGTAAACTGCATCCTTTATAATACTCAAAAAAGAGACAACAAAACATTGTTTTTCTGTAATACTTTATTCTGCAGTTGTCTTAATACTTAAAATTGTCATTATTTAGCCAGAATATTTAGCAGATAAAAATGACCAGATGATTAGTATAAAAATCATTGATTTTGATTATAATTTGCAAGAATAAAACTAGTAGAAAGGGATTCTCATCTAATTGTGTGTTCTTATGCTAGGAAAAAAGGCCTCTGCAACCTTTAAATGAAATGGTTAGGATGGGTATTTGTCTAACTTTGTAGCTTTCCTTCTGTGTTGAGGTCATGTGTTATGATGTGAAGACTCCATTTCCTCCCTTCATTCTTCTATCTCTTTCCCCCTTCCTCTTTCTCATCCTCTTTGTTCTTTCTGTCCCACAAACCCCTTCTCCACACCAATGTCCTGCAGCTTTCACCAGAAGAAGGATATGTTTCTGCCAAGGAGGACATGTTTCTCTGCCCACCACACTCCTGTAAGGAACCAGGCCTGCCTGACAAAGCCCTCTTCAGGGCTGACTTGGCTCTGGTTAGTGGCCACAACTGATTGATTTTTAATAAATGTTCTGCTGAAGTTTTATGGAATAAATTAGTGCATGTAGATGCCCAATATGTACACATTGCTTTAAGCTAGAGAGTGTGAATTAGGTCTTTGACATTATATTTTGTGCCAATACTAACTTGGAAGAGAGAAAATTCTTTTTGTTAGTATTTTTAAATTACAAACTCTTGAATTGCTATTTTGTGGATATTTTGATGTATTTTTAATAAGTATAATACATTCCCATTATACTTAAAATATGAGATGACTTTGGCCCTCCTCCAGGGGCATTATAATTTAGAGTGTTTTGGAGTTTGTGAGGTGTTATAATACGTCATACCTTGTCATAGCAAATCCATTTTGAAACATTGTAGCACACAAAAATATCATTCCTTCCTTCCTTCATTCTTTTTTTCTTTTTTGAGACAGGATCTCACTATGTTGCCGTGGCTTGTCTGCAGCTCCCAGTTATCCATCCACCTGCCTCTGCCTATTGAGTGCTGGGATTAAGGGCATAAACAGCCATCCCAGCTCATCATTTTTAAAATACACCATAAATCAGTATCCTCTCCAGGGTTTGGATGACATTTTTGAACCCCTTTAAATGAATGTTGATTGAATGGAAGCTAAGTGCTTTGTAATAGTCACAGGAGTCCTCAATATTTCTAATGAGCTCTGTTTCCTTGAACTGGTCACTCAACTTCCAGGGGACTTCATGTTTCATCCCTACAGTAACTGAGCTAATTGATTTTAGGATTCCTAAGATTGAAAGGAAGCAGTGATAGATATGTGAATTCTATTGGAGTATTCATTTCAGTAGTACTTTAAAGCAAACATTTGTCTATTATAATCTGGCATAAGTCTCAGTTAATACTAGATAGCACACAGTAAGTATTTATCGCTCAGATTGTTTTACATAATATACATGTGTAGACAATAACATCTACCTTATAGCTTATTAGTGAATTTCAATAAATATTGAAAATATGTTATCAGCCTATGAATTTATATTTTGAGACTCACTTTGAAATGTTCCAGTGATATTTTACCATTTTTTTCATTAATGTGACTTGCAATATTAAAATGTTTATTACTTAATGCTTCTGGTAATCCATCCATGATCAGGCTCCTTCAGTGTTTGTGTGATTCTAGCTCAAACACAAAGTTACTCTTTGGTTTCTGCATCTTAGCTAGACATAGCTGCCTTTATGAATAATGGTTTATCAAGTATGAAGTATGATAACACAATTCTTTGCATCATAAAATGTTGTGTATTTTCCTTGATTATATAACTGTTTAAACTTAAAATGAGTTCCTTAGTTAGTTTAGTTTGTTACCTTTAGTTTGTTAGTTGATGCAACATGACATAATAGTGTCCAGAGATATCGGCCTCTGTTGTGGGTAGTTTGTCTTTGTGCTGCTGGATCAATGCATATTTCAAGTGGTTAAGAGCAGGGAAGGCACATGCAGAAAACAAGGCAGACAAAGAAGGCACAGCTGTGCCTTTTAGCTTAGGTAGTGACAATGATGCTTAATAGGGTACGGTAACCAGCTGGTCTTATTTTATTCCTAGATAGATGCACCTGATGCTGAGTCAGTAGCTGAGTCAAGATTTGATTCTCCGTTCTCTCCTGATAATGACAGTGTGTACTCTACCCAGGCCTCCGTTTTATCTCTTCAAGATAGTGCTTGCAGTGATGGCATGAACTACGGCCCCTCCCTTCCATCATCTCCTCCCAAGGTACAACAGAAATGTCACTTTATTTTAGAAAAAAAAGTCTGTGTATAACCTTTGGAGGTCAGAGTTTCTTGGAATTGTAGAAGCAGCAGGTCTTAGTCACTGTTCTATTGCTGTGAAGAGACACCATGACCAAGATAACTTAAAAAAAAGAAAGCATTTAACTGTGGGCTAAGTTACATCCTCAGAGGGTAAGTCTATTATGGCAGGGGGCATGGTGACAGGCAGACAGGCAGTATGCTGGAGTGATAGCTAAGAGCCTATAGCTTATCCACAAGTAAGAGGCAGGTAGATGATGAGACTGGACCTTGAGTGAGCTTTTGAAACCTCAGAACTCACCCCCAGTTACACACCTCCTCCAAAAAAGCCACACCTACTAATCCTTCTAGAGAGTGCACCAATTGAGAGCAAAATATATAAGCCTATGGGGGCCATGCTCATTCAAACCACCACACAGCATATTACTGATGTCGCGTCTCTCCAGTCACAGGTTCACTTCAGATCAGAGTAATTTCACTGTGTTGTTGATTGTTTAGATTCTTAGTGACTAGTTCAATGTTTGGTAGACACACTGATATAAACAATGATTCAAATGTTTTTTTTTTAAGATTTTCATAATATGTTACTCAAATTGTGCTTTAAACATTAGAATGACTTTGTTTTTTATAAACTAACTTTTAGGCAAAAGAATATAGTAAGTTTATTGTAATTTAACAATTGCTAGCTAATTTATACCTAGTGTTATAGTTATCAGTGTAAAGTGGTATCAAAGAATACTGTACATGCCGATTATAATGGGAAGCAGTATGTGTTGATGTCAGTGGATATGAACGAAGGACATAGTCATTGTGTGACACATCTGCTGTCTTTAAAATTGTTATTAGTGTAAATGCTAATACTCTTAATTTTCTTGGTAAAATGCCCTATATTGTTCAGAAGAAATATTTTAAAGCGTCTGCAAACTTTTAAATACAAGCTGGCATGTTGATACATATTTTAATTTGGATTTTCTGATTCCTAGAGACTGTGTGCTTCTCAATATTTTAGCCATTGTTTTTCACTTATCATTGATATCTTCATCTATTTCATTCACTTTTATTTTCTATTGGCTGCTAATTCTGCTGATATGTTAGAATGTCCAAGAATTGATTTATCAATCAGTTATACATATATACATACATAATGAATATCTTTGTAGTTTTGGGAAGAGAAAAACCTAAAATGTGTGGATGTGGTACTTCCCAGCTTCAGGTCACAAGTTACTTCCAAGAAAACAAGGACGTGTGGGGTCCTGCTCTGATTTATGTGTTGTGTACAATAGTGACTGAGGCTCGAACAGGGCATCTAGGCAGTTCGTGTGTGGATGTAATTCTATATTGGAAATATACAGTAAATAAACATGAAAATACAAAGACTAGAGTATTCTTAAAGTGATAATGTGTTCTCTACTACATTGAATTTAGTGTAAAAGGGCCCCGTTCAGGAGTAGGTTGGGGAGCAGGATCCCTTCCGTCTGGCTTTGTTTCCTTCCTTTCCTGATTTACAGCTGGTTTTGGTCAGGACATTTGCAAAGCATTTTGTATTATGTCTGAAGCGCACCTGTTACCCTTGCTCATGCCACCGGGCATCCTCCTGGAATTGGTTTGCAAAGTACCATCTTCAGTGAGCTGCCACTCCTCGCCTATACACCTGAGGTCCCTGGCTGCAGGCTGTCTGGACTGTGTTCATCCTTGACTGGCCTCGGGGCTGGAAGCTTGTTTCATATCCTGGTGGGATCTCCTAATCCGTAGCATCACACACTTCTTGCCAGTGGGACAGATTGCATTGTTTAATGTAGTAATTATTACTTAGAGGGATTACACAATCTGCATACTGAGAAGCATATACTTTACAGGGCAAACACTGGCTATATGCAGCACAACATATTGACTTGCTGAAGTCTGTTTGCCTCATTTTTTTCCTAAGCAGTTTACTCTTTTGTTGAATCAAAGTTTGGCAAGCTGGCCTGACAACTGAAATATTTAAACTAAAAAGCAACAAATAAAACATTAATGAGGGTGTTTAAACCTCCTGTGGGCTTTTGGTTTCCTTAGTTAAATACTGCAATTCTGGTGTTTTCTTGTGTTTTGCTTTTGTTTGTTTTTGTCTCTGAATTTTGGTACCTACATTTCTACTAGGAAAAATTATAAAGCTGAGTAAATTATATGATCTATCCTCCCTGTTTGCATTAAGTTCATCATAAGGGCTTGTTAAGGAATTCAGAATCGAACTTTTGGTCAAATGGCCTCAAGACTTTTCAATTAATAGAACTACACCATTAGCATCTACAACTATTTAAGCATATGTGGTTGTGTACACTATATGACCATATCATACATATGGGTATTTATGAAAAAACAAAGATGCCCAGGTACACACTTGTAAGAATGATGAAGTAGAACCCTAGGACCTCAGTGTTTCCTACAGTTTTTCTCCTTACTATGCTGAGACTGGAAATGGAATTCACCTCTGTTAGACACTTCTTTACAGCTTGGTCAGGTATACCAATGGGATTTCTAAGCCCTGACCTTGGAGCATGTTCTTGTCCTTGGGGGAGGCCTTGAACTGCAGAGCAGACTTTAGTGCAGCAGGCTAAGCAGCTGTGAGCTTCCACTTCTGTTCACAGCAGTCTCCATTTTGGTGGGGAAGAGTGCATATGATATTTCAGTTTTACTCATTAATACTTACAGATTTAAATTATCCATGTCTCTGTGTATCATCTGAATTACAGGCAGTTTATTAAAATACTCATTTGAGCATGGTGGCCTCTTCATCACTTGCAGGCTTTTCTTTTTTCTTCTTTTTAACAGGGTCATTCTATGTAACCCAGGGTAGCCTGGAACTTGCTATGTAAACCAGGCTGGCCTTGAAGAGTTCTGCCTGCCATTGCCCCAACCACAACCCTCAGTGCTGGAGTTAAGGCCTGTGCCACAACATTCAGCCAGTCAAGACTTTAGCATGAGGATTTAGAGTTCTAGACCAGGAAAGAGTAGCATAGCAAATTCCTGTTTCAAGAGACCCAGGAAATAAAAATAAATAAAAAGTATATTTTAGTATCAATTAGCTGTAGCCATTGAACTTTTCTCCTTTTTTGTTGTTTTAGGTTTTGATTTGGAGGGTAATTTGAAAAAAAATAATTTATTGTATTTTCTTTATTGCTTCTAAAAACATGACAAAAATGCTATAATAATTGTTTTCCAAAATTAAATGTCAGCTGAAGCTTGTTTAAAGGCTCAACATAGTTTCTGAAGAAACTCTTGCTTAAAAAAAAAAACCTAAGAAAACAATCTGTAAAGATTTTATAGCTATGTTATGTCCCCTTTGATGTATTCTCCTGTTTCACGCACATTCTCAGCCTGCCAGCAGGGATGAAACTGTCTGTCACAACTGACAATTAGTTCTCCAGGAAGTGTTATGTGTTCTAGTACAGGGTGAAGTTGTGTTGGTTAAGATAAACCTTCCTGTTCACTTAACACAGCAAGCACAACTAATCGATTCCATCATAATAAAAAGCAGCCAGGCATCCTACACATCTCTGCTTTGTGGCATTCTCTAGCATATGACCCCACTGTGTATATAGTTGCATCTGTTCTGGGATGGTTTTGGAGAAGGGCATACAATAGAAAACTATATGAAGCGCTTGAGCCAGAAGGTGGAAAACAACTGCAAAGGATAGTGGAGGAATTGCTGGCTATTAACCCTTACAACATGGGAACCACATGAAATTAGTAAGGAGGAATGCAATTCAGAAAGTGGGAGAATGGTGGTAAGGTAGCGGAGTTGCGATTGTAATGTGCAGTGGGAATCCTCTGATGCGTTGCTATCGCAGCTGTCAGCAACCTCATTGTTTAGGTAATCTATATAAGTCATTTTTCTTGAAAAGTAATGAGTAGTGCAAAAAAACCCAGGGACAGATATTGGGATTCAAGCTGAAGATCAGAAAGCAAAGCAGCCAGCCAGTGATTCTTACCACTACCAAGGCTGAAATGGAGATCCTATCTTTCCTGTGCCTGGAAACTGCATTTCACATGAGACTGTTTGCTTCTTTCTTTTATACTTCTCTAGGGCTGGTATTAAAGGCATGAACTCTGTTTCTCTTTCAGAATGATTTACTCTTGTGTAGCCCAGGGAGGTCTTGGATTGACAGAGATCAGTTCTTTGTAAAGTAGAAGAAAAATACTAGAATGTGCCACCCTTCTTTTTTTTGTGGGATTGTAATACATAAAACTCATAATCACCAAAAATGCAAATTTGGTTATGTAAAGAACTTTTTCATGATAAAATACTACATATGCAGACTTAGAATGCTGGTGAACTACTTTTAGTCCAGACTTCACATCCTGAAAAGAAAAGGTGACTGCATCTGGCAAAAGGTGCAAGGGATGTGGAGAGATCATTCACATTCCAGATCTCATTTCCAAGCAAATATAGGCTTATAAGAATAGTTCATAGGCACCCCACTGTCTCTTTCTATGAGAGAACACTGGGATATATGAGCAGTTGCTCTACTAATTCAAGCTTGGTTTCGCTATACAACAGTGTGTTACATAAAAAACTGTAGTAGCTAAGGTCTATTGTGTATTCCCATTAAGTCAAGACTAGTTTTAACTCTTCGAAAGTCCTGTGCTCCAATCTATTATTTTCTCCCTTGAAATAGGTCAGAGTAACAGAATGGAGAGTGGTAAGTATGAACTCTGCCAAAGCTTGTAGTAATTGTGAACCAGTATCTCAACTGAGGCTTCAAGAGTGATAGTCCACTATTGCCTGTCAGCTACAATTATGCTCATGAGGAGAGTGGAATGGACTTTAAATACTGACCTTATGATTAAAGAGAGTGGAAAAAGTCTAAATGCCACTTAATGATGGTTCTGCTTAGATATTAAGATACTAAGTTCATGTGCAAGTATGTATATATATTTGCATGATTATTTTGCAAGTGCATAAAAATGGGTGGATCAATGTCTGATTCCAGACATATGTCCTGGGCAAGTCAATGGATGAAGGCATCACAAGTATAGACTTCTGTAGCATTCTCTGTTCATAAGTAGTATATTTTTGTACAAAATGAATCTTTTATGTGTGAATGTATTCTTTAGACCTTTGCACTTTAAAGGAATTGAGAGTGCTATGGATGTTGTTCCTGGTACAGTTCTTGCATAGTTTATACAAAGTCCTGAGTTTGACCCCCCCAGTATCATAAGAAAGGAAACAAAAATGTTGATAGGAGAATCTAAGGGAAACATATACTTATTAACAGCAGTCTGTAAAGCAGATGCTTGCCCCAAGGGTGTAAATGCTAAAATATGTCTGTTGTGAGGAGACATGTGCGTTCATATAGTTCTGTAGAATTTTAAACTTTCAAGGAATTTTAGAAATGTTCTAATATGTAGCTTTCGAGAGATGTTCTTTTATATATAGATTGCTGATAATGGAAACTAGATTAGAACATAGGTTTTAGGACTCTCTGATATAGTATTACTTGTTCGATCTTGTAGAACATGCAGTTTTCCCTACAGTAATCTGAATTTCAAGGCTTTCTATTCTTCTGCCTGAATACCAATAATTATCTGTAAATAACTTGCTCCTGGAGAGTCCTGGGATTCCAGCTGCCATACTTGGTGCTCTCAATGTACAGTGGCTTCCAGCAAGTATGATTTGGGAATATAAGCTCAGCTCTTTGCTTCTCTGTGTAGCTTTAACTTGGAATTGTTTTGTTTATAGCTAGAACTAAATATTGTATCTAAAGTTATCTTATATTTGACCTATTCAAGTATAATTCAGTAGAACATGAGATCTAAGATTTGTAAAATAATGTAATGGAAAACATTTATGAATTTAAAAATTCATGCAGGAAACATGCTCAGTGAGGAATTCGTCTTGATAAGGCTTTAAAAATAATGAATAAGTGTGTTTCATTTTTCACAAAATAGTAATTCACTAAAAAATGGCTTATAATAAATTGATATAACTCTTAAGTCTCAGTTTTGATGAGTGGCTTTGTCTGTTCATTATCAGGATGTGACTGGAAGTTCTGACCTAGTGCTTGGTCTTCATTTGTCCTTGGAAGAACTCTACACACAGAATCTCCTGCCCAGACAGCAGGCTGCCTCTCCTCTCCCAGACAGGAGCATGGCAGCTACTTCTGGTTCTGCCATCGGTGACTATCCACCTGCAAATGCTGTTGAACAAAAATATGAATGTGCAAACACAGTAGCATGGACTCACTCACAGTTACCAAGTGGCCTGTGCGCCACAGAGCTTGCCCCTGCACTGCCTACTGCAGCTCAAAAGGTACCATCTTAGAGCTAACACCTGGTGTTGTGACTAGGTTGATGATGGTGGAGGGGAGAGAGAAGAGTTACATCCTGAGTCTCTTCTAGTTTGGGATGAGAGCTTGCTTGTGTGACTCTGAAGTGACCTGTGAACTTGATTGATGTAGGTTCTTGCTAAAGCACCACTCGTGATAAACATGTGCAATGTTGAAATGAAGACTCCAAAGTCTAATTTTCTTCCCATGTGACTTTCATTTTTCTTTCTTTTGGGGTTCTGAGTATTTAACTGAAGAGAGCTCTCTGGCTTCTGATGCGGAGTCTGTCCCACTGCAAAGTATGTCCCAAGAAACTTTTGAGAGGACGGTCACTATAGCAAAAGGCAGCTCCAGTCTGGGTAAGTTCCTTATCTTCCACATAGTGCTGTTCCTTAGCCCACAAGAAGACAGTAGATTTCAACATCATTTTTATCTGCAGAGAATGGATGCTAGAAATGTTCTTGCTTCCTTTTATGTGCTCATTATTTTTCCTGAAAAAGGAATGGTGGGTTTGTTTGTTTCATACCAGCTTACATCCCTTATTTCCAAGTATTCAAAAATCTCATTTACATTCAAGTAAAAGTTATATGAATTGTGTGAGTGTGTGAAGTAGAAAATCATAAAAGGAACTCTTCGAAAATGAGAAGTCAGCAATTGGAATTCTATGTTCTTTGGGAACGTAAATTATTACTTTCTTTGAATATTGCTAGTTATGTGAGAGTCAGATTGTATTTAATTTCTTTCATTCACCGATAGAAAGACTTAACGACTGCCAGGTGTGCCACTACCAAAATATAAATGCAGGTTATTCATAGTCTCTGTTTGTCCCTGGAAGAACTCTACACACAGAACCTCCTGTGGAGATAGTCCTCTGTCACTCTGAACAGGATTTGCCTGCTTCATAACCACAAAACCTTCTAAATGGGCCCAAATTTCTTGAGGAGCTGAATCCCTGGTGACAGTAGGTAGAGCTGCTGGGACAGAGTGCACCTGTTCCTGCAGTGAGAGAGGCAGCCTTTCTCCTTTTGGGACTGATGAAGGGCCATCCACCAGAACCTCAAATGACCAAATGTAGCCTGATTGTTTGCTCACATCGAAGATTGTCTTCCTGCAGTGACCAACCAGCAAGCATCATTTACACAGGTATTGCGCCACTGGACCTGCATTCTGTTGAAACTTGAGACTCAGAAGTGACTTTCCTAGAACCCCTCAGACTCTCCTAGATTTTGTTGTTTTGTGATAACTGGATAATCTACCAATACCAGCTGATAGAAGAATTGTAGGCTAGGATGTGTATTGCTGTACTACATATAATTGCATATGAGAAAATGATTTAAACAAGGAATTGAAAAAAAATTGCATGAGTCACATGATTCTGTTTATCTTTTTCATAAGATACAAGATTATTAAATAAGATATATAATTTAAATCAAACAAGACATATAAATATAATCAATAGATAAATATTCATATCACATATGCAGTAAACCATGCATATTAAATTCACTGACTGGCTTTGGCTCTGGGATCTTCCTCAACTCAACCATCTTAAGATAAGTTTTACTGACATCTGTTCAGCTCTGACTGCTGCCCAGCAGAGTGTCAGAGGCCACGTGGTGTGCTCACTTTGTAGGACATTGGTGAGAGTTCTCAGCAAGTTCTATACTACATATTTTGGGTTGTGGCAAATGTAAGATTTCCCATCCTGTAGCAGATTTGGATGCTGCTGTGTATTGTGGGTCTCTGAGAAATGATAATGGAATATAGCATAGCGACTTTTACAAAAATGTAGAAGCCTTTTTATTATTAAACAACTCACGATAGAGAAGCCTCATTTAGAAAACGCTATGGAAATATATTTACTCCACCACCAAACAGTGGTTGTTCTTTTGGGACTCACGCCACAGAGATACCACAGTGTAACTCTTCCCCTCCACACACAGAGAAGGGATGAATCTCCCCTGGTTAAGCAGTCAATGCTCTATGCATGAGTAGCCTAGTAAATGTAATGCTTCAATGCTTTTATAATGTCATGTGGTGACTGGCCTCCTGTTTTAGACTTATGTTTCTGCTCTAGTTACAAGTAAGTAGGCCATACAGTACTTAACCTTTTGGAATTATTTCACATGGCATAATATCTTTAAATCTCAATTGTCATACATCAGAAATATCCTTTTTTAGGCTAAATACTATTGAATTTTTAAGTAAACACTGCATTTTTTTTTTTTTTTACTCATCTGATGATTGACATTTGAACTCCTTTCCTGTTAGGTTTTAGGTTTTGATGGGAAAATACTATGAGTTCATTAAGATCTTGTTAAAAAAACAGTAAGGGTTAAAAGTATCCTTTATCATATCTGGAAATTCATTTAAACTTAAGATTTAATTAAAATGTAAAGTATCCCTCAATTGTGAATATGAGGGTAATGTTGATGCAAGAAATCACAATATATTGCCTTATAGCTTGTACCACAATATTGGAATGTAAGTACTGATATTTATTTAATTGTATTATTATTACTTCATTTTTCACTCAAGAATTAGGTACATACTGAGGTATTTTTATAAGTTTAGGCCCTGTTTGTTTAATAACTTGGTACTCAGCAAGGTTTCTCTTACATATGTGCCCAAGCTGAGATCTGTGGGCCACATTTGTCTCTGTGCAGCTGAGTATAGCCATGATTGCAGCCCAAAACAAAATTGTAAAGTTACTTCAGCATTGTGTGATAGTCTGCTGCAACTTTTTAACTTGAAGGTTTAGTTCTTGAGTGTGAACTTTATAAATGACATCATGTCACAATATCAAGATTTTGAATATGCCTATCTTTTCAGAGTTAAAATTCAAAGCCTATCATGTGAAGAATGTTTCTCTTAAATTTCATTTGACAGGAGATTCAAATGTTTAGATATCTAAAGTACCAACAGACAAAGTAACCTTGAAAGAGTCCCATTTTAAAATTCTGTAAACATAAATATTATAGTAATTCAGTGTATATAGCTAAGATTTAATGTGGTAAGATTTTCCATTGTAACCTAAAGTAACATAAAGTTTAGTAAGTAATACCTTAGGAAATCTAAACAGGTGAGGGTGTTCTCGGAGGTGTGCAGTCATCATTTGCTCAGGTTTCTAGTCTGTGCTCAGCCCATGGGAGGTTTGCAGCCTTTCTCCTCTGGATGCTTTGCCTCTATTCCTAGTGACAATGAAAAGAAATCATTAATAAATTAGAGGTTTCTATAAAAGTTCTCACCACCAATTTGTTTTGATTTTATGAAACATTTTTGTAGTTGTAGTTTTTGATAATGTTATTTGGGGAGAGGGTCTCAGGCAGCCCTTTAAATTCATGATTGGAATTTCAGGCATGTGCCACCAGGGGTTATTCTTTAACCTTATTAAACTTAGATATGAGAGAAAGAGAGAGAGAGAGAGAGAGAGAGAGAGAGAGAGAGTGTGTGTGTGTGTGTGTGTGTATACATACCCACTTCAAGTTATGATGGCTATACTTCAAGTTATGGTGGATAACCAAGGGCAATGGCAATATCCTGTCTTGTTTTGGAGACCTCTGGGGTATCCCTGACCACTAACTGATAGGGAGGTGTCCTATGATTTGCACTGTACTTTTCTTTAATAATTCATATCTTCTGAGACCAGCATTGTCCACCCATGCAGAGCAATTGTTTTAGAACTTTATTTTTAATTATATTTTTAAATTAGCTTTTGAACTAGTGATCTCCCATCAGACTTGCTCCTATCTGTGGTTTGGGTTAATCCACACACTGCCAGCTCTGTAGCTTTAGATCTAGTAGTGCTTGTTTTATGACACTTGGTGTGGATATATTTAGAACTGTAATGTCCCCTTGATGAATTGTGTGCTGACTCTGAGGTAAACTTTATCTATTCTGACTAGTTTTGTTTTGAAGTCTATTTTGTTAGATACTGAAGTAGTTAGACCTGTTTGTTTCTTCGTTATATTTCCTTGAAATAACTTTCCATCCTTTTATTCAAAAGTGATATAAATATTTAGAGGTGAGTTATATTCTTGAAGGCAGAAGAAAAAGCAAATTTTGTTCCATTTTCAGATATTTTCCTGGGGGAGTTGAGACTGTTAGTAGTTAGAGTTGTTATTGAAAGATGGGTTCAAGTCCTGTCTTTTCTGTTGCATTTTCTTATGTCTCTTTTTATTAACTGTCCAAGTATTGTTTATTTATTTCTTTTGGCATCTTTGAAGTGTTTATTCTTTTCTTGAGGTGGAAGTTTTTCTTCCAACATCCCCTGTAGAGCTGGGCTAGTGATCATAAATTCCTTGTCTATATATGTCATGGAAAGCTTTTTATTTCTCTTTCAGTTTTAGTAGGTAGTTTTCCTGAGTATAATAGTCTGTTGGCAGTTGTGGTCGTTCAGAGCTTAAAATACATATTTCCAGGTCTTTCTGGCATTCAATCAAATAACCTGGTGTTATCCTGATATGCTTGCCTTTTTAAGTGACTTGACCCTTCTCTCTTGCAGTTTTCAATACTATTTTTGTCTCTTTTTGCATTTTAACTATAAGACAGTGAATTTCTCAATCCAGGCCTGTGATATTGGAATATAAATATTACAGGGAACATATTAAAAATACTTCAAAAATATATGATTTGATATGGTTGGTATTTATATTTAGATAGATAATAAAATAGGTTTTTTTTAATATAAAGATAGCCTAACAATCACTTTTTCACTTTTGTCAAAGTTTCTATTTTAAAAAAATCATTATGGTATGATTTATACCTGTAGTCTTAGCATTTGGGAGGCAGAGGCAGGTGAATTGCTTGCAGTTTCAAGGATAGCTTGGTCTACATGGCAATTTCCTGGCTAATCAGAATTATAGAGTGAAAACCTGCCTCAAAGCAAAACAAAATGACAACAAACCAACAAAAAGTTCCAGGTGTGGTGGCTCTTGCCTTTAATACCAGCATGATAATCCCAATACTGGGAGGGGGCAGAAGGCAGTAAGATCTCTCTGAAGCAGGTTTATTCTACATAGTGAGTCCCAGGTCTACCATAGCTATATAGTGAAACTATGTCTTGAAATAACAGTAACAATAACAACAAAAATAAAGCCTCTCAACTAACAAGAAGAGGGAAAAAGAACAAGAAAAATACTTGATAGCCTTATGTCTATGTCCTTTCTTGTTTATCCATACAATCTTGTTTGAAAGAAAATATTTCCGCTTTGCTAAAGTGAATTATCTTGTAGTTGGAATATTTTAAATGTAAGTTTAGAGGTTCTATGTGTATCTAGGGTATGGATAAGCTGTTGAGGTAATAGTCATTCAAATAGCATATATGGAATGGATGCTTGGAGAAAGTGATATAGAAGCATTAGAATGAATTATGTGTGTTAGAGCATACTGCAAATAGAGTACCAGCTAAAGAGAAAAAGGGAAGAGGTTAATTGTATGTATGAGAGAAGGCAGCTATGCTGTAGCTGGAACTCAAGGGCCAAGGACTGTGTGATAGAAAGGAAGGACCCAAATTTCAAGGAGAGCAGATCTCCTGTGTTCTCTGAACTGTACCTGAGAGACATGTTATATCTTAGGAAACTGTTGGAGGGCTTCATGCAGAAAATACATAGGCTATGATTTTCTCTTTTGAATTGTTTTTCTAAGGTGAGTACAGTGCATTGGAAGGGACAGTATCAGAAAGCAGATGACTGCTTAAGGGGCTGCAAAATTATAAGCAAGAGGTGGTGATGGCTTGATGCAGGTATTATTTAGAAGTGTAGAAGAGCAAATGGATTCAAGGTACTATTTGGAGGTAGAAATGGTAGGTCTTATGGATATGTTAAACCTAGGGGAGAGATGTCAGATAGTAACCAAAATAACTCCAGGACTGGAGAGATAGTTCAATTGATGAAGCACATATCAATCAAGTATGAGGACCTTAATTGAGATCATCAGAACCCACATTAAAGGTCAGATTGGGGGTTACCTGGTTGTAATCTCAGCTATGATGAGCTGGGAGACAGAAATGAGCAGGCTTCTGGAGCTTGCTAGCCAGCTAGCCTACTGTACCTGGTGAAGTTCGAGACCAATGAGGGACTTTGTCTCAATCAAAATATTGAACATGCCTGAGGAACATCAAACAAGGTTGTCCTCTGACCTCCACACATACTTGTACATACATGCACCCCAGGCCCACACACATGTACATACACACACATACCCCCCCACACCACCGATACACACACCAATATGCATACAAAGAATGACTCCTGTGTTTGTTTTTGAACAACTGAGGATACTATGATAAGATGGCAATGCCTTTTATCAAGAAGGGGAAGATGGCAGAAATGAGAGGAAGTGAAAAAGTAAAAGTTATACAGCATTATAATGAATAGAAGAGAGCAAGATAAGAGATACCATAATAGAGGGAGACATTATAGGTTTAAAGAGAAATCTGGCATTAGGGAAATGTCTGGAAATCTACAAAGATGACACCAAATAACGATCTAAGCAACAGAGGAGAGGCTACTTTAAATGCCCTCCCCTGATTATGAGATTGATGACTGACTTATATGCCATCCTATAGCCTTCATCCAGCAGCTGGTGGAAGTAGAAGCAGACACTCAAAGCTAAACACTGAACTGATCTGTAATCCAGTTGCTGAAAAGGAGGAGTGATGAGCAAAGGGGTCCAGCTCAGGCTGGTGAAACCCACAGAAACAGCTGACCTGAACAAGGGAGAGCTCTTGGTCCCCAGACTGATAGTTGGGATACCAGCATGGGACTACTCCAGACCCCACGAACATGGGTGTCAGTGAGGAGACCTCAGAAATCTATGGGGTCCCTTGTAGTAGGTCAGTACTTATCCCTAGCATAGGAATGGACTTTGGGAGCCCATCTCGCATAGAGGGATACTCCCTGAACCTAGATACATGGGATGGGCCTAGGCCCAATCCCAAAGGATATGACAGACTCGGAAGACCCCCCTCTGGAAGGCCTCACCCTCCCTGGGGAGCAGAAAGGGTACAGGATAGGTAGGGTGTTAGTTGGGGGGGGGCAGGGGAGGAGGGGTGGGAGAGGGAATTGGAATTGACATTTAAAACAATCTTGTTTATAATTCAAATAAAAAATTCAAAAAAATTAATTAATTTCTTGATATGAAATCCAAGCAATATGTGAAGACAGTATCTAATGCCAACACTGGGACCTGAATAGAGTTCAGAGACAGAAATTGAATGGATGAGAATTCCATTTTTCTTGGTTTGGATCAATAGACAACATTCAAACACAGGGTAGACTCTGAGGTCAAGACTTTAACCTAGGCTGCAGGATGTTGGTAGATCTGTTCTCTGTGTTTTGTATCTTAAGAAACCTGTATCAGATTCTTTACATAGCATCCACCTGCTATACAGACAAAGATGGTTGAGTGAACTAGACCTAAGGTAGTAACAACTGTCCTCTTAGGCTATCCATTTGGAGTCTTGCCTTTATTATGTTACATGTAAAAGATATGAACTGTTGTTAGAAAACTAGTCTGATACCATATGGTATTTTCTCTAAAAGAGCTTATATCTTGAAAGGTGGACCACATTAAATGCTGTAAATTACAGTGAGTTTTGAAGTGTAAATTGTTTTACGGTCTTATACATTAAACAAGGAATATTTTATTTTTATACAATTTCACTAACATCTTAAATCACATGAGAATATTTTATTGTGGGTCAGCAAGATGATTCATCAAGTAAAAATGACTGCCATGCAAGCCTGATGACCTAAGTCAGTTCCCAGAAACAATGGCAGATAGAAAGAAGTGACCAAAAAGTTGTCTTCTGGTGTCTACATTGACACCTTGGTACACTCACATACATACTCCACAACCACAACTATGACTGACAAAATAAATTTAAAAAAATATTTTTAGAAAAACTTCTTAGTAACTAAGAACATGACTTGTAATCCTTTATCTACAAAGCCATAGGTGAATGCTAAATTCCAATGAGTTTGAACATCATGTCTATGGTCCTTGTCAACATCTTTTCTCCCCACAGGAATGACAGTAAGTGCTAATAAAGATGGCCTTGGAGTGATTGTGCGAAGCATTATTCATGGAGGTGCCATCAGTCGGGATGGCCGGATTGCTGTTGGTGACTGCATTTTGTCTATTAATGAAGAATCAACCATCAGTTTAACCAATGCCCAGGCAAGAGCCATGTTGAGAAGACATTCTCTAATTGGACCTGACATAAAGTAAGTGTCTGGACCCATTTATCTTGGTAAATTTGTGAATTGCATGTCATTAATAAGAATATGTTTTTATTGATAAGTATATATTTCTATATAATGCACAAAATTATAATGTCCATTTCATGTAAACCCATGCTTTATTTCTGATTAGTTCTTGGTTCTGGATAAAGTATAACTAAGGTTGTGACACTTGAATTTTGCTAACTGCAGCATTATGTTGGATTTTGCTTTTCTGGTGTTTCTGTAAGAACCCTAGCTTTGAGAGATATCCCATATTTCATACATCTCATAATCTCACACAGTCTCATGGAGGCTACAGCCCTCGGTATAAAGAAGCAGGTACTAGTGAAGTACCCCATATGAATCCTAGAACCATGCTAGTTCTCTAGGTGCCAGGCATGAGGAAGGCTAAAGAGCACAAGGAGTGCCAACCAGCACCTTTCTTGTTTTCCCTTGTGCCCATGGAGATTCACTGATCTGTGTGGTAAGTTCTGCTTATAGACCCTGTATCTTATTTTGACAAGAAGTGCTTGAATTTCCCTACACATCTATAATGTTCTATAAACACATCATATGGTTTAGTTTTTAGCTCATTAGATGTTCCTTGAGGCAACATAAAATGCAGCTCAGGCTTTATTGCCGTGTCTCACCAATGTGACTCTCCTTTCTAACATTCATCATTGAATATTCATGTTTATTGTGCAAGGGATCAAAGTATAAATCAGCTCAGGGGAAGGCTGCTTACCTTAAATTGTTAGTGATTACTCGTGTTGGGGCCCTTTTCTATTATGTTTTGCCAGTGGCATTCCATTGCAGAATGTGCATTGATAGAATATACTGACCATGTGGTTTCTATTCTGCTATTCATAAGCAGGAGCACATCCCATTGCTAAAGCTCCTGCTGTCTTACATAGAAGGGCTGTTAGTGCTGCTCAGGTGGAACCTTCATTCATGCTTTCATATTCTGCATGCCCTTTTGACTTTACTAGATAGTGGATCTGCTTCACTGTACAGTAGAACAGATCTTCAGATCAAGTGGCTGTTTCTTAATCATCTTTTAGTGATAAGAGTACAGGGGAGCATCATTTTAAAAGTCAGTCCTTTGGCTACAAAAATGGAGAAACTTTTCAGTTCATTCTTTATTGCTTGTGGCCAGCCCTCCATTTTGCCTACAGGCAAATGATATAGAGCACAAGGAAATTGATTGTTGCTGGATATTTAGCTTACTTGGTTGGTTGTGGCGTGGAATGCAAATGGCCTGGTGATTGGACATTCAGTTCTTGTTCAGTGATGCTTGTGTTGGGTACTTGCAGCATCAGAATCCATACTCGCTACTGGATTTCTCCCTAAATGATTGCTGAAATTCAGAAGTATCTCAAGCCATAGATCCTGCATTTAGTTAATTGCAGAGAAATTTTGAGTATATTTAAAGTCAAAATGGCTCTTCCCCCATTTCTTGTGATTTGTGTTATGTCTCTGCTTTTTCCCCTTCACTTGCATATCCAGCCAGAAACCCCAACCCTTTTAAAACTTTGAAAGATATCTAGAGGGCTAACTTCTAAACATGGTATCACATCTCAGAAGTCTAAGCATGCTGCAGCATTTACATGTAAACCTGGAAGAAGAAGAAAAATCGGCTATTATCGGTAACTAGTTGGTATTACACACACATACACACACACACACACACACACACACACACACACACACACACACTATTCCTCACACACTAGTCAGTCGTTTTCACACACTTAGATGAATGTCAGTGTTCATACACTAGTCATTCTTTCTTAACACACATATGTCAGTATTTCTTACACACATGCTAGTCAATCTTTCTTTGTTACATTCACGTCAGTCTTTCACACAGAAATACTAGACAGACTTTCTCTTATGCACATGCTAATTGGTCCTACACACACACTTCATTCTCATACTCATCTGCACACACACACACCAGTATCCTCAGGGATGCTTAACAGTGTTCTCTGGGTTTTCTCTGAAGACTTTTTGGCCCCATCCCTTTTCTATCACTTCCATTTCATGAAACAGGACTTTAGAGCTACCTTGGAGTCACTATGGCAATTCTCCCAAAGGGAAGTCCAGTTGTTCCCTTTATTCTGAGTGGAATATCACTGCCTGTGGCCAATTAAGCTTTGTAGTCATTGCCTGGCTCTAAGCTCAGTCTAATCAATTTCCATATATTGCTTATTAATGGGGAGTGCTGGAAACTGTAAAAGAAAATCAAAGATTCTGGCTCAGCTGCACAACTGAGGGAAAGGGAACGGATTGCTTGTCCAGACAATGAATGCCCTCCCTTCTCTCCCCTTCAAACTTCTCTATGAAGTTTGTGTGCATTTAGACATGCCTAAGAGATAATCCGAGTTTCCGGAGTTCAAGAACAGCCAGTTAAGTTCCAGGCCTCCTTGTTTCCCATGGAAAGCCAGATGTGAAGCCTCACCAGAATGCACTCTGTTTCTTTTCACTCTACCTTGCCAGGAGCTCTTACACATTTCTGTAATAATAGCCAGGGTTTTGTGCTTAGCAGCAGCTGTTTATAACATCTGCCAGATAATTACTGAGCTGAATCAGAATTCACCTGCCTTAACCCAATGTGTGGGATGAATTCCTGATCAAGGAATAAAAGATTGATTGCAGTTACATTTTTCCATGCTTGTTAATAATCACTGCTATAGACACCAGGAAAGAGCAGATGCTTTCCTGGGGGAGGTGTAGATGAGAGGGAGGTGGAAAGGGGGAAAATATCCAGGAGCACCCACTTTTAACTACATATGTATGCGTCTCACATTCAGCACAAGACATTGACATTTGTTAACACCATTGTAAAAAGATGGCGCGGCGTATGCTTCACATTCTAGATTCTCTGCAGCACCTGCTGACGATCGAGCCCCCTTTTATGTGTGAGTATTGGTGACTCAAAAGCTCATTATGGCTGTGTGTTACAACTTGTCTGTGAAAACCATTTCATGCTTTTGTAACATCCCAGTGCAGGAATAGATCCAGATTATGTTCAGTGTGTACAGTTTGGCTTTTTCTTCATTTAGAACATAAATTCCAGCAAGCTATGCAGTTGCTACATTTTCTCATTGCAGTGATGGTTGTGAACTCACTCGGAAATCCTTTTTGCCAGCCACTAAGCTCTCAGGCTCCTTTGTGAGGCCGATCCTGTCTGCATGTGCAGGCGTGGCCTCCGCATTAGTGGTTCTTATTACATGTCAGCATCACTAAATGTGAGCCTCTTTTCTTCCACTCCATGTGTAACCATAGGTTAAGTTACATCAAAGGTTTTAACGCAGCTCCCAAATAAGCTGCTTCCATGTGTTTCTGCAGCTTGTCATTCAGCTTTGCCATCTTCTGGCTCATATGGAGGTTATGGCTTGTGTGATTGGTCATGTGCTGGAACTGCAATGCATGTGTGTGTGCTGTGGCATTGTGGGATACATGTCTCTGTTGATGTTGGACTGAATGTCCATGACAACGACTTTCTTTGTTTCTCCTTGTTAACAAAATATCAAACAAATATTTCCCAAACCCTCATGTATTACTTTCTGATAGAAGTAAATCAGCAAATATAGATGACAACTCATGAATGTTGCTTGGAGTTTAAAAAGCTGGCTAACAAGATAGACCATGCTTGTTATTAGTATCAGTGCTATCATGGGCCTGCTTTGTCCACATTTACTTTTGGTTTTAACTTTAAGAGATTATTAATATGACCTGTCTCAAATTTTAAAATTAATATATTTTCTTTAAAATCCTGTAACCTTTTAGATTTTATGTTAATTTTTATATATAAAATATAATAGGGTTTTCTTGATACATAATATTGCTTGTTTTTGACTCATGGAATTTGGAGGGAAAACAGCAAACCTCCTATTCAGTATTTTTATAACACCTTAAAGAAGTTTTTTGGTTGTTGTTTTTGTTTTTTTACGAGATGAATAAATTAAACTGGGCCAGTGAAAAGGCAAACTTTCACCCTGCCTAAGGACATTTTCCTAACTGGTGTTTTCTGCTCTTCGTACTTTAGTCCTTGGGGTAGAAATGTCACAAGGAGATTCCAGGTGTTTTGGGTGTTCTTTTTGTGGGATGATGGTGGTGTAGCAAGCTGTATTCTGAGAGAACCCTGCCTCAATGCCGGTGGTGGCACTAAACTTATTTCTACTGCATAAAAGATGACATGACAGACTTTGATGATCCCTCATAGAAGGCCTCACCCTGTCTATGGACCAGAAGAGGGATGGGATGGGGATTGGTGGGGGCGCGGGAGAATGGGAGGGAGAGGGAACTGGGGTTGATATATAAAATAAGATTGTTTCTAATTTAAATAAAATGATATGGGAAAAAAAGATGACATGCTTGTGGTTGAGGTTTTGGAAGTTCAGCAGTGTTGTCTGATCTCTGAGCACCTTAAACCCAAGAGACTACCCTTTGGAGACATGAAAGAGAGAATGTCTTTATGGTATTATTGATAAGTTTGAAATATATCCTCCTCACTCCAAAGCAGTGAATCAGTGTGACTTTGATTTTCTTACAACATGAAAGACAGTTGTTATATCTTTATCCTCCAGGGCCAGTATGTTTTGAACTCATCTTAATTGATGTATTATTGGTTTAAGAGTCTTTGTAATTTCTTTATTGAGCATGTTTTATATGTACTCCCTTTTCCTAGTTGCTCAAACATGTCTGCCCTACTGACATCAGGTACAATATTTCTCTAAGTAGTGATTAATTTGAGGGTCTTGACCAGCTTCCTTGCAGATTTTATCAGCAGTGTACTTAGCCCTTCAGAAGAGCAGTAAAACTGAACTTGGCCGCGTTGGTGCCTAACACCATTGCTGTATTCTGAATCCAGTGCTGTGTCCCCCACATGATGGGTACTCAGTGGCTACTTGTTGAATTTACTTGTTTGCTTCCAAGTATAACCACATTTCATTGAGAAAAAAAAAAAAAGAAAAAAGGAGTTTCTATACGTTAATGAACCTTTCCATAAATTTAAGTATGTTAACTTCAAGTAATTTAATAGCGCTCACTCAGTCATAGATTATGCTAATTAATATCCACAATTAACTGTTTATTATGAACAACAGTAAGTTCTAGATACTGCTTAATAAAGTAAACCAAATTTATTTCTGCTAGGGAATCTATCTTATGATAAAATAATATTAATATGGATATTTATTTATGTACATATTTATTTTGCAAGTACTAGTTATAAACCTAGACCCTGGGCATGGTAAGCAAATATTCTACAATTGAGCTATAAGTATGTTCCCTTTTATTCATTCACTCATCATGATCATGATAGTAAAGAGAGCAAACCCAGAACTTTTCACTGTAAGCATTCTGCCTCCCTAGCTCTCTTACTGAATTTTACAGCTTCCTAATCTCAAATAAAAAAAATAAAATAAAATAAAATTACGTTGGTTTTCTCATGTGGAGAGAATAATAATTCTACTTTCTATGCTGTGTGGTTGTTAATAAGTTAGTAGTTTATCAGTAGCATTTACAACTTTTATTTCAGTTGTTGTGTATTTTGTCTTTTGAATTTCGGATTGCCTATTGAGTATGTTCATTCCACACATGTCATGGAGTGTAGCGGTGAATGGGCAGTATGACTGTTTTCTGTGTTTCAGCGGCTTTCATAACAAGCAGAACTCTTTTCCCTTTGCTTTCACGGACTATGTTTATTTCCAGAATTACTTACGTGCCTGCAGAACATTTGGAAGAGTTCAGAATAAGTTTTGGTCAACAATCTGGAGGAATAATGGCACTGGATATTTTTTCTTCATACACTGGCAGGTGAGTAAATAAGTGTACTACAAAACAATCAATGATGCAGAAAGGTTTAAAAAATAAGTCTCCCTTTGTGTAAGTTACTCAAGTAATTATCAGTTGGAATTGAAAACTTGGGAAATGGATGAATATTCAAATCAATAAATTAAAACCATCTTTTATTTCACCCACCTAACATAGCACTTTTAACATTAAGTTTTGGTATTTCTCCCTACATTATTATTTCATTATTTTCCTAAATAGCACATTTACTGTGGTTTTATATAATGTCTTCACTTTTCCTAAAAATCTCAAATAACTTCAATCAGAAACCTTTTTAGCAAATATATTTATTCTTTTCAGAGTCTTTAGGCTCAGAATCTTGATATATATGGTTATTAAGAAATCATGCTTAGTTTTTTTCTTAAGCCTGATGGTAGTATGTTAAGAACCTTTCAATAACAGAGTATTCTTCACTCTTACAAAAAGACAGAATTGGGGCTTGTTGGTACTACTGATTGAGTTCACAGCAGGAGAGAAATGTCAGAGTGCTTTCTCTGGAAGTATGTTCTGTGGGTTGCTTTTAGCAGTTACACTGACAGTTGGATACCAGATTTCTCATAAGCATACTGTAGCGCATAGAGCTTCACAAACATTTGGAGGCCTTCTCAGATGAATCCTACATCCACACAGGGTGTCAGAACACCCTGGTTCCCAGTGGCCCTGAAGGAATTACACTGTTATGCTATTGCTCTGCAATTATGTAAGGCCACAGAGTCTAGAGAGTGATTTTTGTCCCAGTGACTTTAGTGGCATTTAGATGCACTAATACAGGTATTGGATATGGTTATAAAAATGTCTTTGATTGGCAACACTAAGTCACAGGGAGAAAACAATTAAATACTTGATTGGCTGCCTGAGTGGAGGAAGAAAAGAACTGTTCTATTTTGATCTAAGGAGTAGATGACATCGTAGTATCTGAAACCACATGCTAAGATAGAGAACAAATACTAGCCATATCTAGAAGAGCATTTATGAGTGAAAGCACTCAACATTGTAGGGTGATTTGAAGAAGCTGGGGCCTATGTATCAGATGATTAAGACTGTCTGCTCTCAGCTCAAATGACAGGTCTGCAGTACAGTGTGGCCAAGATCACTTGTGCATTGCTTATGTGTAGATCTCCCAGCCCAGGCCTTAGGGCAGAGAACCTCCCCGTATCCTATGGCTGTCAGTAGCTGTTACAGCAGCTGCTCATATTCTCATTCAGTCTCCTAACTCTACCTTTTCCTTCATCTACTTTTCATCTCTTTGGCTTACATTTCTCTGGATCCTTACCAGAGGACTTGGCCTGTTTCTCATTCAACTCCTTGACATCTCTTTTAGAATACACCTCTTGGAACTGTTGCTAACTATCCTGGGCCATTGTCAGGTTTAGACTCTGAAAGCACAGCTTTTCCCAGATCTGTCCTCTTTAGTTTACATAAAAGGGGACTTCAAGTGCAGAACAACTGGTCAGGCCTGAGGCAGGTAAATTTCATTTTAACAATGTTTAAACAGTGTTGGACCGTTCAGGTCAAAGGAAAGAATGGTCATGGAGAGTCTGGACCTGGGTTTGTCAGCACTGTGAATCATGTTCAATTGCAGATCCACTGGGTCACCAAACTTCTCAAGTCTAAAGATCACATGGTTTGAATGAGTTCAGGATTCCTATCAGTAAGCAATGGCTATAATTTGAATACAAGTTTTCTTTAGGTTTTTCAATTCTATAAAATCAACTGGTGATGAATTCCTTCAGGCCAGAGAAACCTTTGCTGAATAAATTCCCTTTAGAATTCCAGGATTTGTTGCAAATTCCCCATTCCTTTACTCTCCTTTATTCTGCCACAATTAATCAGCAAAGGACCAGGGAAGACTGTGTGCAGCTGATTACTGTAAGGTTGTTATTTGTTTGCTTGTGTTTTGTGTTTTGTTTTGTTTCCTATGCTAGGAAATGTTATAAATTTATAGGTCAGGGATAGTGAAACTTCAGACAGCTCTGCTTTTTAAACTAACAGTTAAGTACATTCATAACAGTGTTGCTCAGAATTCTCACTGTCTATTTCCTTAAACCAGAGACATTCCAGAACTCCCAGAGCGGGAAGAAGGAGAAGGGGAAGAAAGTGAACTGCAGAATGCAGGCTACAGCAGCTGGAGTCAGCCCCGGAGGTGAGGGTTACTTCTGTGGTCAGCCCATTCAGTGAGTGTATATGTTTACAGAGAGAGAGAAGGATGTGTGCTCTAAAGGACTGGCCTACTGGCTTACTACTTATGACATCAGACACTTCTTTTAAGCACTGTTAGTTAAATCTTTATTTCTTTGTAGACACACTGGAGAAAATAAAGTTTCATACACAGAGTTAAAATCAACTTATATTCAATGATGTGTAGTAGACATTAAAGACAATTACCTAGAGAAAAGTATGGACAAGTAGTTGAAATGAATACATTTTCAATAGTTTTAGGTTTAGTGCCAAATGTTCATTTACATTTTTACATTATGTTTGTTTACATGATTAACATGTTTACATTACAAATTATATATATTTAACTGTGATATATATGTAAAACACATTGTTTTATGTTTTACATACATATATAAATGTGTGTGGCAACTATTAAATATGAAAGAGACATAGAAATATGAGCAAGGAACTTGGCTGTCACCATCTGAGTTTGTCAAAGCCTTGCTCTTGCTGGCACTGGTTCCTTTGTAACAAGGAAGACTGACCTTGAACATGCTCAGACAGGTCACTGCATCCTGAGGACACACTAACGTCCTTTTGCTGATTCAAGTCAGCTTCTGTGTAGTAGGAGGAGTCACTGAGTCTTGGGTATGGACCCAGAGTAACCAGGCAGTAGGACTGAGACATAAATTTTGCCTCTGAGAAAGATCAGATGTCCTTGCCTAGGTAAGATCTAAAGATATATGAAACATAGAAAAAGGTGGGATTATTATCAGTAATCATGACTCAGCCCCTTCAAACAGCCCTGAGGGTTCATACCACATAGCCTTACATTGTGATGATGCCTATTCGCAAAGGACATGTGGCCATACATTTCAAAATACAGAAAAGACTATTTTTATGTCATTTTCAGAGAAACTAAATATCGCCAGCCAAGACATCTAAAGGAAATTTTCAGTTTGAATTTCTGCAATAGCCAGTTAGCTAGCTAGCTCTCTTACAGCATTATCCACAGTAAGAAAAGGATATATGTGAAAGATCTTTGACAGATAATCTATTTTAAGTTGTTCCATCTCTTATTTGTGTATATTAATAAAGCCAGGCTGGGCATTGGTGGCACATGCCTTTAATCCCAGCACTCGGGAGGCAGAGGCAGGCCGATTTCTGTGAGTTCGAGGTCAACCTGGTCTCCAGAGGGAGTGCCAGGATAGGCTCCAAAGCTACAAAGAGAAACCCTGTCTTGAAAAACCAAATAAATAAATAAATAAATAAATAAATAAATGGAGGAAGAAATTAAAGCTATTCTACAGGTAAATTTTGTTGGAAAAAGTAATAACCATAGGAAAGGTAAGTTGGCTTACTTTAAATCACACACTGATAGGAAAAACAGATGAGGCAGGGTGGTGGTGGTTGAAGGCAATATGAACTGAATCGAGTCCATTTACTTATGCACAGTTTCTTAATTTGTAAAGCTTTTCACATGTATAATTGGGTTAGGGAGTCTTTTAAGTTTGGAGGAAGAATTGGTAAGTTCTGCATCTAAACAGCCCCAGCATGGCAGTGGGAGGTCCTCAGGTGGTACCTGGTCCAGTCTGTGTAGCTATCCCAAGTAGCTAAACAAAAGGCAGGTGTTACAGAAAAAGCAGCACATATCCTTGGGACTAAACAGTTTGTATGCTTTGCTCCTCAGTTTTGTCTTCCCATCAGCCTAGGGATTCTGTTTGTGGTGGTCATTTACACACAAAAAAAAATGTCTAAAGCTTCTGCAGAGGCTTTTTCAGTAAGACACTTTGCTTCTATACACTACTGTGTAAAGAGGCACTAAATTCCAGAGGAATGTTTGTATATGACAGTTAAGAGGCAGACTAGCAGAGCCAGAGCATTCTGGAAATAAGGGCCTACTTCCCAGTATTGGAAACACAAAATCACCAGAGGTTTGTTTAGACATAGAAGGTATTTGTTAGTTAAGTGTTAAGGATGTTAAAAGGGACTGATGAAAGGGCTCAGTGGTAAGGTGCTTGCTGCACAAGCCAAATGACCTGAGTTCAATCCCCAGAGCATACATAGCAGAGCAAGGGAGAACCAACTTCACAAAGTTGTCCTGTGACTTTCACATGAACATCATGGCACACGTGCTTCTGAGCATACATCATACACACAGAATCATAACTTTAAGAACATCAAGATATAAAGTAGGCATGAGTACACTGGAGTTTCGCTAGTGATTTTCACATATATGATTTTCCAGCTTGTTTACAGTTTTGTGTTGTGTTTTGGAGATTTATGTTACACTCACTGCTTAAAATCTAATTCTTAAGCAGGCCATAGCTGATACTCAAGTGGCTTATAATATGTTATTACACTAATTCTGTGCAGCAAATGTATATTTTTTTATGTGTGTATGAATCTTATTTAGAATGTTATGTATCCAGAAGTAGAATTACTAACTTATTACTTACATGTATTACTTACATGCATTTTAAAAGTTTATTTGAATTTATCTTGTTTCTTTTTTATGGTGGTCATAACAACTTCCACTTCTATTTCAATATATGAGTGTACTCCAGATGACATGTTCTAAAAAAATGTTTTTTTTTAAAGTGTTCTGTCAATGGATAGAAAATGTTACCTTGGGCGGTTGCCGGGGAGGAGCCAGCGGCCTGGGAGTTCTAGTCTGTTCTGCCTGTCGGCAGCCGCCCCCCTTTCTCCTCGATCACTTTGAGCCAAGGCCTGGCCTTGGGCTTCCACCGCCATCCTCTCCCGCCCCCCTCCCCAGCCTCCAGCCTCTGGCCTCCCGCCTCCCAACCATGTATCCCTGCAAAGTGAGCGAGCTTCGGGCTTTCGTGAAGCTGTGTAAGCAGGATCCGAGCGTCCTGCACATCGAGAAAATTATTTTCCTGAGGGAATGGGTGGAGAGCATGGAGGGGGTAAAGTACCACCTGCTACTCATAAAGCTACGTCAGAAGACAAGGTCAAGGAAGAAAAAAAAAAGAGATAATAGGACAGAGGAAAACATAAAGATGGATGAACCATCAAGTGAGGGGAGTGATCTAGAAATTGGCAATGATGGTGTAATTGAGCCAGACACTGATGCCCCTCAAGAAATGGGAGACGAAAATGCAGAGATAACTGAGGAGATGATGGATCAAGCAAATGAAAAGAAGGGGGCTGCCATTGAAGCCCTAAATGATGATGAGCTGCAGAAAGCCATTGACTTGTTCACTGATGCCATCGAGCTAAACCCTCGATTGGCTTTTCTGTATGGCAAGAGAGCCAGTGTCTTCGTCAAATTACAGCAACTGCTGCCAAATGCTGCCATTCGAGACTGTGACAGAGTCATTGAAATAAACCTGATTCAGCTCAGCCATACAAGTGGAGAGGGAAAGCACACAGACTCCTGGGTCACTGGAAAGAAGCAGCTCATGATCTTGCCCTTGCCTGTAAACTGGATTATGATAAGGATGCCAGTGCAATGCTGAAAGAAGTTCAACCTCGGGCACAAAAAATTGCTGAACATTGGAGAAAGTATGAGTGCAAACGTGAAGAGCAAGAGACACAAGAAAGAACAGAAATGGTGAAGAAGGCTTGAGAGGAGCATGACAAAGAGAAGAAGCAGCCAGAAGACAGCCTGGAGCTCAGTATGGCTCTTTTCCAGGTGGTTTTCCTGGAGGAATGCCTGGCATGGGAGGAGGCATGCCTGGAATGGCAGGAATGTCTGGACTCAATGAAATTCTCAGTGACCCAGAGCTTCTTGCAGCCATGCAAGATCCAGAAGTCATGGTGGCTTTCCAGGATGTGGCCCAGAACCCAGCAAATATGTCAAAATATCAGAGCAACCCAAAGGTTATCAGTAAATTGTTGGCCAAGTTTGGAGGTCAAGCATAATGTCATAACAATGCTGAATGAAGAGCAGCTTAGCTCATTTACTGGATGTTGCAATAATACAAACCAGTGTATCTCTGACCTCATCCGGAGAGCTGGGGTGCTTCGAAGATAATCCCTTCCTTTATGCATGGAATGAGGCTGAAGCATTTTACAGTGGTTTGCCATTAGGATCTTCATTCAGATAATGTTTTCCTATTAGGAATTACAAATTTAAAACATTTTTCAACCTTAAACATTTTTAAAAATTTAGGGGGTGTTAATTCCTACATTTTTCTTTACTAATCTTTTTGGAGTTTTCCTTTGAATTACTGGGCAAGGAAGCTGAATATGGTTGACTTACAGCTCTCATGAATGGAAATAAAGATTTGTTAGTGGGAAGCAAATAAAACCCATTTAAGTTGAAAAAAAATGTTACCTTGTCTTTACACACTTCAGGTTTGTGGAGGTGGGTACATACATGCTCAATTGTCATACCCATAGAATAGTATACTTCCTGCAATCCCCGTGAAAATCACCACCATGGTGATTGTTACTATCATCATCATAGATTTATTTGTTGCTTACTCTATGCACTATACCAAAGCTTTTGTTTTACAATTACATATTAAGTAATTAATTCTGCAGAAGACTATCTTATTGGAGAATTTTATTGGCTGCATTTCACAGCTGAGATAAATAAGACAAAGAAACTCAGTAGGTTGCCTAGTATCATGTGATTAAGTAGCAGAAGAGCAGGGCTGCAATCCAGGGACTCTGCTCACACAACCCAGCTGTCTGGTCCCAGAGCCAGAGTGTGCTCTGCAAAGTGCTTCTTGACAGGTGTCCTTCTTTCCCAGGGATACTCACCATGCTGTGTCTAATGACTGGGCAGCCTAGCTCCATGCCTGTGTGATCATTTGACTGTTGTCTGCATTGTTTAAGGATTCAAAGAGCATACATCATAGCATGTTTAAACTGGAGGTACAGTAGAGTACCCAGTGCCAGAGTTCCTGAATCTGTGATTCTTCCTTTTGGAGTCTAAAGAGTATGTACCTTCTAGGCTTGATATGATGATTAAGTGAGAACAACTTTAGTTCCCTTGAGGAGTGAGGTGGGGACACCCTAAGCCTTCCTAAAATTTGCTGATTATATCACTCCAGAAATCATTTTAACTGACATATATCAATGGAAAGCCTTAGGGGACATTTCCTGTCTTCCTTTTTAAAGGTTTTTTTTTTTTTTTTTTTTTTTTTTTTTTTGAGAGCTCAAGATTCCTACCTGGCTTCTAATGTGTATACATACATTGGCTAAATTTCTGTATTTGACCAACTTACTGTTACAAGTGATTCAAGAAATATTGAAGAGGGGCTAAAGAGCCTTTTCTTCCTCTGTATGCCCAGGCACGCACATCTGCACATACATATGTGTACACTTCACACAGACACATATGCAGATACAGGCACACACAGCTGCATATGCATGTATGTACAGTGAGTATACCTCACACGGACACACACACATTTGTGGATGTACACACAGGCACACAGACAGCTGCAATAATATATAATAATATTACTATAAAAGTTAAATATAAAAAAACAAAAAAGGATGTTGGTTCTTCGAGTTTTATAGACTAGAGAGAAAATGTGGAATAATGTTTTAGGTTGTTTATTCACAAAGATCATGCTCCAATTTCTTCCAACGAAACAAATCAACTTTCTAGGATTATATATATATTCAGTTAAGAAAAAAATAAATTAGCCTGATCAAAGAGGATCAGGCTGTGTATGTGTATCTCGTCTGACATACCTGCTACCCTACACTAGCCCCTTCTTTCTGACAGTTCATTCACTTTGCCAAAGCCCTATTTTTCCTCTCATTGAAACACCCCAAATGTCAGTGTTGAGGACAAATTGACAGTTCTGTCTCCTTGCCGTCGATGTCCAACACCATTGTCTTTCATTAAGTCTGGAATAGATGTAGGGTCTTATCAACACCTTGAACTTCTTCCTCACTAGAAATCACCTCTTGCTTCATCTCTCCCTTTTCACAGGATGGTCCTGTCAGTCCATCCTTACCTCTTCTTTCTTTTGTAGTGCTTGACATCAAACACCAAGCAGTCACGTTACCACTTAGATCCTCAGCCTCCATCCTTACCTCTAGCTGTTTATGGCTATTCTGTGTGAGTTCTGTGTTTATTCTGTGGGTAGGGAGGGACAGTAGATAAACTGCTAAGGCTACAAGGTAGTAGCATATGAAATCAACTTACAGAACAGTGAGGAGCTGCTGTGCTTCCTGGAGGGAAGGTGCAAAGCAGTTCAGGGAACCTCAGGAGGTGCTGGAAGGATTATTTCATATAGAATATTGTCGGCGGCTGCCCTTCATGCCCTGACTGTTAATGACCAGGTCTGCTCTGGCAAGAAAGACTCCCACAGAGGCAAGCTTCTGATTAGTGTGTGCAAAAGTGTTCTTTCCCTGGATTTGGCTGCTAAACCTAGAAGCTGCCATCTGTTCAGTGGTAACTGAGTCTCCTGATCTTGTAATGTCTGTATTATTAACACTCCTGCAAAATGGCACTTCTTCACTGGCCTGTATTTTAGCCTAGAATGTGAGTCCAATATTAATACCAACAAAACACATAATTTTGGAAATATTTAAATTAATCTTTTATGACTAGGGTGTCATTGAGATTATACATTTATTATTCTAAGTGTGTGATTCAGAGGCTTTGAGAACCTTCACTATATAAATACAGTACCATCATCTACAGAAGACTTTTCATCTTGTAAAATTAAGACTGTGTCCACAAACATTACCTCCCTATCTACTTTCCACCTGAGCAAACTCCAATCTATGTCCTGTCCCTGAATATGCCTCCTCTGGACTTCTTGTGAGTACAGCCATAGGCATTTGTTCTTACTTCATTTAGCTGGCCAATTTTATATAGCATAGTATACTTAGAGTTTGTGGATGTCAAAACTTATTTCAGCATTTTCTTCCCTTTTAAGATAGAAAGTAATCCCCATAAGCTATGTATCATTTTTCTTGTTTGTTTTTAAATTTTAAAATCATCCATTATTGTATGTGTGTTCATGAGTGTGGGTACATGTGGAGGTCAGAGAACAATTTCTGAAAGTTGGTTTATCTCCTACCAATAATTCAAGGCAAGGTAATTCCAGTTTCTGCTTCTCAGTGTACACCAGGCTAGCTGCCTGGGAACCTCTGGGTAGTCCTTTTGTCTGTGCCTCCCATCTCCTTACAGTACTGAGATTACAGATTTGAGCCAACATGTTTAGCTTTTATGGGCTCCAGGGATCAAACTTGAACGTTAGGATTATGCAGATAGCACTTTGATGCACCAAACCCCCTCATCGGCCCTTATTAATTAATGTCTAATAGACATTAGGGTTGCACCTACCTTTTAACTGTTTCAGATGATGTTTTTCTGATGTATGTGTTTAAATATCTCTTCACAACCCTGATTTTTATTCTTTTGGTTGTGTTCCCATATGGTAGTTACCCATTTTGGCTGTACCTTGTCAGCAATGCACAGAGATCCAGTTTCTCTCCATTCTTATAGACACTAGTGATTTTCTGTTTTTATTAATAATTTTCATCCTAATGGGTATGAGGTATTATACTATTGGGTACTGATTGTGTCTCTAAGGATGTTAGTCATCATTTTTTCATGTTTATAAACCATTTATAAGCCTATAACTAAATTTTTATTTATTCTAATTTTTATTAGATCTATTTTTTTGGGGGGGGGTTGGTAACTGAATTTTAGAAAGTTCATTCAGATGTTCTGGCTATTAATTCCTTATCGGATGTGTGATTCCCAAATGTTGTTTTCCTTCTGTGAGTTGTCTCTTTTTCCTATCATTTTAATGAGGTCCAATTTGTCTATGTCTTTTTATTACCTATGTTCTTTGTGTCTGTACTGGCTAGGTTTATATCAGCTTCACATAACCTAGAATCATCAGAGACAAGGGAGCCTCAATTGAGAAAATGCCCCCCATAACATCAAGCTTCGAGGTGTTTTCTTAATTAGTGAACAATGGGGTGAGTCCAGCATATTGTAGGTGGTACCATCCCTGGCTGGTGGTCCTGGGTTCTGTAAGAAAGCAGGCTGAGCAAGTCACGAGAATCAAGCAAGCTCTCTTCCATGGCCTCTGTATCAGCTCCTACCTCCAGGTTTCTGCCCTGTTTGAGTTCCTGCTCTTAACTTGAATGATGATGAACAATGACATGGAACTGTTAGCTGAAATAAACCCTTTCTTCGCTAACTTACTTTTGGTCAGGTCATGGTGTTTCATCATAGCAATAACTGAGTCATGTACAGGACATTCTAAAGTTTTTCCTTTGTTTTTTCTTGGGGGTTTATTATTTTATTTTTTTATAGGGTGGAACTTTGGAGAGAACCAAGCAAGTCCTTGGGCATCAGCATTGTTGGGGGTCGAGGAATGGGGAGCCGCCTCAGCAATGGTGAAGTAATGAGGGGCATATTCATCAAACATGTTCTTGAAGACAGTCCGGCTGGCAAAAACGGAACCTTGAAGCCTGGAGACAGAATAATTGAGGTAACCTTTAGTGAGCTTTCTGTTCAAAACGTTTTCTCTTTTTCACTTTCTGACCGAAGGTGTTTCCATCCTTGCCCCAGTGTTATAGTCAAGTGTTTGTTGCATTTTCTTCTTTTCATCTATTTTGTGTGAGTGTGTGTGTGATGATAAATTATGTGTGTCATGTACACATTTATGTTTAGAAATACAGACAACCAATTTTAAAAGCATCGGTCCTAATTAATATAAATTTTGAAAATTTCCTTTGGGAAAACTAAAATATTTAATGTCATGTATATAACAGGAAACCATACATCTCGTAATTAAGTTTTCCAGGAAGATATTACTGCCAGGAATATTTTATCATAGTCATTTCTATGTAGATAAACTTTCTCAGTGATGTTTTGTTCCAGGTGAGTCTTGTCTCCTCAAATTTTCAATGCTGTAAACTTGATTACTTTTTAAATTAAAGTTTCAACAAAACTAGGAGCCTTCTCCTCAGTGCTGTGCTCATTCACAGAAAGCCCTGTGTGTGCTCGTGCATAGCAAACACTTTGCAGTGTGAAAGAGAGGACCACATAGTCAAATATACCATCCTTAATTAAAATTTAATATCTTACACAGAGTTCTTATGTGCTGTAGAGACACACACACATTTACAAAGCAGCTAATATGTTCCCAGTGCTGAGCCAGGAGCTAGTGTCCACAGTAGACTAGACACTGTGCCTGCCTGGCCAGAAGGAATCAAGAAGTACAGGAAAATGTTTAATCAGACCAGGCACAGTTAGATTTAAAATGTTGAGAAGTGGTTCCAGTTTTTCTGGACTATAGAGTAAAAGGAAAGGAGTTACTGATAAGTAAAGATGGTTGTGACTGTGATGGACATTGTGTTTCCTTATATAAGTGATTGTCTCATTTTCTCAGTCCATAAGTCTTACACATTCAAATGCCTTCCTAGTTCAGAGGGTTGGATATTGTATAGCAGTTGTAATTCAGAATGAATACTTGGCTAGGATTTAGCTCTGTGGCAGGGTGGTCACTGCATACACACTTAAGGCCTGGGGTTTAGCTCCCCAGAATTGTAAATTGAAAATAAAAAATGTTTGAGTATTGGCCAGCTCATTCACTCTCCATTCATTCTCTGGGCCTGAGGAACTGAGAAATTGAAGTTTGAGAGGAAATTGGCATCTTGTGTCTTTCCTTTTCCTGTGACCCTCTGTAAGAACAAGTGACAGGACAGATGGACCTACTCTCATTAAATGATAAACTAGCCCCTTTAATGGAATTATTTCTTTATTTAGAACTCCATCTAAAAGTTGCAATTTTAAATTGTTACTAGGGTGTTTATTTTGTGTAGTTTAACTATTAAATACTTTTTGCCTAAAGAGAAAAACAAGAATTATTTACAATCATCTTTAGACATGATTGTCCATAGTTTGCCCCTAAAATGTCCTTTAAAACAATGAAATAATAATTAAATTAGTAAAGGTAAACTATATTAATTAAATTTAACATTCCTTTCCAATTGAAACGAAAGGATATGTTCATGTGTGTTGCAAAATACCTGCACTTGGGTTAGTGGTTACTTCTTCAGTACATCACGTGCAGGGTTTCCCTAGGAAATAAGAAGCCTAGGCCCTTGTAGTCCTGGGATTCTATAACAGCTCTATACTAATGTGCTTGCTTTGGACTTGAAGAACAATGTTTGATCTACAGTAGGCAGGATTATTGATTTGATAGAAACAATAAAAGTCATTTTAGTATGAATTTAAAAATGCCGTCATATTACCAAAGTATCAACCCGAGAGGCTTTTAACTAAATGTGCATAATTCTATGTCAGTATTTAATGATTGCTTCTTTTCCACAGAATTGTGTCCACTCTGAGCTTTACTTGGTAATTGGGAATGACAAAATCTACAGATACCTGACAGGATTAGTATTTGGCCCTTTCACTATGTTCCTTCCTGACCATCTAGTGCATAAGCTAAACTGATCATCATCCACAAAAGAGTACAAATAAATGACTTTCATTTTTCAAACTATTTATATAAGAAACTAACAAACAAGCACAATTTCTTGGCTTCCAGCTTCTGTTACATTTACTACAGATTCTTTTGCAAAACTAACTTAGCAGTAGTCTCACATTTCTGAATATCACTATTTTGTTTATTCCTTAAATCTCTCTAGGAGAAACCCAGGAAGAATCAATCTCCCTGCTCCTGCAATGTCCTTAGTAAATTACTTTATGAAGAATTAGCAGCCCAACACAGACTTTGATGACAGGGACGTTGAATGCATCTCTCTAGACTGTTTCTTTAATTCTACTTGTCCATAAAGTGATTCAGGAATATAGAAGAGCAGCTAGTGCAATGAGGAATGCAGAAACAGAGCCCTCATTCCAACTGGTTATGATTCCAGGGGACTTTGGAAGCCCTGTATCGAAGCAATGTGCCACAAAGCCATGGAGGGATGAGAAGTGTGCAGCCTAACAGCTCCTTTTGTTTTTGATACTGAAACCAATCTCCCAGGATCTAAAGGGGCCTCAGAACTCCTGATCCAAATCACTCTTCTGTTCTCTTAGCTTCTTAAAATGTTAAGCTGAGGCCTTCCATTGCAGGTGGATGGAATGGACCTCAGAGATGCAAGCCATGAACAAGCTGTGGAAGCCATTCGGAAAGCAGGCAACCCTGTAGTATTTATGGTACAGAGCATTATAAACAGACCAAGGGTAAGCAAACACAAAGGGCAAGGTAGGCCTACTGATACAGTGCTCAACTTGGAGTCTAATGTAGCAAGGACCAAGTTGTCTGCATGTGCACCTACCAGTCTTTGAAGTCTCAGAAGGTGTTTATAAACGGTATCTATTGCTTTATGGAAACACTGAGCTCCCCTGCAAATCTCTTCTACCGTATATGTGAAGACTTTGAAATACATGAAGGAAGAATTAAGTTGTCACCATGTCAAGTTGATATCATGCTAGTATTCATTTTGATTAAAAAATAAATTAATGAAAGAAATAGAATATGATGTGTAGAATAAATACTAGTCATTTTTAGTTGAGTCTTTTGGAAGCTATAAAGATTTCTCTTTTTCCCTAAATTTATTCTTTAGATAGACTCTACCTATGCAGTCATGTCAGATCTTTAATGTATTTGTATAAAGTACATTCTCCTTATATACAAATCATTATCATTTCATAATTATTTCTCAGATATAGTCAGAATGGAGGTCATCACAGATCTGTGGGGACAGAAACCTACTAGTGCATTTAACCTTCGGCCATCATTGTTAAAGTAGTTGAAAAGTTTATTTTAGAGACCAGTTATGATGTGGTGTTCCTGCAATCCCAGCTGTCAGAGGCCAAGCCAGGAGGATTTCAAATTCGATGCTACTGATAGTATCTAGCAAAACTCTGAATAAAAATAAAACTTAAGATTATTTATCACTGACTATTACTGATAGAGAGGATACAAACTGCAGGTTAGCATACTTGATATGTCCTAATGATGCCGAAGGTGAACATTTTGCCGATAGTAGTTTATTGTTGTTTTTGAATCCTTTATGCCTCACTGAAAGGTCTCTTTATATGCAGAGACATCTATGTGCCTCCAGAGTAGAATTTTCTTAGTACTAATTTCCCAAGATTCCATGAGCTCCTGAAGTTCTGGGAGATGCCGGTTTTCGAGTGTAAAAGCTTTGGTTGTACACCCATTCCCCAGACCTGTGTGTGCTGGCAGGTCTAGGGTTGATTGGCTTTGAAAGAAAAATGTTTGTACAAGTGAGAGCAGCCAAAGGCTTCATGCGAAACTTAAAATATGTGGTGTTGTATATGTAAACCATATTGAATTTCAACCTGGGAAATTAAGATTTAAGATATTAATGTTGAAATGATGAGAGGAAAGCAGCAGGCACCCTGGGAGATCAGCAAGATGAGCGAGATGAGCCTTCTGGGCTACTGAATACAGAACCGAGGTTCATGTTACTAGTCCATTGCCTTGTTGTCAAGACAGGTGTGGCTCTGGCCTGGGGTTCACAGTGTGGAGTGGATGGAGTGGTTCTTAATCTAAGCAGTTCTCTTCACATCTGTCGTTTTTTAACCATTCAGTTGTTTATTGTTAGGTAATAATTATCCATTCAGATAGAAAATCTGCCAAATGATAGGGCTGTCTCATGCTGCATTCTTTGCAAATGCTATTCAGTTTGTTTAAATAACTACAAATCTTCATACATTTGTTAACATTTGTTGTGTTAAACATAGACACAGCATGGTAATATTGTAAATGGCTGTTTAAGTTGAGTTACAGCCATTTTTGTATGTGGGAGGGTTTATTCCCTTTTTTGTTTTATTTTAATTTCTAACTCATAATTTAGGATAATATTATAAACTGGTGAATAGTGATTCTTAATATTACTTTGAACACTTAAACTACAAACATTTCTTTCAATGCCAATCACATTTTCTAATGAGCTGGAAAGATATTGTCTCATACACCTGGAAAATATTCCTATTTTTTTTTATTTGAGGCATAATGACACCTAATTTTATAGCAATTATTCCAGGATAAATCTTGCTTAGAAATGACATGTTTAGTCAAGTTAGACACATTTTGCTTTGGGAAACTAGAATTAATTTTGCATTTAAAATGAGATATTCTTTGTTAGTGGTGATTTACTTCCAAATGGAAGTAATCAGGCCTGTGGTTAGCTAAAGGAAAAACACCACAAATGCATTTACCCAAGAGTCCCTGTATGACGAAGTTTTCTTTGTGAGCAGAAGATAAAGCTTCTGGAAAATCTTACACAGTTGAGAAGCCTGTCTGTCTCTCTCTGTGTGCTTTGACTATTCAGAGATGCGAATATACAGCATGCCCCATATAACCCCATCAGTGTGACAGTCTTAATTGGGCCAGAGGATGTTTTAGTGTCCTCTCAGATATATATATATACATATATATATATATATATATATATAATCCTCTTTTTTTTTTTTTTCTTTATTTTAACAATCAGTTCTGTAACTTTCCCTATGGACAGAAGTGACTTACCCGTCCAGCTCCTCCTTTGACCTTATACTATGTTGTCAGTGCCAAATTGAAATCTTGTGAGGTCTGGAGAAAAATGAAAACTTGGGGTCTCTCACCATCTCCTGTCATTATGGTTCTGTTGTTGCTCCACACAGTTACAAAGGACACTCGGGCCCTGGATCTGCCATGCATGCTGAATAGAAATAATCTCTGTCCACACCAGAAGGCCTCCAGTGATTTCCACTGCCCAGTCATCTCTTCCATCTTACTAAGTGGTCATGTTTCTTGGCACTTCTATGCCTCTTAAGTAAAGCAGGAGTTGACATTTTAAACTGAAAAGCAGGGAGGAAGTTGAGAGGAACAGAAATGTCATTGTACCCATATCTTTTCCTGTCTTGCCTCTTGGGAAAAACATTGCAGGAAGCGCATATTGAAAGGGTAATGTGGCATAAGCGTGGATGCTGGCACTGGAGGACAGTTGTCTCCAGCATGCTCTCCTGTACAGGGCAAAGTCACGTGACCAGTCCCTCCGCTCCATGCCCGGCAATGGGGCTTTTTCAGAGACAAGTAACACAAACATTTAATTGGAGCCAGCATGAGTTTTTAAATGTCTGCAATTTTCATTGGAAGATACAGTCAATAGAAGGAAAAGATAGTGAGTGTGAAAGGAAGAATTTATTGTGCTAAGGAAATTACTTCTTTTTTTCTTTTTAAATATGAACGTGCTAAATTCTATTTGGCTGACTTCCTGCCTTTGATATGTATCTTCAGCTTTTACAGTCCTGGTTAGGGGCTTACTACAGGCAAGCAAAAAATCTAGGAGAAACACTCTAAACACAGACTTTAAATATTATTCAAAGCTGTAAATTCTTTAGTAATGTAGGAGATGTTATCAAAGTTTTTCTTTCCTTATTTTTTTTTGTCGAATCTCCACAAAAACTAGAATGCACTGTATAGTGGTTCATTTTTTTTTTTCACCTTTTAAAGTTTAAAAAATGTGACTGTTGTAAATCAGCATCTTCTGGCAGTCAGAGTGCAATTTCATTAATGAGGGACAGGGTAAAGAAAGGAAGGTTACTAGCAGGCTGGCAGGTAAGTGCTTACTGTGCATTCTACATATACTAGTGAAAGTCCTGTCACTCCCTCCTAAAAGTAAATAAAAAAATGTTGTGGCTTTCCTTGGAAACAGGAGTATTGGTACTCAGGAGTCAGAAGCTAGTTCTAACAAGGGCAGAGCATATGCATTTCCATGGCAGTAAAACCTTCAGAGAAAATGGAAGAAGTTTGAGTCAGCTTGCAATCCAGTTTCCTTTATGGAGAGATTAGACTCCAGTGTAGGATTGGGTCATTAGAAACAAACAGTTAGTAACTGTTTAAGAAGAGCACACTGCCTACTCAGGCAGCCTTTGGTTTCCACTAGGCAGCTCTCTAAACCAGTAAGTACTTTGATCTTGAGAGGGGGGTTGTTTTAAACGCGTTTCTTGTGCCTTCAGTACATCTTCTGTTTCCTTTTAGAAATTCCCTTTGCCTTCCTTGCCGCACAACCTTTACCCTAAGTACAGCTTCAGCAGCACTAACCCATTTGCTGACTCTCTCCAGCTCGCCACAGACAAGGTTGGATAATGTCCATTGTCTTGTCGTTGACTTTGCAAATGTTTGTTGTTGCTACTATGCCTTTGTCCTAGTTCACTGTTTACAAAAACAAACCACTGTGTTTTCTGCACGGGCTCAGGTCCTTTCTAAGCACTTTGTCCAGCCAGAGAATATTGTTTTCTTACCTGAAATTTAAAATGGGAGCCCAGTATTTTTTAGTGTGATTTAATGTTTTAATGTTTAAATTTTTGTTGCCATTTGTGTAAACTTCATTATATATATATATATATATATATATATATATATATATATATATATCAAAGACAAAGAAGCACACAGTGTTTGGACTATGCCTTTGTCCTAGTTCACTGTTTACAAAAACAAACCACTGTGTTTTCTGCACGGGCTCAGGTCCTTTCTAAGCACTTTGTCCAGCCAGAGAATATTGTTTTCTTACCTGAAATTTAAAATGGGAGCCCAGTATTTTTTAGTGTGATTTAATGTTTTAATGTTTAAATTTTTGTTGCCATTTGTGTAAACTTCATTATATATATATATATATATATATATATATATATATATATATTCTTAAGCCTTTTATTGTCTCAAAACATCTTCAGACTTGTACAAAATAATCATAAAGGCTTTTCCATGAGTTAACCACTCTGCAAATAATTGTGTGTGTGTGTGTGTGTACATGACAAAGCTCCTGAATATTCATAAATTAAGTCTTTATGAATAACAAATCAGGAGGTGGGAGGTGTAAATGTTTCCATGCTTGTCAGTCATACTTGGATATTCTCTAGTTCTAATGAAATTTTAAAAGCAAATTTGAGACAAAAATTTATAGAAATTCTTTGATATCATAATTTGGTAACAGAAAGGGAGAAAACGGTCAACATTTTCTTTTGCAAAGCACTTCATGAATATTCATTGGATTTTCATGTTACCGTGCCATGGATAGGAGAGGAAGCCACACCTGAAGGGATCTGTTTTCTATCACTGTAGGAGCTACCACAGCCAAGTATTGCCATCTCCCATTATTCCCCAACTGATCCTTTTGCTCCCACACCATTTAAGGTTTGTCTCCATATGGATGTGTTTTTGTGTGACATGCATGTCCATTTTGCTTGACTATACACACGGGCTTGGGGTGATTGCCATTGCAGTTTTGTTTTTGCCAACAAGGTTAAATGACCTGTGTTAAATATATTTTTTGTTAACAGATTGCAAAAAGTGTCAGTAACAGTCATTATTTTTTTCAATAACAAACATTATTTTGATACAGGATACTGGTACAGGATACAATGATATTCCTGCACCTCTAGGAAGAAGGCACTATTAGTTCTATGATTGCACAGTTAGATTGGGGTACAATTTTGGTGTGTAATCACAGTATGGAAGTGTTGTGCCTGTAATCTTGAAGAAGTTTTGAGATTATCATAATTTTTTCTTCATTATTAAGTAAAATAATAAGAAATATAGAAAGAATTATAAAATATACATCCATCAATCTGAATTAATTCCTGTTAGCCAAATAATTATTTTGATGATAGAGAGAAGCGATTTTCTTTTTAACCAGAGTGCTTTGTAAGTATATATCTAGTCTTTAGTGTGATGTCTGAGTTTGGTTGGATCAAGGGAAGTTTCTGGTGTCCTTACACACTTTTATTTGTACATTATTTGAGAGATTTATAGCACAGCATTCTAGAAGACAGCAGAGATTTCATTGGCATTTGTAACTTTTTGTTTGGCCAATGATATGTAAACTGAGCATTGTTAGCACAGGAAATTCTGTGCCTGGAAATCAACTGCCGCCAAATCTGTTGGCTAGCACTGTGCTTTGTTGGTAAACTATGTCTTTTGAACTAACAAAAAGATCATATTTAGTGCATGAAGTTCTAGTGTTGATATATTTCTTGGCATTTCTAGCACCAGATTATTATTCCTGATCCTTCATGTACCTGATCTTGAGATAGACTTACTGTCTTACTATGGAGACTGTAGAGGACAGCAAGATTTAATATAAAATGCAGCATTGTTAAAAACTAACCAGAAAAAATGGCTACCAGGGTGGCTTAGAAGCTGAGGGTGCTTGCCACCAAGAGCGATGGCCTGATTTCAATCCCTGGAAATCACATGGTGGGAGAACCAGCTCTAGTAAGTTATTCTCTGTATTCCACACTCACCCTGAGGCATGTGCACTCCTGCACTCATGCACACTATCATGCTAAATAAATAAATGTAATAGAAAAGAAATACAGAGAAAGAAGTCTAACACCTGAGTTTAAACAAGGGTTCCCTTTTGTTGGCCTTAGTATGTTCATCTGCAAATTTAATGAAACAAAGTGGAGACCTGAAGAGCTTATGGGCCTTTCAAATTCTAACCTGCTGCCACATAATAACTCATATAAGAATTTGACTATGCCAAATCATACTTTAAATTTGTACCTGTGGTCCTAAGTGACAGCAGGCATGTCACATCTGGCTTTGTATAAAGATTTCCTTGTGAGTTAATATGACAATATAAAGTTGGAGGTGGCCTTAAATCCAAACCAGACAGATCTGAGTCTGTGCTCTTCATTAACAAGCAGGCTATCCTGAGAGAACAAAATGGATGTGTCCTTTCTTGGATTCAAGTAGCAACGAAGGGTTGTTCATGTGGGGCTGAAGCTGTGACTCAGTAGAACAGTTATCTAGTATATGCAGGATCCTGGGTTCAGATCCACCGAGAGAGGGGGGGGGAGGGAGGGAGGGATACAGAGTCTTCATGTGTAGTCTTACTGACAAGTTTTGATGCTACTCTTATTATATTTATTTTGTGAGTAGGGGTATGTAGAAGTTCATGTGTAAGAGCTACATCATGGATATGGAAGTCATAAGTAAATTTATGGCAATTAGTTCTTTCCTTCCACTTTTTGAGCCCAGGGATTGAACTCAGGCCTTTGAGCTTTCCCAAGTGCCTTTACCCATTAAGCCACCGCAATGGCTCTTACTAACAAATTTTGAGGGATGTGTTTCTTGTTTATTTGCTTTGTATTGATTTGTTTACTTCTTGGCAGACTTGAATGACCCATAACATATACACATCCGTACTGTACATTTTTTCCCCAACAGGGTAATTTGAACAATTTGCTCTCTTAGGTCATTTAAGACTTTGCAATGAATTATTCATTGTTTACATCAGTAAATAACAATTTAATGAATTGTGTTCTGATACTTGAATCTGGTGACATTTCTGTCATGCACGTGTAAGCTTTCTGTTATTTGGAGACCATTTTCAAGCTGGCCTTTGGTTTTGGAATTATATTCTTACTTGTTTTCCTGTGAGTTTTCATGACATTGTACATGCCCACTGAATTCTTCCTGTTCCCACAGGCCCCCAACCAGTCAGCATCAGACTCAGAGAAGGCTCCAATGTGTGATGTACCTCCCTCCTCCCCTTCAGGGTTCTCAGAAATGGGTAGTGACTGTGCACAGCCATCTACTATCACAGTCTCAGAAGATGCAGACAAAGAGGATGAGTTTGGGTACAGCTGGAGTAAGTTGTCTGTTTACAATCTTAATTATAAGAAGTCTTAAAATAGCTCTGGGTTTGTTTTGTATGAACAAATATTTCTGCATTAGCGATATGTATTGCAGTTGTACGTGGGAAAACTACTGTTTATTTTCCTTGAATACAACATGCATTCCTGAGGCATGAGTTTACATTCCTTCTTTACTTAAATATGCATTTCTCATAAAGCCCTCTTGCTTCTCATTTGAGAATTACAGCAGTCAGGAGGACCTCTCAGAACCTAGTACTGGATCACCTTTCTTGAACTACCATTAGCAGGCCTCAGATTCCTCCTTGTAAGATCTGATTGTTATTAGTGTTATATCCTGAGCTTATGGTGTTTGGGGCACTAGAATGGTGACCTTATAATTATTAAGATCAACTCTTTGCATCTGGGAAGTGGTCTCGGGTTTTGAATGCAGGTCGCTCAGGTTACTAATATATCTTAGGTAGCATCTGAAGAATGCTGACACAGTGCCCCATATAAAATTTGAGCCAAAAGACGTAAGTGTGTCAAGTTAAAAGTTTTGTTTTAAAAATTATTTTAGATTTATTTGTTTTATTGAATACATGTGTATGCAGCACATGTATGCCTGGAGCCCTGGATAATCCTAAGAGGGCCTCAGACCATCTGGAACTGGAATTACGGGTGGATGTCAATCACCATATGGGTGCCGGGAATGGAACATGGATTCTTCGCAAGAACAACAAATGCTCTTAACATGGAGCCATCTCTTCAGCACTCAAAAAGCTTTATTTTAAAAACTTAAGTATTTGATTTAAGCAGTCTACAGTACACATATTCTAGAAAGCACAAAATATGAATGTTACCCTACTGTGAAAGGGTTCTGAAGATGTTTAACTGATATAGGGGAGAATCGTAGAATTGCCGGTCATTAGCCCTCTAGGCCTTTTCTAAGAGATGGCTTATCAAATGTGATCACTTAATCAAATTATCCAGTCTTACAGGTGATTGATTGTTTTTGACATCAGTTACCACAAAACATAATGGCTTAAAATAAGAACTTATGACTACTCATGTGGGATGATTGACTTTGCTCATCAGGGCCAGGCTCCTAAGATGACTCGCTGACATGGGGCTCATCAGGTGGGCTTTTGCATTGGTGCATTGGGCACCTACATGGGGCCATACCCTCTCAGATTAAAGTGGGTAGACAAACTATTGAGCAAGAGATCATGTAGTCAGGGCAGATTTCTTAAAGCTCGGACAGATATATTGACTTGTCCTGGTCTAAGGGCTCTGTCTTCCACTCTCTTCCTTCTGACTTGATACCCAGCATGATGTGACGAATGGTGCAGATTTTCCTCTGTTGGAGAAGCCTCCACTCACCAGTAGACAAAAGTATTCCAAGTACTTTAGCCCCTCTCTCCCCTCCAAGTGATTGGAGTCAATGCCACCAAGGTGAACTGGTCAATATGGCCCCCAAGATGAACTGGTTCATCTAACATTATGCTGTGTACACCCTCAATACAACGAAATCTCTCTGAGCTCCCTTATTCTGGGAAAACAAACCTAATGTCCAAGCAGCCAGTCTGTCTAACTTTTAACTGCCAAGAAATCATGTTGAAGCAAATAATGTCTCTTAAGGAAAATAAATCTAAAGCTTTTATAGTAAAGTGTTTAGCTGTGAATTAACTGTAAATGCATTTGTTGTTACGTGTAGAAAATATCCAAGAGCGTTATGGATCCCTCTCAGGCCAGCTCCACATGATTGAGCTGGAGAAAGGTCACAGTGGTTTGGGTCTAAGTCTTGCTGGGAACAAAGACCGTACCAGGATGAGTGTGTTTATAGTGGGGATAGATCCCACGGGAGCAGCAGGAAGAGATGGCCGACTTCAGGTTGCTGACGAGCTTCTAGAGGTAGGTGCTGCTAGTTTTGAATTTGCTCATGGCTTCATCATGCAGTGGAAACGTCAGTTTCCAGAATGTCACCCAGACATTGTGTAGTGACTGACCTAACCAAATTGTCCACTGTCTAATAAAATTGATGTAGTGCAGCAGATTTGGCTCCACAACAAATCTCTACAACATAGTTTGTGTTCCATTAACTCACACTAAAGGTCATGACTCTGCAGCACCAAAAACAGTTTTTGCCCCAAGATATTAATAAAAATCACACTTCAAAAACATGCTTGTACCTGTGCTTTATTTTTATTGGGAGTTTTTGAAATGCCAGTAATGCTGCTGACCCACTAGACATTCTGGAGGTTGAATTACTAATGAAGTAAGTATTGGGGTTGAGGTGAGATGAGGCCAAAGCTAATGCAAGCAGTAACTAAACCTGCCAAACAAAATAGATCTACAGGCCATACTTCATAGTGTTTAGACTTTGTTTTTACTGACTCAGAGTAAGCATGACTCCACACTGTCTCAGAGCTCTTCCATGTATTTGTATATCTCTACTGTCTGGACCAGTTCTGTTCACAGTGGCTTAATGACTGGACACCTGGGCTGGCACATTCACCTCTGTAGAATGTTGTGCTACTTACAGTCTGATGCTGTGCCTTGAGCCTTCCTTGCATGAATTTAGATACCCTGCTTCCCAGGACATGCTTCTTAAGACCAACTGAGAGATGTGACAGGGGGCTTACCCCTGTGGTCTTTGCAGGCCACAAAGCCCTTGTCTTTTGGGAAATTGACTGTCTTCTCTCCATATTTGTTCAACATGATGTGTCTACAAAGTGCCCAGGGATATCAGAGATCATGTATGTCACCTTAATGTTAGCTATAAACATGAGCTCTTCTATATTCATCATCAAAATTTTGGTTTGGGTTCTGGAGAGGAAAAATGTATTTAATATGATAAAGAGAGCAACTCACTTTTTATTAGCTAGACAAGATGATAAAACCTAAAGAAATGAAGAGATTTAGGTTCAGTTAATGATACTTATTTCTTATAGATCAATGGCCAGATATTGTATGGCAGAAGTCATCAGAATGCGTCATCAATCATTAAATGTGCTCCATCTAAAGTAAAAATAATTTTTATCAGGTGAGCATTTTTCTTCTTTCTTTGGTTTACTAAATACTTGGCTAGCATTTCACCTCTGAATTATTTTCAGTGAAATAAAACATATATGTATATATGTAGATATATACTACATATGTAAATACACACAATATATATCTGGGATCTAAGACTTTGGGGTTAGATAATTTGTTCTTAATAATCTTTATGACACTTCAAGATAGAAATGGGAATAATCTGATGATATGATGAGCTGATACATTCTTGTGTTCTTTTAGAAATGAAGATGCAGTGAACCAAATGGCTGTATGTCCTGGAAATGCAGCAGACCCTCTGCCTTCTATTTCAGAAAGTCCTCAAAATAAGGAGGTATCTGTAATGCATTTGTTTCTCTAGAAAGATTTGATTGATACAACGTTTTAATTTGGCTAAGCATTGTAGAACATTACACAGATTCAGAGATAGCTATAATGTTAATGGTTAATGTTCAAGATACTACCACCAAATAGCACACCACTTATGTAAAGGCCACCAGACAAGCCCATATATATAGCAGTAAGAGGAAGAAAGTGGTCTGTTCTGTTCTGGAGAGAGACTTCATGGTGATGTTACATGTGGAGAATATGGTAGAGGATTAGGGGACCCAAGTGCTGTATAAAGAATGCATAGGAATACATAGGATAAGGAAGAACCCATGCTCCAGAGACTACCTGAATTGGAAAACTGCAAACAGCATTAAGGAGTGGTATTGAGAAAGTAATGGGAGAGGCAAGAGAGGGTCATTGAGAAAGGAGACATGGTCAGATCTTGAGAACACTGTGAAAGCCATCCATTTCAACTTCCATCATCATGAAAATTGTGTTTCAAAGGTCTTGGTCTCCCTGAAAATTCTACTGCTGGCAGAGAAAGGAACTGTGTGAGGCAAGAAGGAAACTGAATTTAACACAACTTAGTTAGTTGGGCTGGTTCTAACTTCTGGTTTATTTAGACATATTTAAGTACATTACAATTTTGGAAAAAAAGCTTCCTGGTGATAGTTATCTCAACACCATGTGCACAATAAAGCTTGGGGTGTGACTGCATCAAAACTCTTTTGCAAAGTATATGTGACTTCTACTATGAAGTGGGTTCTATAACTTAATTTAAGGGCCTAGGATCTGATATAGTCTCAGACAAAGATAGAATAGAGGTCACTAGGCTGTAAAGTGCACATGGCATCTCCCTTAAAGATGAGTTTCATTGACTGAGAAGCACTTCTCAAGATAAAGGTATAGGGAGGAAAAATTTGAGATAAACTGTATAGTCCTAGTGATTTAGGTGTGGCCAGGCCCTATGGATAGTACAGATTACCAGGATATTAACAACATCCACTCCAAGCTTTCTGGGCATAAAACAGGCTTACAGCTCCCTTCTGTTGAAGAGAAAAGTCTGCATGTTCAACATTCCTGTTTTCTCTGGTGCTTATTTGTAAGCATGAGAACCTTATGCCCTCTACATAAATGAATGATAATTAAATTTTCAAAATCTACTATCAGGCATTTCCTGGCAGAGAAATGAAGTTCAAGGAATTACAGAAACAGAAGCAGTACAGGAGAAAATACAATGAAGGCCCGTTGTACAATAAGGGAAGAAGAAGAGTTCACACCAGAGGTTTTAGACCCAGTCTAGTAACATTCTTGCCCACACAGATGTACTTGTGAAAAAAACGTTGGAAAGTATTCATTCAGTGAACATTTCTTGACTAATTTGATGGTTTGGATAAAGAATGAAACAGTGATTAAAACAGAAGGAAGTGCAAGGCTTTCCTCACATCTCACACTTCACTAAGTATCAGCAGGAGCTGATACTTCATAACCATCCCACTGACCACCTCAGGCTGCCTACTGGGGAGTGCGGTAGGGGGACATTTGTAGACTACCTGTGCACTTACTAAGACTGTGGCTTTTTCTGCTTGCACCATTACAAGGCTGCAGGTTGAGAAGCCTGCTAAAGTATACATTTAGATATGTTATGTGGTGTTTAGAGACAACTCCCCACAGAGTATATTGCATTTGTTAGCCCCTGGGGGCTGAAAATACTGGCTTACAAAGAACATTAGAAGAGAAGAGAGCAAAGGGCAGCCTGTGCAAACAACAACAGAAACCCTCACTAAGAGGAAAAGAACCAGTAGGCCCTTGTATAGCAGTAGAGGAGAGAAAAGTGGATCCCATAGCCTGAGATATTGCAGAGAAGGCCAAGAACAAGATAGTGAGAGAGGCCCCTTGGATCTACAGCCAGGTGATGACAGAAAGGCAAATGACAACAAAGAAAGAGAGAAAGCAACAGCTAGAGGGTCACAAATTGGTAGTTTTTGTTTGAATTGAGAAATCTTTGGATTTGTGTCTGAGAACAGTAAAAGAAGATAGCAGACACAGAAGAGCTTACCATTAGAGCTGCCATGGGGTTTTCAGTGGCAGAAGGTGAGGGCAGGCTTCATTCTCCCTTCAATGAATGTTTGAGTAGAGGGCTTATTTACATATAAGGGAGAGAAAGAAATCATAGTCTGCTTGAAGCTGCTTCCTCATGGGACTTAATTTGGGTAAGTTATAGTTATAGATGGCAAAATGTATTTTTATACTGCACCAACTGTTCCCCTTCAATATTATAGCTTAATGACTTTTATGGAAAGATTTAATAATTTCTGAAAACCTATCATAACTTGTGGAGAAAGAATAATACATGGTGCCTTTTCTGTCAGAGAGCAGGCTTCTGATGGACTCCATTATGGAGTAAACCCAAGCAAACGTCTAAGCTAACAAAATAATAAATTTTGTTTAAGTGGTTCTTACATTTAGGCAAACAAATATACTTAACAGTTACCTTTTGGACATCTTTCTTTGTCAGGTAGAACCAAGTGTTACTACTTCTGCAGCTCTGGACCTCAGTTCACTTACAAACGTGTACCATCTGGAGCTTCCCAAGGTAAATCCTCTTTGAGTGGGAGTTAACTGAATACTCTCACACACTCATCCTGTCCGCTGGCTCCCTGAAGGATTGTCTCTAGAGAGTGGTATCTGCAACATCTGGGGTCTTGTTAGAAATGCAGGCGATGGGACACACCCAGAGCTTCCTGTGAGTGAGGAGCTCTGAGATGGACCTGGAAATCTGCTTTAATGACCCCCTGTGATTGCAGTGCACAGTCAAACCTGGGGTTCACTGTGCTAATCAGTTCTGAACTGTGGACCAGCTTTTCCTGGTTTTAGTGTTACTGGAAGGCATGAAATCTGCCGTCTCTCCGTGATTTGTTTACTGAGATGCTGCTTAGTAGATACAACAGTGAAGAAACTAGTTCATGAAACTGGGATAACTAGAAGTTTAGCTGATAGGCTGGCACTCAGTGAAGTGTTTGCCTGGAGAAGGTTTGACTTTCAGGTTCAAATACTACTTTGCAGAAATGGTTTGCTGAAAAGAAACAAATGTTTTCACCTACTACAGCTCCTACTGAAAAGCAAGTGGACATGGGTATGTAAGGAGGGGCCCAGGCATAGGAGATGAAGGAAGTAGAGTAGGGCAGAAGGTTGAGTGCAGGAAATGTTGTAAACATAAGTAGCAGGAGTGGTCCATTTCCTCCAGCAATGAGGCACCAAGGCCTGATACTCTGAGTCTGGATCGTTCTATCAGGTTAGTGTCCATGTTTCATCACAGATGAGCTTTGTTTCATTAGGTTCCTCTATATAGTGTGGAGACAATAGTAGTACTTTTGTCTTAGTCATTTATGAAGATTAAATGAATTACTTATATAAGAGCATAATTCCTAGCACACAGCCAGAATATTGGAAAATATATACGACTACATTGATTTTGTTTCTTTTTAATAAAGAAACAAACCTGTACAAAGATGGGCTGCTGCAGTAATTTTTAATATAATATTTTTACTAAATTTTTGAGAATGTCATATGTGCACCCATGTATAAAAGCGCTTCCCTCCACCACCTCCAAGCGCTTCCCCCATCCCTCCCAACTTCATGTCCTGTCTCCCCTTCACCCAGTTTGTGCTGCTCAAATACCCATGGGTGTGGGACAATCTTGATGGAGCATAGTTGAGCTACTGGGGCCACACACTCAGCTGTCAGATGTAGTGAGCCCACCATCACCATCACCAATGCAGGAATGCTTGGTTATGTACAGCAGCCCCAGCTGCTGTGAGGTCTCATCATGGGTATAAAAAAGATGTTTCTATTATGAATTGTTTTGCTCTAGACAGATGGAACAGAATAGAAGTCATTAGAAGCTTTTGCTCATGCATTTTAATTAGAACCCCTCCCAGTGCCATGTCAGAGTGATTATGTCCTCTGTGTTCCTGTCCAGATTTCAGGGCTCAGTTCATCTTAAGTCTGTAAATACCAATGACGCTGTTTAATAGTGTAATTATGTACCTACAGTTTAATTAGTTTATTAAGAAGCACTTAAATGCATGTTTAAATTTTGGTATGATTTTTTTTTTTTTTTTTTTTTTTTTTTTGGTTTTTTGAGACAAGGTTTCTCTGTGACTTTGGAGGCTATCCTGGAACTAGCTCTTGTAGACCAGGCTGGTCTTGAACTCACAGAGATCCGCCTGCCTCTGCCTCCCAAGTCCTGGGATTAAAGGCGTGCACAACCAACACCCAGCGGTATGAATAATTTTTCAGCCTGTGTTTATCTGTAGAAAAGTTGAAATATGTAAATGCCTCACATGACGTTTATGGCAGTTCCAGTTGATTTCCTAATGCTTAGTGTATGCTAGAATAAAAAGTGCCGAAGAATGCTAGAAAATGATCATGATAGATGAATGAGGCACACAACAGTATAGCAGTTGAGAACACAGACTGAAAACCAGACCACCTGGAGCAGAGCCCAAGACTTAGCCCTTAATAGCGATGGCAGCACCATTAACCTAGGGCAGATTCCTGATTCGGCACATGGCTTCCTTGTATGAATTACCCTGACCAAAGCAACTTAAGGAGAAACTGGTTTATGTTGGCTCACAGTTCAAGGGTACCGTCTGCCATCACAGGTGAATCATGGCAGCATGAGTTTGAAGAAACAGATGGCCACACTGCAATTGTAGTCAATTTACTCTCAGTTTAGTTTCTCCTTTCCACTCAGTCTAGGACAACAGCCTGTAAAATGGTGCCACCTACAGTTAAGGTGGATATTGCCACCTCTATTAGCCTATAACCCTTTTCTCCCTGTGTTGCTTTTGATCAATATTTTACCACAGCAACAAAAAAAGCTAACTATAATACTCTCCAAAATAAGGATAAAAAATAGTACTCATTGTGTACTTAGTGATATATATATATATGTGTGTGTGTATACATACACACACACACACAAACACACACACACACACATATATTTCAACCTGGTGTACACGTGCACACACACACACACACACATAAACAAGTATTGGGTATTATTATAGTTGTTAGGAAAGAATAAAAGATATCTCATTGATGACACTGATGTTTTCTCTTCCTGCCTTGCTGAGTTATTCCACACTTGTTTGCATTACTTTCGTCCCTTGCTGAGAACCTTTTAACAACATTGATTGTCAAGCACATCAATTAACATTTCTTTTGCCTGACCCTTGGTAGTGAGGTAGACAGAAGCCTGCTTTGTCCACAGGAAGCCATCTCACACCCTGAAAGATCTCAGATGACGCTTTAATCTCATTTTCTTCTGTCTTCTGAAATTGAGGCTGCCCAAGTCAGTTATGTTTGGGTTGGTTGAGACCTGGAACAATGTTCCTTCATGCTGTAACATAAGTTTTGTCTTTGCCCTTTATCATTCTGCTGATTTATTCATAGATGACTATTATATATACTTCCCTTTTTGATGTTGTTGCTATCTGTTGAAAATCCAAAACCTTGGAGAATGTCAATGCTTTGTCCACAAAAACTTCCATTTACAATTCAGTTTTGTTATAAACTAAAATATCAGGGAACTGAAATGTATTCTTTTATCAACTGCCAAAGGGAATAGAGAGAATATTTAAGAATCTTTTAAAATAAGCTAGACAGAGAAGAAATCGTGATTTCCAGGATTTCAATTATGAAATTTGAAGGCATTTTGCTTTCCTTATCTATAAGGGAGAATTTACACATTCATAGTGGAGATACTATTCTGAAGATTAAGTGAAATCAATAAAGCACTTGTCAGAATCCAAGTTCCCATAATTGTTTTGTTAAACTTTTAAACCTGTGAGATTCTGAATGGCCTATAGAATGTGTCCTTGCATGCTTCCTTTGTGGAGGTCTTTATTTAAAAAATGATAAAGTGGCACATCCCATTAAGTCTGTGCATGCCTCGTTCTTAGATGGCATGGAACTGAAATGCAGTGAGGTACAGACACAAGAGCTTTCTAACATTGGTAACTTATCTCAAGTCCTTTGTCCCTTAACCCTCCAGAAATTTCAAATTATGTTTGTTTGGAAAAATAATTTAACAGTGATAGAACATTTGTTCATTATGACATTTACTACTTGGCAACAATGGAAGATTGCCATTACTGCTCCACTTTTAACTGCTGCTCTCTTCCTAGCTGAGACCGGATCGTTGGTGTTCCTGTATGTTCCACTGTGCCCATCCCCTGTTCAGAACTTGCAGTTAACTGTGAGCCTAATAATAGGCCAATTCTAGTTCTGTTGCAGAAATGCCATTCAGTTATCTTTTTTTTTCTTTTAAAACTTTTTTTTAAAGGGGAGGGCTATACAAATACAAAATAAGTAGCCTGGCTTTTGATGCTAATTCAGTTAATCAGAAAACCTGATCAAAATATATTTTTAGTACTCTTTACCCTAGAAAACTAACTATACATCATAGCAAGCAACAGATACTATGATTGCCAAAAATAGGCTTCACATCCGTATGATTTTACACAGTAGAAATCCGCAAATAAACAATCAGAGTTTTCTTCTGAATTTTAGGAAACGGTTCACTTTCTTAAAATGACAGTAGCTTGTTCAGTTCAGTCTCACCTGTAATTCTTGCTGATAGTTTTCTAACTATGTGACTGAATGACTTCTCCAGATAGTTTTCTAACTATGTGACTGAATGACTTCTCCAGAATCATACATGGTGCATTTTGAAACACTAGTTCAAGACATTGTTTCTTTTATCTTCTCCTGCTGAGGAAGGACTGCATAGACTGTGGCAGAAGTGAGCGGGGAAAGTTTACAGTTAGGTAGGAAAATACACACTCACATCCCTACTCCTTTCTTATGCTTCATCCTGCTTCTCTGATACCATTTATCTACAGTATTTTATAGTGTTCTCAGTGGGGTTAGGGCATAATATACATGCAGATGTTTGGCTTACTATTCCTTTAGAATGCCTATTGCAAACAAGAACAAAAACCACAAGCAAAAAAGTCACAAAAAGGAGAAAATTAATTCCATCAGGCTTAATAAAAGGTTTTTGGATTCAGGTTAGTCTTCAAGCATGTTGATTCCAAGACTCATTAGTGTCATCAAGGGGCAGGTCTTTCTGCCCAATCATGCACAGTGCCTATTGATTCCAAAGATGACCTTCATTATAATTCTGGATGGCTGCCAGCCATAGTTAGGGCCTGTGCCACCTCTTTTACATGTGATGGGGGAGAGGTAAGCGTGCTTGTTTTCTCAATGTCAGGAGATCCATTGTAACTACCAGCCCAGGTCACATGCATACTCCAGCCAAGGACTGTTACTATAGTAAACAATTATAGACTTGATTAGAGTCGCTCAATCTTTGAAACTATTTACCTTTCTTTACATAACAAATTTTCAAAACCCCAGGCATAAACAGGCATCTGTTGTATCTTAGTTCCTGTGAATGGGGAATTTGGAATATATCCTCCGGGTGATCAGGCTTAGAACCTTCTGTATGGTTCCTAACAAGCTTCCAGGATCAGCCACAGTCACTCACTGCAAATTTGGGCCATGGGTGGCAATTGCTTCTACTTCCAAGGTGATTTCCTTGAATGAATGTATCTGAGAGATCCCCATTCTTTCTGTGGCAAATCTAGTGTTCTCCTGCCATGGCAGCAGGCTTCCCACAGAACCACTGATCCGAGAGAACCAGAAAACAGCAAGCCATCTTTTGTAACCCAGATGTGAAGTTCCATCCTGTCATTTGTTTAGTTAGGATGTGTAGCCTCTCCTCCTACCTAGGCTTGCTGTATTGAATCAAGGACTATTGAGATTTTCTGTGTCTTTTAAAATCACCGTCCAAAATACAAGAAAGGAGCAAGGGAGGGAAGAGAGAAAGATTAAAGATGGGGAAGATGGTAGAACAGTGGAAGGCAGTTGGTAGGGTTGGTCCCTGGAGGATTTAGGTATATTAATCAAAATGACTCATTATTACCTAGGGTAAGGTGAGAATGTATATGAGATAAACAACACCCCCTCCACATATTTGTGAAGTCAGTTTCTGACTAAGTAGAAAGTGCTACCATCATTTACATTTTTAGATAAGAAATCTTAGATTTTTCCCCATTAGGTGGGAACATTAAGATATCATATGAAATGCCTAGGTAAAAGGTGGATTCAAAGCCAGTAGCCTACTGTCTGATAGTAAGTGTGGCTCCAGATATGTGCTTCTGAGAGACCATGCAAGTTTGCCTTTTATCCCTCTGACTTTGTGTGAAATTCCTCTGTATGAAAACTATAATGAGAAAGTGACTAGCTCAGGCTAGAACAAAAGCTCAACACTTTGTTTTAACTTTATTAAAGTAATCAGAAAGGAAGGTATAAACCCCTGTTACTAAAACTTTTTTAGTGTTGAAAAAAATACAGATCCATGTGATGTGATGTGATGTGTTGGCTCTGCAACCTTGGCCATTTCGGGGTCATGATTTACTCACAGATGCAAGCATGCTCCTTCTGCAGCAAATAAAGAATCTTTTCTTGAGCAATGACCCTGAGGGTTGTGCCCCAGAAGGAACAGAGCCTGTGGCACCAATTGCCCCATCATTAGAAAGGCATTTAATTGCTTTTGTAGCCTTTGGGTTGATGGTGTGTTGGGTCATCATGGCTCCATATCTTTACATTTGAGTAAAATAAATCAGCTTCAACTTTCCTGACTGGTCTTCATTTATTCCTCTAGGATCAAGGAGGTTTGGGTATCGCTATCAGTGAGGAAGACACACTCAATGGACTAGTTATCAAGAGTATAACTGAGCATGGAGAGGCAGCCAAGGTGACACTGGTTAACTTTCTTGCTGCTGAGAAGTGGTGGAAGGGGGGAACTGCTCTGAAATGCTTACACAGATCTTCCACTTTCACCATAGGATGGAAGGCTTAAAGCTGGAGATCAGATCTTGGCTGTAGATGATGAAGTTGTTGCTGGGTGTCCTGTTGAGAAGGTATTTTTGCAGTAAAGGCAGTGGCACTGCTAACCCATCCTTTGGCCTGGCTCAGTTGGGGGCATAGGTATTAAGCCTGGGTAGATATATGAAATGGATTATTATTTCCAAAAAGAGAATTTTCCTCAGGCCTCCCAGTTTTTGTTTTCTAATTTCTAATCAAGATGATGTTATGATTTTGCCTGTTATTTTTGCTAAGTGTTGTCTCCTTACTTCATGATGAGAATAAGGGTATATTTTCCTTATGAATGTTTAGCCTTAGGTAGCTGTCATGTGTATTGTTATTAAATAGATTTGAAGATGCAGCCATTACATGCCTGATATTTGTTGGTGTTTAACAGATCTTTGTAACTAGAATCTGAATGATGCTATTTGTATATAAGCTCCAGGAAAAAAAGCTTTGTTTCCTTGGGATGTGATTCACTACCTCTTCTGGGGTAGAATCCCTTTCTACATTGGCCACCAAGAAACTTAAAGCTGTTTAAAAATCTTTCAGTTGTAATAACTAAATCTTCACTTCGGTCCTTTAACCTATAAGTCTGATTTTGATTTGCATTTGCCTTGACTTTACTGTTGCTTAGTTTGCTCCCTGCCTTTAATGTGTGCTTATCAGTGTGTTTGTCGAAGTTTGTGGAAGCTGCTTCAGATCCCTTGTAGAACAAGAGAGAAGACAAAATGCTTTCTGTGACATAAACATTGTAGCGATCTAGGGAAATGGACAAACTTGACTAGACATGTAATAAGTTGAGAGCCAGTCCCCCAATATACTAACATAAAGAAGAATCTTGACAAAGCTATTCTAGAAGGAGAGTAGAAATTAGCCATATTTGTAATCTCATTGGACAGTTGAAGGACTGGTGGAAGATTTCTTTTTGGAGTCATGGGGAAATCATTTGTCTCTCTTTTCTTGATAACAGATGAGGTAGAGCCCAACAACACTGGATCTGGGGAGCTAGTTCAGCCAATGGAGTGTCTAAGGATCTGAATCTGTGGGACTGGAGTTAGGGTTCAGTGGTAAAGTGTGCTTCAAGCAGAACTAACATGGGTTCTGTTCCCAGCACCCATGTCAGGTAGCACCCAGCTGCCTTCAACTCCACTCCAAGAGATCTGACACCCTCTTCTGGCACCTACATATATATACACATGCATCCACACATACCAAATAATAAATAAATGAGTAAATCTTTACAAATAAGGGACACATAGTCAGAACCCATGTTGAAAGGAGGAGGAAGAGGAAGAATAGGAGAAAGTGAAATAAAAAGCTGACATAATGATGTGCGAGCTTTTATAATCCTCTGATGAGGAAGGAGTAAACAGAAATTCTCTGGGGCTCATTGGACACCCAGCCCAGCTTGATCAGTGAGCCTCAAGCCAGTGTAAAACCCTATGGCCTTGACATGCCCACACGTACATATGCATACACAAACATGCATGCCCATAAATGTGTACACACACACACACACACACACACACACACACACACACACACACACACAACACACACACAACAATATACAAACACAATTCTGGTGCTTTATTTGTATACGTTTACTCATTTGTCTTGAACTTTGTTCTCTTTCATATCAATATCTGACCAGTTTATCAGCCTTCTGAAGACAGCAAAGGCAACTGTAAAACTGACTGTTCGAGCTGAGAATCCAGCTTGCCAGGCTGTGCCCTCAGCAGCTTCTTCAGCCAGTGGAGAAAGGAAAGAGAGTGCCCAGTCTCCTGCAGTCCCAACTCTGGACCCAGACTCCATCCCAAGTAAGGACTGGCCATAGGGCAACCTCAATAGAGGGTCTTCCTTTAAATGGCTCATGAGATTCCTACACATAGGGCAACCTCAATAGCGGGTATTCCTTTAAATGAACAGGCCTGCCCACAGGGCAGTTTGAAGGACATTAAAGTCAAAGCATCTTCAGTGACTGAAAGGTTTAAAGAGGGAATAACTGATAAAAAGTGTGGACCACTGGGCAGTAGACCTGTGTGTATAGGTTACATAAGGAAGCCACTGTGGTACCTGCTATCCTCCCTAAACCAAGAGAGTTGTCTTTCTTCACACTCAAGTTTTTGCTAAGGGAACATGCAATTACAGGCATTCATGTAGAGAATCATACATGTCATTTTGTAACTTCTCCTGGTGAAATGTCTCAGTTTCCTGATACATGAGGTGCATACATAATGATCCTGTTTCACAGCTAGGATTAATACTGGCCACTATTACACTAAAGCTTAAAGTGCTGGCTGTTGCTGTGTACGTGATAGATTCAGGTTGGGAGCTCAGGGAAATAGAAAGCTCATGTCAGATGAGATACTGAGGGGTGAGACTTTCTTGTATCACTAAACTCACAATTTAGTATTTGGAGCAAATTTTTAATGGTGGCATGTGCCTTCAGTCCCGGCACTCAGGAGGCAGAGGTAGGCAGATTTCTGAGTTCCAGTTCAGCCTAGTATACAGATCCAGTTCCAGGACAGCCAGAGATGTACAGAGAAACCTTGTCTCAAAACAAAACAAAACAAAACTTGCTTTTTTAAAAGAGAATGTTCATGGATAATAAAATAATAGACAACTCTAAAATCTCCAAAGCATCATCTAGAAATGATTTGAACATTAACATTTCTATGGAAGGTGGGCAAGGGAGACATATTCTTGACCCATAATACAAACTGAAATATTCCACTCATGTAGAAGTTTGTTAAGCAAAACAGACCTGAAGCATTTGTAATACACCTATTCAACGTCTTAATGAAAGACTCTGATAGCAATAATCCTGTGTTAAAAGGGCTGGGAAATTCATTGAAATAACCATTAATACTTCAATGAAGATTTTCTCATTTAATGTTAGATCCTAAATAGAATTGCATATAGAATATGAAACACTCAATGAAAACTTAGCATAAATGAAGATACCATACACATGTTTGTACCATTTCGGGAGGAAGAACATAGTCTTCTTCTGATTTTCTGGAAAGAGAACATCTTGTCTACATCACACACTGCTCAACAAGAGTGGCTCTCCTAACCCCACTCTTTCCTGTGTGATAAAAAGTTTGTCTTGTGCACACTCAGAAAACAAGGCATGTGATTGTACCCCTTGTTTTTCACACTGTGTCCTTGTCTAATTCAGAAAGTTATGCAGCAGGATTTAATGTAGAAAGCATAAAAATACGTGAGACCCAAGAAGAAAGATGAGAAATGAATAAAGTGAATATTTTGCGTGTGTGTGTGTGTGTGTGTGTGTGTGTGTGTGTGTGTGAGTATGCTCAGAACTGATTACATCAGAAGAGATGCTTCTAGATACCAAGAAAAAGAGAACATTGTCAAACCATGGTGCAGCACCATGACCAGAATTAATGGTGAGCTTCATTCATCTGAGTGTGCTTGTGAGTCTGTGCAGGCCAGCTCAGCTCTGAGTGTGAAGAATGCATCTTCCACAAGAAGAAGTTTGTCTCTGGTGAAGTATAGGAGAGGCTCAACCCAGCTCTCACTTTGCTTTCTTTCATATTCTGTCCTCTTTACCTGCAGCAACTTAAAAAATTACAAAATAACATTAAAAATTACAAGTAATTTTATGCCTACCCCCCAGTTTAGTGATAATGAATTAGTCACACTACTTTGATATTTTAAATACAAAATGGTTAAAATGTTCAAGATGGATTTGAAGTTGCCTTTTCCCTAATCTCTTTCCTTTCTCCATCCTCATAGGTAACGTGTGCTGAATTTGACATTAGTTCTTGCTGAGTAGTTTGTATGTATGGCTAATCCATTCTAAACTCATTTTTAGATACAAGCAGGTCATCAACCCCAGCAGTCTTTGCTTCTGACCCTGCCACCTGTCCCATTATCCCTGGATGTGAAACAACCATTGAGATTTCCAAAGGGCAAACAGGACTGGGCCTGAGTATTGTTGGCGGGTCAGACACACTGCTGGTAAGTACTCTACCCAGTTCAGAGGCACTCAGGTGGTCCATGAGACCATAAGGCAGCGATTTGTCACTACTGTTAAATGTGATGTACAGGTGGAAAAAATATCTATCACTGGTAATAGAAACTAGGATTATGACTTTGCTGAAGCCAACACTGACTTAAATAGACTGTCTTCCATATAAAATTTCAGAGTGTTTGTATCACTTCATTGGTCCTTGGCATTGTTTAACTTCCTTTTTACTTATACTCAGGTTATCTCAGCCCCATATTGAGAAGAATGTGAAATATTTTATATACAATTTGTACATTTCAAAATACTTTAAAAGCTTTCCATCTGTAGATCATAATGATGTTATATCTCATTATATGAGTATATGCTTTATAAATTTTATGAATTTTATCTTGAAATTTCTCTTATCATCAGAAAAAAGTATATACTTCTTCCAACCTTTTAACAAAAATTATGTCATTAGATGTTTTCTTACAGTATGTTGCATGGCTCACATATGGACCCATGTACTTGCCCTTTTAGCTATATACAAAGTGCAGTGTCCTTGGATTCCTGTATTTCCAGCATTCCTAGAGAGAATGGATAACACGTGGGTATGCTATGTTTTGGCCTCTAGGGTGCTATTATTATCCATGAAGTTTATGAAGAGGGGGCAGCATGCAAAGATGGAAGACTGTGGGCTGGAGACCAGATTTTAGAGGTACAAATGCTATTTTTAACCTAGAGTAAAAAGCAAAGGACATGGGTGATGGGCTTGTCCTTCCTTCTTTCTCTCCCCTCTTCCTCTTGGCTCTCTTCTTTCTTCTTCCTCTTTCCTCCCTTCCTCCACTCACCTCACCTAGCTCCTCACCACCACTGTCCTGCCTCATACAGGTGAATGGTATTGACTTGAGAAAGGCTACACACGATGAAGCAATCAATGTCCTGAGGCAGACGCCACAAAGAGTACGGCTGACGCTCTATCGAGATGAGGCCCCATACAAAGAAGAGGATGTGTGTGATACCTTCACCATTGATCTGCAAAAGAGGCCAGGCAAAGGCCTTGGCTTGAGTATTGTTGGCAAGAGGTGTGTTGAAGAGAACAAACCCGGGCCCTTTTGAAACCGATTATAGCTTTAAACAAATTTATCAATGACTTATGTTCTGTTGCTGTAGACATTGTAAGTCAGTGTATTGGAGGGTTATATAGTCTTCAGCAAAGGTCATTTGGTATGAAATGTCTGCTGTGTGCCAAAAGGTATATTACATGCTGAGGAGAAGTTAAGCAAGAAACAATTCTTGACCTCAGAAAATTTCTTCCTCCAGGGTTACTGTGCCTGGGAACACTAAAGGTGACTCATTTGCTGGGTTCATTTCCCAGCACCCATACTGGGAGGCTCACAGCTGTCTATAACAGCTCCAGGCGATATAAGACCCTCTTCTCATCTCCCCTGGTACTCACACACAAGTAACACACACACACACACCACACACACACACACACACACACACACACACACACACACACAAACACACACACACACACACACATGCACGCACACATCCACATGTGCACATGCGCGCACATACACAGTAAAACCAATAATACAAATTAAAGAATTAAAATCTTAAAAAATCATGCTCTGATGAATGAAACTCTTGTAGCAAGTGAATTTATCAAGAGTCCCAGAGGCACATTGGGGGAGCTAGAAATGGAAATGTGAAAGGGACCAATGGAGTTCCCGATTTAAGAGAGAGGTTGGGTAAAAGGTTCAAGAAAAGAAGATAGCTGTTATGTTAAAGGAGACAGAGGGTAGATAGTCTAGGGACAAGGGTCATCGTGAAAGGCATGTGCCACCAGCAGAGGACTGAAAGCATAAATCAGGACTTCAGAAAAGATTAGTGAGTACACTTAAATTCAGTTCTTTATTATTAAAATACATACATAACTAAAAAGATTATTGGTATGTAATTTATATTAACCAATGTTTATAGAAGTCATATTAACCACTAGTGAATTTCATAAACATTTCTTCCTTGTTTATTAGAAGACCATCAGGGTGAGAATCTATTGAATAGTTAAGCAGATAAATCAGGACTCAGGATTAGCTTCTGTGTAGGCTGCAGTAGCCCCGAGTTTCCACCAGCTGTCCTTAGTCCGTACAAACCACCTTATCAGAGCAGCCTTCTAGCGAGGCACCACCTATGAATTGTGCTTATCTAGTCTGCAGCCACACTTCTGTATTAGAATTAAAAGGATACGTTTACCAGTTTGTTTTTGCAGAGAAAATTGAATACCTAACTTCTTTTTTAATGCATAGAGAAAGTGCATGGTGTTGCTTGAATCTCAATAGGAGTATGTCTGGGAAAAGTGGGCTGTTTGGGGGATACAGCACCAGTAGTCTCATTCTTGAAAAATCATTTCAGCTACAAGGCTGCTGTGGTCTGTTAGGTAAGCAGAACACTATACAAAGTTCTGGCAATAAAACCTAACTAGACTATCTAGTCCTAACATCCTATTTAAAAATGAGAAAATCCATGGTTAGAATGGAATGATTTTATGATTAGATGGTATATTTGAAGTCTTCTTGTGCAATTCAGTTTTTATTGTACAATCCTGTTTACTTTTATATCTTAATGGAAAACCCTAAGGTTTGTTTTCAGTTGTGTGCATCAATAAGATTAATGTTTGTTAGGTTTGTGCAAATCTATATATAAAGTTAAATCTATTATATGTAATAACCTAAATACATCATAGTAATGTGGTTAAACTTTGAGAAACAGTTTCAGTTTGTAGTATGTATCTGTTTTTTATTTTCAGTAATGTTAATGACATTGATGATAATCTCAACATGCTCACATGTCTACAGAACAGTGTTCTTATAAAACTTCAGTGTGGTGTGGAAAAAGCAGGCACTCAGTACCCAGCCACTGTTTCCTCAATGTTGTTTTACCATCTTCTAGGTGTGTGACCCATAAAATAAGAATTGTACTTACTTGTTCAGAGTACATGACTGATGAAGACTAGATATGCCCCGAGAGATACTTTCAATCTATGAAATACCCTTTTGAGATTGTAATTGCTGTAATTGCTCATATGCTGGCAAAGCTACCCCAATCTTAAAGATAGACATAATTTTCACTTAGAATAACTACTTTTGATTAAATAAGCATGACAGCTGAAAACCAGTCTTAATGCTGAAATCCACTGTTGCTTGCAGAAATGACACTGGGGTGTTTGTATCAGATATTGTCAAAGGAGGCATTGCAGATGCTGATGGGAGATTGATGCAGGGGGACCAGATTTTAATGGTGAATGGAGAAGATGTCCGGAATGCCACCCAGGAAGCAGTTGCTGCCCTATTAAAGGTATAAATCAAGTAACAAACATAATTTTGTATAGTAATTATCTGTGTTATTAGTCATCTCAGATAAAACAGTAAAATTGTTATCATTTAATATATTGTTGTGTATTTGCCTAATAACTTTGTTAGAATTCATGACACAGATACCTTAAAAAAATAGCAAACTTTAAAGTGCATATTTAAAACAGAATATTCAGACAGAAAAAGGTTTTTTTGTTTTTTTGGTTTTTTTTTTTTTTTTGGTGTTTCAAGACAGGGTTTCTCTGTATAGCTTTAGAGCCTATCCTGGCACTCGCTCGGTAGCCCAGACTGGCCTTGAACTCACAGAGATCTGCCTGCCTCTGCCTCCCAAGTGCTGGGATTAAAGGTGTGCACCACCAATGCCTGGCCAAAAGTTTTGACATCTGTTCTTCCATGTTTCTTTCTAGATTTATTCTTACAATTTAGGATGTATTAAGAGACCACCAGGGCCTCCCACAGCATCATAGGGGGTCATGTTTTCTGGCTTTTCTTTTTCAGCCTCTTCGTGAACCCTGTCTAGGCAGAGCAGAATTGGTATTTAGTCTTGTGATGTCAGTTAGAAGAATTTCAGTCTGTTTCACACAGGGAATATGTAGCCCAGTTCCCATAGGACTCAATACTGTTGCTCTATTTTAAAGATATTGTCAAACTCTCCTCCAATATGTCATCATTCTCTGAAGGGAGTTTAATACAGACTGACCCAATGCACCAACACTAGGAATTACTGTGACAGTGACAAGGCCCAATGGCACTTAGAGCTTTAATGCATCTTACACTGTGAAACAGATTTCCTCAGAAGAAAGCTCTTCCTGGGGAACGGTTCTCTGTTGGAAGGTGGAGTCATCCTGAAAATGAGCTGTAAAGTGCAGAACAGTCATTCAAAAACAACTTGTGTGAGGTAGAATTTCCCTGTTAGTAAATAGTCCAGTTTCATGAGGAGATTGTATTTTAAGTGACTTGTTGTTTACTGCATTTTTCTTTGCCTGCTATATTTTTCTCCTGAAGTTGAATTCAGCATTCACTTGATAACACTATTATTGCTTATTCCACACATCTGGGTCTGAGTGTACATGAGCCTGTATGCTGTATGTGTGTCAGCTCTGTAGCTGTTAGGGCAACTGGGCACGTGCTGTCATGGGAATCTCTCAGGCTGGACTCCCAGAGGCCTTTTCCAGGTGAAGCTCCTCCACCTTTAACCTCTGTGGTTTGGGTAGGAACTGGCACTGCATTAATTAATGGAACACACATTACACCTATTGTTTATTAAAGTCATCAAAACAAAGTTGTCAGAATTGTTTCTTTTTGTGGATGCAAGGGATTGGTATTTGAAACAGGGTCTTACTCTGTAGCTTAACCTGGTCTGGGACTCATGCTTAGCTAGTAACCAGAATTATTTAAGGAAGTATAGCTTCCTTTTGGAGATAAATTAGGAACATTTGTTAGCTCCATAAGATGGACAGATCTTACAGAAAGAGAGAGGAGGAGAAGGTCACATTGAGATCATTTAAATGAGTTAAGTCATTCAAGCTAGCCATTTTAAAAACAGTCAGGCAATATATACAATGAGAGCCATAAACATTTATATGTTGTATATTTGGCTTGCTCTAGCTTGTTGCTGTTTTGTCTAATTCTTTATTTTAAAAGAGACAATCTTAAATGTACAAATAATGTATGTACATAAATTTTATTGAACTATTTTTGCAATGTTAAAAAAATTGACTCTAAAAGCCCTAGATCTTGCACACCTCCTTGCGCCATTTGCATTATTTTTAGACTACATTGCATTTCTTACCTAGTGTCAGCTTGTAATATTACATTTGTAGAAGTGTTTTTCTAAGTATTATAGAGTAGGTCTGCTCAACTCCCATGCATCAGGGAAATTTGGCTCAATTATTTGAGTACCTTCTCTATTAAGGGAAATGTAAATTGTGCAGGTAGTGATTTGAGAGCTTTAGTTTGTATTTCAAATCCTGAGTTTCCCTGGTTCATTTGCCCTTTTTATGGTCTTAGTATTCATGAGAAATTACTTAATTCTCAATTTGTGTTTGTCTTGGTAGGAATGAGCTCCATGTAAATTGTGGAACACTGAGATGGACAACACAGCTACTGTATTATTATTATTATTATGAGTTTAAATGTTTAGAAAGTGTTTTTCGCAAAGAATTGGCTTACCCTGTCTATGGAAGTCACAAAAGGAAGATGCTTTTAGTTTTAGACCATGTTTTTCCAAAGATGATTGTAGAAGTTTGTTTTTACATTTTCATAACCTGTCTCCCTTAGTGTTCCCTAGGCACAGTAACCCTGGAAGTTGGAAGAATCAAAGCTGGTCCTTTCCACTCAGAGAGGAGGCCTTCTCAAAGTAGCCAGGTGGGTAGATGTGGGGTTTATGAACAAAACCAGTCCACGTGTGAAGAGGAACTCAGAGATGTCCCCACAGTCTGCCCAGCCTTACAGACACAGGTCCAGCCCTCCAGGAATGTGGAACTGGGTGTAGAGTTTGACAGTGATGAGTAAGAGAAACATGGCCAGTAGGGCTACTGGATCTTGAGGGCTCTTAGCAATATAGAGGGATTTGTTTCCAGCATTTCTCTTCCAGCATCTCAGAGTTAGCTGCTTAATCAGTGTAGGCAGATCCAGTCAAGGGTGACATACTTTTGAAGATACTGTTGAACAAATATCAATCAATATTCATCTGGAAAATTCCAGGTAAGTGATTGTAAACCATCTTTTATAGAAGTATAATATTAATATAACTTGATTCATGGACTAGGGAGATAGTGTGTGCTGAGTTAGCAAGAGGACTTAAGTTAAATCTGCAGAACTTGTTTTTTGTAGTGCTTTTGATCCCAGTTCTGTGTTGGTAAATGCAGCTTGTTTACTAACCTGCCAGCTTAACCACACTGGCAAGCTCCAGGTCCCAGTGAGAAACTCTGGCTCAGAAAGCAAGGTACCTAAGGCAGACCTGTGCCCTCTACTCAGGCACACTTATATGCACATGTAGGTCCCCAGAGTGCGTGCACAAACACACATACACATACACACACACACACACACACACACACACACGAATATGCATACACACAAAAATATAATAAATGAATAATTTGATTCTTGGCAAGCTTTTCTCTGCAGTATTATCTTCTGATGACAGAATCTCATTTTCATGAGTCTGTTCATGATGAGCATTTACCAACTTCCTTAATTACTGCCATTAGGTTCCAGCTCACTGGTCCTTGTTACATAGTTTTAAGCCCTAGCTGTTGTGTGGTTGTTTAAATTCAAAGAGAGTTAAGTCTTGAAATAGATTATGAAAGACCAGTAAAATTTTAGTTGAAATTTAGGTTGAAATCAACTCCCAACTATCCTTTCATCTTCAACTATTTGTATCATTATTCCTTCCACAGAAAAAGGACTCCAATAACTACGCTTAAATTGCCCTTAAATTACCAAATACAACTGTTGTTTAACAGTGTTTCTCATTAGATGAGATAAACAAGTGGAATTGTGAAATATTTTGTACTTAGGGGAATTACAATTTCCCAAAACTGTCTGTAATAATTGCTGTATATTTTAGGTGAGTGACAGTAGCCTGTCATCCTTCACTCTTCCACTTTCTGGAATAAATGCATCTGAATCACTGGAAAGTAACTCGAAGAAGAATGCACGTAAGACTGGCTTAACATTTTATGCATGAAGCCTACTGCTCTGAATTTTGGCTACTGATACCGATTTTTTTTTTTTAGTTGTTTACCACTGAGCCCATTTCCTCCCCAAACCATCTCATATCCTAATGTAGATCTAAAACATGCACTGGCCAAAATCCTGAGCAAATGAAGGCATGCCCTGTGGCAGTTTTTCCCACTTATGTTTGCTTTACAAATTATAGATGCATTATTATCAAGATTCTGTAATTTTTCTTACCATGCAGAGTAGTGTATTTGATTTTGTTCCTTTTCTGTGTTGAATGTAACTCCAGTAAATCAGAAAATACCACTAAGCAAAGCCTTATTTTTTTCATTAAGATTACAAAAATTTTGAAAAGAATTGACACAATCCTCCTGTGTTTTAATTACATAAAACCATGGCGCAGAGAATTTTTGGCTTGATGCATTGGTTGAGAGTTTTTCAAATTGAAGAAACTCGCCATATGGCAGTCTCTATTTGCAATGTGACTAATATTCTAGAAATTTAGACACTTAGTGCATAGATTTTTTTAACTCATCCATAACTCTTCCTCTCAGCTGTGTGAGTAACTTTATATCCAAAGTATAGTCTGGGCTTGATTCAGTCAGAGTAGACTGTACAGTTACAGAATCAAAGCCAAAACAAGGGGAGGGGGTGAGATAGAATGGCAAGTACACTTTTCCACCTGGGGAAATAGAGTTCCACATGAACTGGATTTAATCGTGTGTACTGCTGATGACCAACTGCACCCTTTTGAAAAAAGATAGCCATGCAGTGCCATCCAACTTCATGCGTTGGCTAAAATGGTAAGAAGCCGAAAAATGTTTTAACAATCATATTTTTGTCTGCTTCTGCCTTTACAGTAGCATCTGAAATTCAGGGATTAAGAACAGTTGAAATAAAAAAGGTAATGTGCTGTCTTCCAAGGCAATTAATTTGTATTTTCTTGTTGAATGTTTTACAGTGCCCATCTGAAAAATGTGTGTGTTGTAAGTAGTGGAAATAATACAATTCAATCATTGCCAAATTTTTTATGTATGATAATAAAAAGTCCTTATTTATATTTTCTATACTGTCAAAAGATATTATCATTCTGCCCCTACACAAAATAATTCTTTGCCTCTCACTTCTTGTGCTGATGAATATGCTTTTATTTAGAATATATTAGGATATATGGCCCACTAACCACATGTAAGAGAGAATCTAAGGTCATGATTTGCTGATGCTTATTGCAGTCTCTTCAAAATCAGATGCCGCCCTAGTATATGCTTCATGTTCACTGAAGGCCTGTGCACGACCCAGAGCTTTGGGGACAGTGCATGTGCTCCAGGCCTTGCAGTAGAAAGTGTTAGGCCCACGTTCAACATCGGGACCTGCGCACTGTAGTCTTCTTGCTTCCTGAGTTTTCCTGCCTTTTACCAAACTTGACTTGATTTAGTATATGGTGATTACTTTACTTTCCAGACAGACACATTCCTAAAGCTCTTGTGTCAAAGGAAGTATTTTCCACACTCATACCTGGAAGATCCTAACTGACAATAGAATATTATGTGCCAGAGAACAAACAAAAGGTCAGTTTAAAGTACTACTTTGACCAAACTCTATCTGTTCCATGGCAGGGACCTTCGGACTCGCTGGGAATCAGCATTGCTGGAGGAGTGGGCAGCCCACTTGGTGATGTTCCTATATTTATTGCAATGATGCATCCAAACGGTGTTGCAGCTCAAACCCAGAAACTCCGAGTACGTTTTCCTACTCACCATAATGGCCCTGGCAAATCTAGCAGCCTTTTCCAGGTTTTCAATCCAGCCACCTGTGGCCAGGGTTTAGATCTGCTTTCAAATTGTTAGCGGAGCTTTGGTTGAGCTTACTGTAAGTGGAAGATAAAAAAAAAATAACAAAAGGGGAACATGATGTTGTCAGGTGCAATTTCTGTCAGGCAATTACAACTGTGGAAAACATTAAAAAGAAAACAAAATGTGTTCAGTGCACAGGTACAGAGGGAACCGTCCTTTATATGTCTTCTTTGTTTAAATGTTGACTGGACCATACCAAATTGAAAATATTGTTTATTTCATTTTATTAAAAAGTTTAATGCTAATATGATTTAAAATACTGTAGAACATACAAATTTTCTTCAAGGTTAACAGATGGCCCCAGTGTAGAGCAGTGCAGAAGCCTCTCCTGAGCCAGCACACCCTCCTTCGACAGCATGGTCTCTAAAGGAAAATCTCTTATGCCTGAGATGTACACTGGGTTTCCAGAAGAATCTTCTCATAGTTAAATAACTTCAAGTTTGGGAGTGAATAGGTCAGCACTTCTAAATTTATGATGGACACTGAGAAACTAATTATACCTTAGTGCCATAGAGTCAATGAACATCCTATAAACACAGCAAGTGAACACTTTAAACTGGGCCATAGGACTCTTGTAAGTGCCCAGCTCTGCCCTGTGAAATAGCCAAGTAAGCATGCTGTCTTCCAACCAAATCTTATTAACTGAGGTGGGCAGTGTGCCAGATTGGCTCTGCTGCCCTTAGTTTGCCAGCCTTTGACTTACGGTCTCATCTAACACTCACGGTGATGATGCCCAGAGAAAAATCTGGCTTCCAAATAACACTGATTCTTTATGGTTTTAATAAGAAGTAATACCTTACTCAGGAAAAGTAGGTCCAGGGAAGAGTGACTCTTTTCTCATCACTCTCCCTCCTCTAGAACTATCAAATTCATCTGTCCTGCATCTCTTTTTAGAGTTGATTCTTAGACTTGAGTTAGTGTTCTCCTTGGTTATATTTCACTGGTGGGTGGCAACTTAGGTGTGCTGTGAGTGGTAGAGAGGAAAGCCTGTGCTAGCCTGTCAGCCCTGCTCTGCATGGTGACTGTTTGTCTTGCAGGTTGGGGATAGGATTGTTACCATCTGTGGCACATCCACGGAAGGGATGACTCATACCCAAGCAGTTAACTTGATGAAAAATGCCCCTGGCTCCATTGAAATGCAGGTAAGGCTTTTATCCCCAGCACCGTTCAGAATATAGGTAGCCTGAGGACACAGGAGCTCTGGTGCTAAGTAAAAATGATTCAGTCTCCTGCTAATGATTTTATTTAATATATCCCTTGAATGTCAGTGATTAAAATGAGAGCTCCAAGAAAGCATTATGAAACATGTTCTGTAACATTTCATCCCAGTGCCTTCATTATTTTACATTTTATGTCTAAAGGGAAAAATACAGGGGCCTTAGCAACCAATGATTAATTGTTAGAATTTTGTGTGCTCTGTGAGTGACGTGTCTTCTAAAGATCTTTGAAAAATAATTGCACATGAAGTCATGATTTATAAACATCAAAGAAAATTAGAGAATTTAATTTAGGAAATTTTTACTATCTGGACAGTTAAAGAGGTGTCTGGGCAATGTGAAATTCCTTTCTATTTAATAATATTTTAATCATTTCTTTGATTAAGTAGGCAATAAAATACTCATTTTAAACCACATTTGTTTTTTTGGAGAGAAGTCTTTTGGAGTCTCTCAAGCTACATGAACATATGTTCTTCTCTTTTCACTTTTCACAACACACAGGTGGTTGCTGGGGGAGATGTGAGTGTGGTCACAGGTCATCAGCAAGAGCTTGCCAACCCGTGTCTTGCTTTCACTGGGCTAACATCAAGCAGTATATTTCCGGATGACTTAGGGTGAGCACATACGTTATCAGTGGTACATCATTTGTTGTTTTCAAATCAAATGCTCCAGACAAATGCAGTGTCTTTCCCATGTTCTAACACTCACACAGAGATAACATAATGGGAGAAGTAGAAGGTGCCAATGCTTTAATTGTCAGCTAGTCAAAGATGAGTACACTATAAACAGCTGCCTGGTCTGAGATGGAGAGATGACAGTTACCTAGTCAGAGATGAGTAGATGACAGACAGTTACCTAGTGAGAGATGGGTAGATTAGAGAGTTACCTTGTCAGAGCTAGGTAGATTACAAACAGTTATTTAGTCAGAGCTGGGTAGATTACAAACAGTTATTTAGTCAGAGATGGGTAGATTACACACAGTTACCTGGTCAGAGATGGGTAGATTATAGACAGCAGTTCACCCTACCACACTTCCTGAGTTTTCAGTTTTGATTTTTTTTGAGAGGACATCTTACTCTTATTGATTGAACTATTGATTGAAAATGTTTAATGTATTGGAAAACAACACTAAATGTAAAAGTGCTAGAAAAGAGGAAGAGTAAAGAGAAGCACATTTGAATTTTCAAACTATTTGCTGCTGCCCTTGCATTGCTCACAATTGATTTTCCTCTCTCAAGTTGAGACCAGTGTTTCTAACTCTACAATATGGCCCTCTAAACTTTCACCCTTTCCTCTCCCAATAAATGAAAAAAGAATGAGAATTTCTGTTCCATGAGAACAGGCAATAAATACCATCTTTCTTGTCAATAACATCAATTACAGAAGAAGCATGCTAGCTGTAGTTTGAGTCAGGTAATGCACAAGGCACAGAGTAAGGGTGTATGTGTGTCTGTGTGTCTGTGTGTCTGTGTGGGTTTGGTCTTGAGCCTCATTTCTCCTTCCCTTTTCTGTAGACCTCCACAGTGTAAGACTATAACACTAGACCGAGGACCAGATGGCTTAGGCTTCAGCATTGTAGGAGGATATGGCAGCCCTCATGGAGACTTACCAATTTATGTGAAAACAGTATTTGCAAAGGTAAGCTTTCAAGTTTTAACCATTCTGTTCCCTTCTAGACATTAATTAATACTGGTCAGCAGCTGGCTTATTAGTTTATGGCCTGAGGTGATGCCAAATGGTTAACATTGACATTTTCTTTCTAAATTCCCTACAGAAACAGGTCATTAAATATTTTTGTCCGATTTGAAGTTTAGTTATGTTTAGAGAAAAATAAGCTCGAGTTGAAACTCCATGGAAACTCAACAATATACATAAAATAATTAAGCCTATCCTTTTCATTTGAAAGCAAGTTGTACATGATGATCTTTTGAAAATGGACTTTCATAATATACCTACTGCCAAGGACTGGCATGTTTTCCTCTGTGTTCTTTTGTAGTTGTGAAATATAAATTAGGTACACAAAAATATAGAAAATGCATACCACATTATAACTAGGGTGTATATAAGTTTAATTGAAAAGAAAAACGTATTTTAAATTCAAGGAGTGGTAAGGAGACCTGTTATCAATGATAAAGCATGATTTGCAATCAAGGGATTCAATTACTTTTGAAAAGAAAGCTCTGTATATATTTGTAGTCATCTACTAAACTATCTTAAGACTGTTTACAATAACAATAAAGAGACTATAATTTTGATGAAGTCATTAAAATAATGGAAACACATAATGATTGATATTGTGTTGTTAAGACCCATTTTCAAAGACTACAAAATTGAACAATGTTTCCTGCAAAAGGAAACCAGGAATCTCACATTTTACAGTGTAAAAGAACAAAATGAATGTCAGGCCTGTAAAGATCTCATCTGGGCTCTTTAAGTGTTGTGGTCCTTTAGTTTATGGAAGTTTAGTTCTATTATTTTAGAAAAATACTACTATTTTCAGCCAGTTTAAAGTGCTGTTCTTGTGACAAGCTAGCTGTAGGCTTAATTTGTGAGATTTCTAAAAAGTTATTGGTATATCCAAAAATACAGCCAGCATTTGCCAGTGAATAGAAGCACCATGCAATCCTTTTCCTCGGCCTAGGAACGATTTATTTAAGGCATGCTAGTTAGAACATATTTTAAGAATTTCATCATTATACACTCCTCATTAACTTTTCCATATTTTTAATCTTATATTTAATTGCATAATTATCTTCTATATGCATGCCTTAAGATGGGGTTCTTTTTTAAATAGGATGTCTGTGTTTAATCATAATTATTTAGGGCCTGTAGAAATAGGAGGATGTCTCTACCCTAACAGTAAGAACCAAGACAGCTAGAGCACTGTTTCTTTCCAAAGCTTAGGAAAAATTACAAGTAGCAGTGGTTGGGGGGCTCCTGTCTGGGGTCTGTTCTGAGGATGGAATTCGAGGCCTCATTCATCTTGGACAAGTACTACACAAGCAGTGTCTTCCCCAGCCCTGGAATGACTTTTAAATCATCACTTTGCCTTACCCTGCTCAGGTCAGCCTCCATGTGAGCTTTCTGTTCCTGGAATTCTACGGATTCTGGAGTCTTTAGCTTTGTTTTCTGAAAGCTGCTTTTCTTATTCACTGATCTTTTGTCATTCTGTAGGTCTTCTTTATGGATAGAAAACCCTCATTTCTATGAAATCGCTCCTGCTAGGCAAATGCCCAAATATTCTTTATTAATTTTAGTTGCTACCAACTGCTGTGCTAAACAGCCAAAAAAGCATCCAGCTACTCTGTTGACTGCTAAATTCACTCCCAGATTGGAATCTCAGTGTTAAAACCATTTTGGAGAAAGGCCTCTTTTGTGTGTGTTCATCATTCTTAATGGTATGGGGTGCCTGGAGCAATATGTGTGTACATGCAGAGCAATTTGCATTCTTGTTCAGCTCTTTTCTTTGTGTGAAGCTGAATTCTTTCACAAGTAAACAAGCCTGCTTTATAATTGCAGGGAGCAGCCGCAGAAGACGGGCGTCTAAAAAGGGGCGATCAGATCATTGCTGTCAACGGGCAGAGTCTAGAAGGAGTAACCCATGAAGAAGCTGTTGCCATCCTTAAGCGGACAAAAGGCACTGTCACCCTTGTGGTTCTCTCCTGAACAGGTTGCCAGAGCTGAACCAGCCCAGCCACTTGCTCACCTGCTGTAACAGAGTGGAACTCTCCCTGTGGACTCCCTATGCTGTGTTCATTGGGGGAAACTGCGGTCAGGAGAAAAACATTTAGTGATTTGTTACTGACAACTTAGCAACATTTTTCCTTCCCCCTTGCATTTCATGGTCCTAAACTCAAAGAGAAGGAATATAGGCGTAGTAGGTAAACCTCATTTTTATTTTGAAGACATCTAACAATTTATAGTTGTGTGGACAAAATTATTATTGGCTCATCTTGGTAATATGGAAACAAAATAACTTAAAGCTAGCCAAGAGAAATGGCTTCAGAAAATTAGGATTTAAAAAAAAAGTAAAAATTTACAAAAAGAAGACAATCCTGAGTTTTAGAAAATTGTCCCAATCTGGCAGTCTCCCACCCCCCAAAAAATGTACACAGTAATCTTGAACAGTCTATTTTAAAATTGTGAACACTGTAGCATACTGGATCTTCTTACCTGTAATATATATTTTTCTGCTAGCATGGTTTAGCAGTCTTACTAAGCTTTAAAAAGAAATCGTGTTTAATGCATATCTTGGTGTTCATTTTCAGTTTTTGACCTGCTATGTTTTCACGTTGTTATAACTAAAATAATGCTGTTACCCTGTGTTGGCTACAGTTCTTCAGGAAAACAACCATCCAGCCATGGAAGACATAGGAAGGAGCCCCGAACTTTCTAGTGCTGATTTAACATACTGACACAACACTGAAAATATGTTAGTGTACTGTGCTATTGTTTTTCCATTAGTATTAATCTTAATGACAGAGAAAAAGGCAGTGCGTTAGTAATTATTTTGGTTGTACACCATTAATAAATTGACAGAAAAATTAAGGGGGTTAACATAACTTCATTGCTGTGTATTAACATCTTATAATACAATAGTTTAAGACTAAAGGAAACAGATGGAGCTGTTTACTGAGACAACTGGTGAGGAATTATCATGTGTTCAATCCCATTTTAGAGCGTGAAACTCCTACATTAGAATATATAAAGTCACTTTAAATATTATCTATATTTGTAACAGGAGTAGTGTACAGATATTTTATTATAGCATTCTTGTGTAAATGTAAAGTGAATAAATAAGTTTCTGTGGTGCACAACAAAAAGTAGATGCTTTCTTTGTTCTTTATATTAGGGGAAAGCTTTATTATTCAAGATTTACTGTTTTAAATTACTGAGTCTCACTGTAGATGCAATTGGAAGAACTCTGAACAACATCCTCAATGTTTTGTTTCCACTGTGTTTTCTAACCCCAGAGATTCAAAGGCTGCTCATGATCTGAGGAAGATGACTTAGAGAAGTTTTCTGCTATTATTTTTCATGGGTGCTATGTATGCAGTAATTATTGTACAGATTGTAAACTGCTATAATGCATCGAATGGAAATTATCTTACTGAACAAGCAAAATCTGGATGGAGAAGAGAGCAAGAAAGCTTTGTTTGTGGATTCTGTCTCAAGTTGGCTAATGAGAGTGTATTCTTTCCTATTGGTTTTTTATATAAAATGATAACTTGTTGAAAAGATTTGGGTTATTTTTTCAAATATAAGAAAGTATTTTTATAAAACATCCTATGAGTTTAGTTGTCCATTCAAAACTCAAAATGAATGAAACAAAGTGCAGATTGCAACAAATATTCAGCCAGTTCTTGTCAAACTGAGGTGGTTGGTTAGCAAAATCCATCTTTTTTATGCTGATAACTTATAGGCTTTCGGTCATCTTTTAATGACCCTATGTCATGAAGGTATGGCTGAATTCTTGCATAGTATACTCTGGATGCTGAAGTTAGCCACTTCTACAACTTTGAAGTCAAAAGGATTTTAATAGGGGATAGTAGTGTCAGTACTGGGAAAAAGTCAATCAAACTGATGTTTGAGACAATATATAGAAGTACTGTCCCCCAGCCCCACCCCCAGAAAAGAAACAGGCAGGTATGTGTCCTCACTTAATGTTGTCCTAAGTATCCATATCTACCTGAATCTCAAAATTTAAACGTTTTGTGGTTAAGGCCAAGCTATATTAGAATGTGTCCTGTCCTGTGATGTGACAACTCAACCACATGGCAGAAGATGGCCACATGAAGAAGGAAGCAAGGACATCGGCCAAGGCACAGTTGGGACCACCACCTATAGAAGTGAAGCCCTTTAAGGGGACATCTTGATTTCAAGTTCCTTACCTGCAGAAGTGTAAGAAAATAAACTTAACATTGCTTTAAGCCACCAGTTGGCAGGACTTTATAAAGGAATTCCTGGATAATTAATAATGTAGTTTTACATCTCGAACTACTATGTATTTGTCTAACAAAAGAGATTCTGAGCTGCAAATTAACAAACATGAGGAAGAGAGATGGGAGATGAAATTGGAAAGGAAAAGAATGTAGATTCCACCAGCTTTGTAACTAAGTAAAGGCGTATGCTCCTCAGAGTATTCTTTTCTATAAATATATGCTTTATGTGATGAAAGAAGAACACCCTTAGGCAAACAGTTTAAAATTAATGGTATTAGTATTGTGTATGATACAAGACAATGGATTGCCTATAAATTCAGTATTACTATTCAGTTAAACTGGAGACCACCACAGATTTCTGGTGCTGTTCCTCATTACTGCCAAGGGATAATTATAGCAGTAATAATGTGTTAACTTCACACTGACCCATTTGTAGCATCAGGAGTTGGTTAAGGAGCATAATAAGTCCATGGAATTCCTATATCAGAAGAGTAAATCATGAAGGGAGAAGACAAAAAAGAGTTCTTTTTCTTTTTTATCACCTTAAGAATCCTGAGAAAGCAGATGTTGACAGACATGAAGAAAGGAATGGAGCTCTTGCTTGTCTGAGGTAGATGGCATTAAGCCCATTTAGATTTGCTCAGGTAGTTTGTTGTCTGAATGCCAACACCCCTCTTCAGATCTCTGAGTGAAGCTGGGAGTTGAAAGGTTGCCTGCAGAGAGACAGGAGGAGTGGGCTTTGTGCTTTCAGTGTGGGAATGTCAGAACTCTCATCACTTGCTTCCCGAGGCCCTGCTGTGTTGTTTCCAGTTCATGACAGATCTGGAATGCATTTGATTTGTGCAAAGATGTCCCTGGACTTTGTCTACTAGGAATTAATGTTAAACTTTGCCCTTTGAAAGGGAGCTGTTTGTAAGTCTAGATTGGCCTCCATTACTTCAAGAGATAAAAAATAAAGCTGTTGGTGCCAAGAAAATGTCTGTACAACAGAGTGCAAAACCCAGAGAAAATAAGTAGTCTTAAAGTGATTTCTGTGTGCTTTACGTTTCAGCTTCTCTTGCCTCAACATATAAGCATTCCAAATTGTCCATTTCATTGTAAACTACAGACAAAATATTTATGTAGGCATTTGACTGAAAGCCAGGGCCTGAAACTTTAACAGTAGGCCCTAAATGAAATCCTATCAGAGAGGTAAATGTGTGGTAATAATGTCAGAATTGTCCCATTGAAAATATTTGTATTTTAAAGTCTGACACTTAGAAGACTACCTTAGGCACCTTTGTGGAGCAATTTGTTGTTGTTGTGTTAACACTGAGTATTACTTCTCAGGACACTGTGTCTGTAATCTTGTGGTAAAGCTAGTCCATGCCATTGCATGCCATTCTTCTTCTCCTTCTATACCTATACCTTGGTGTTCCAAGTTCATGTTCCTTGTGCACATGTGTGGGGGGGTGGTGGTGTAAGTTTCTTGTATCCTTTGCTTGTGTGGTCCAATTCCTCTACTTTATCTTCAAGTATTTTCCAATACTCTATCTTCTACTTGTCCGGTTCTGTTTGTAAGGTTTTCCCCCTGAGTTTTCTGAGTTAATGAATTTTTCAATTCCATCGTCATTTCAGCTTCAGTTCTCTTTAATAATTCTTTTACTGAGATCAGTTTTCCAATCCCTAATTGTCTTCATCATCATCCCCCCCCCCGTGTGTGTGTGTGTGTGTGTGTGTGTGTGTGTGTGTGTGTGGCCTTGGACATCACATGGGTGTTTATTCCTATCCTCTGTAAGTTCATTCAACTGTTTGTGTGTCACTGAGTAGCCTGTGATCCTTTTTTTTTCTTTCTCCTTACCATGTATGTTTAGAAATTTACTTGTGTTTGGGAAATACGGGTTTTCTTCTTTTCTAGATATTACGATTCTTGCCTAAGTCTAGCAGGAAATACTACACATTAACACTTCCATTCGCCTAAATGTCCCTAACTTAGAGATTCTTTATTCCATTCAGTAAAATGTGCAGGTTTACTTTAATTTGGAAGATTAAATGAGATATCATGATATAAAATATTTTCATCATGCCAAGAATAAGCAATAAAAAATTAGAGTAGTTTGTGCTTTCCTGAAAAATACAAAACAAAAACATTTAATGTTTTCTTCAGTATGTAATTTCATTTTTTATTCATTTTATTCAATTTCAATTTTATTTATAAAAGTTGGCTACAAGTCAACTTACAGAAAATTTTCAAAATTCCCGTTTACAATCTTTCTAATATCGTCCATGTCTTCATATACTTATTTATTTTTCTTTTTTTAAAGATTAGTTCTTGTCCTGGTTAGTTTTATGTCAGCTTGACATAGGTTAGAGTTATCTGAAAGGAGGGAACCTCAGTTGAAGAAATGCCTTCATAAAATCTAGCTGTGAGGCACTTTCTTAGTGATTGGAGGGGGAGGGCCCAGCCCATTGTAAATTGTGCTATATCTGGGCTGGTGATCCTTTGTTCTATTAGAAAGCAGGCTGAGTGTAACCCTCTATGGCCTCTGCATCAGTGCCTGCCTTCAGGTTCCTGCCCTGTTTGAGATCATGTTCTGGCTTCCTTTCATGATGAAAGTATAAACCAAATGAATCCTTTCTTCCCCATGTTGCTTTGGTCATGGTGTTTCATCACTGCAATAATAACCTTGACTAAGACAGTAATTCAACTTAAATTATCTTGAGAGAAAGCTTATCTCACTACTTTGTTTGAGAAGTCAATATGACTTAGCATAAACACACACACAAAAAAATGTAAGCACAAGTCCTACCTAGGTTCTAATAGCTTAAGTTGAGACCTGCTATTTGTTAGCAATGGAGGATTGCCATTGACAGCTACTCAGTGGAGACTTCTCTGTACTTAAAAAGCTAAAAATACTTTTATTTCTCTGATACTGTACTTACTAGAGCCTGGGCCACCTAAAGTGGCATGTTTCCCCCTTTGAACAATTATTCCAATTAAAGAAAACTTTGTTGATAGGACTCTTTTTCTTCAGCTGTAAAAGCTAACCAGTCATTTTCAAGCTACAAAAGTTACTTAACACTGTTCACGCTATAAGGTGTTCACAAAAATGAATCGGGGACATGGTATCTATGGATTTAGTTTTGGCAGTCCTAATTTGAAATAAAGGGTGAATAACATAAATTAATGAAGTAAAAATACTGTGGTAATATTAACCAAAGCAAATGTCTCTTGCACCTGGAGGGCTCTGCAGGTGGCTGGCTTTCCTAATGATGCACCCTGCTGCTTTTAAGTGTGCTGATAAGGAGTCTCAGCTGAGAGTAAAGTAGGCATTTTCTGGCTCTAGAAAACGCTGAGGGAGGAAACCAATGTACAGATCTTATTTTCAGGATAAAGCACAATTCTTTCTTTTTTTAATTTTTTTCCATTCATTTATTGAGCTCATAAATAAAGTCATGCACAATTATGATACACAGTACAGTATGTTCACAATGGCATGGTTAAATTAAACCAATTAACATGTTATATCACACATATTCATCATTTTGTTTTGAGAACACTTAAAGTATGCTATCTCACAATTTTTAAAATATAGCATATTGTTATCAACCATATCATGCTCTCAGTAGACCTCAAGACTTCACAGAGTCCATGCCTTGTCCAACTGCAGTTTTATATCCTTAAACCAATTGTTTCCCCATTGTTAAAAGACCCACATTGAAGCCTAATAGCCACAATTCTGCTTTCTGGTCCCATAAGTTCATCACCTCTTCAATATTGTCCTTGAAATCCTAGCTAGAGCAATAAGACAACAAAAGGAGATCAAGGGAATACAAATCAGAAAGGAAGAAGTCAAACTCTCACTATTTGCAGACAATATGATAGTCTACATTAGTGACCC